TTGCAGGAGAAAGCCAGCAACAACAACCTACAGCAGCTTAAACAGGCTCGGCTCAGCTCGACGCTGTCGCATCTGGGCTTCGTCTCGGGCATGTCCAGCAGAGGCACTCTCGATGGTTGAGACCAAGTTGTCCGGAGTGGACCAGGCGATGAGCGATGAGCAATCGCAATAGGTTTGCGGTTTCTTACCAGTAGCGGCTCCTAGCATTTTCTTAAAAGGTTTGCAGTCGCCGCACCTTGAGGCCGTCCACGAGAAAGTCGGGGCTGGTCAGATGCAGCAGCTCAAGAGCATTGTGCGGGCTTCCAAGGGATCCCAAGTGACTTTAGATCCCTGCTATCTGATTGCCGCTTCAGCAAGGATGGGCATCCAGAATCAGGCAAACTCCTTGGAGCAGAGCTTGCACGACAAGGTCGGAGTAGTGAGATGGTGCGGCTTGAGAGCAACAAAGTTGTGTCTGCAAGACCTTGAGAGCTATGAGCACGCAGGTTGGCGCAGAACAAATTCAGCAGTTGAAGACAGCACTGGCAGGATCGCAGGCCAGCAGCTTGTTGACAGTACTCGTAGACTCGAAGGACAGAGTTAGAAGTCAGAAGGATATCCCACGCTGTATTCTGCGGCATGAGGCCCAGCTCTCGAGCATTGAACAGCAGCTGCAAGAGAAGGCTACAGCTGGTCAACAGCCTTCCGCCCAGATACTGCCATATTAATATTGGTCCAGCAGTTTCAGTATTTCAGACTACCTCGCAAGAGATGCCCCTGCCGTCTTAGAATCGCTGGGGTGGCTTGTGTGTATCTTGTGCTGTGTCGCGGTCAGATGTGCTCAGGCAGCAGCCGCGACCTCATCGGCGAAGATCTGACGGGGCTAGTCATGGGTCACGCTCTGTCACATGTCAGTTCACAGATGCTGCACCTTCTGATAGAAGTTCCGAAGGTTGAAGACGTCTATCACAACATTGGAAGCGAAGCTTCTTAGTTGTGACCAGGCCCCTGCACGCTTGTGCGAGCGTGTGCTTGCATTGTCTAGCTGTGTAAGGCCGAGTGTTGCAGTCGTGGACGCGGCTTCAGGGGTGCGTTTCTCTTCATAATTTCTTACTGCTGACCTGGATAAACGGTGGGCCTGGGTGAAATACGGGAGCAGCTATTGCTCGGCTGCAGAGAGCGAGAGAGAGAGAGAGAGAGAGAGAGAGAAAAAAAATGAGAGAGAGGGCTCGCTTCGTGCGCGGGGGGGGGGGGTCTCTCCCCTCAAGCCGCGTAGAAGAAGAAGAGGGCTGTCTTGACAACCAGCAACGATGGCCCCCAATACAGGGGCGGCAGGATATCCCGGGGAACCTTCCCCCAAGCCCCATGACAGAAAGTCGGCTCGCTTCGTGCGCGGGGGGGGGTCTCTCCCCTCAAGCCGCGTAGAAGAAGAAGAGGGCTGTCTTGACAACCAGCAACGATGGCCCCCAATACAGGGGCGGCAGGATATCCCGGGGAACCTTCCCCCAAGCCCCATGACAGAAAGAAAGAAAGAGGGTAGTTGGAGTCTCGTTCGTTCATTCGATTTCTTTCGTGGAGAGGAAGCATTGCCATAGTTGCAATAAAATTGCGCGCGGTTGGTAGGTAAGCTGGGGGATTGCAGTAGCATGGATGAGCGTGCCTCGTGACTTTTACAGCTGCTGGGGCAGTTTCAGAAAGAAGTTAACCATGGGAGATGCCAAAGATGGTGGATTCGTTGGTTCGCCTGATTTTGTTGTTTGCTGGGGCTCAGCCGGTTTGGGTTGAAGGCGTGATGTCGGGGTTTGGTGGTGTTTTTATCTTACCACCTGAGACCCGTCGCGAATAGGCGGACAAACAGACATATATTGTTGGAGACCAGGTGGGCAACCCCCCCCTCCCGGTTGTGGCATTTTGTGGAGTGGGTCTTAGGATGGCTTAGGTCTAGGGGATGCGCAAGCCATGTTCAATTCCTCAACATCGCACAGACGATCACGTGATCCCTTCTTGTGGCAGAAATTTGTACCCCGTCTTGCGCTGGCTTGAATCAGGCATTGCAAGGAAAAGTGGATGGAGTGGGAAAGCTCAGTGTGTGATCTTGGCACCGGTGTGGGCCGACGCTGTTTACGCGCTCCGCCACCAGGTTCAGTGGAATCAGCTGAGTGACTCCGTGGGCGTCGTTCAGAACAAGGACTTGGGCTGATGCCAATGTATGTCTGAGCAGAGAGGTGACTTCCGTGCTGGATCTCATTTTTCTAATCTGCAGCCAGGTTTGCAACATCGAGAGAGGCGTTTGGGAAGGTATGGACTGCGTTCAGGTCATCTGCCCTCATTGCCTGTACATGCAATAGTCAATCTGACTCTTCCCTTTCGTTGTAGTCTTCGCTCTCCGTGTTGACCTGCCGTCTTGCATCTCCAAGTCAAGGCACGAGGCCGATCAGCCACCAATGCCCTCTGCCCACTTTTCCAGTTACACCCGTCATCTCCCGTGGGAATGGTACAGCATTGGACAGCATTGTACTATATTGTGCTTACACGATCAAGGCAACAATGTCCAAGCCGAGCGAAGCAGAAGCCAGCACAAGCAAATCGTCAGCCGCTGTGTGCTTGAGCAGCTTGATGAAGCTAGCACTAGTTTGTTGTGGCTGAGCAGTTGGAACATTGCTGAAGGCGAAGCCAAGTCGGATGGTGGAGGTAAGTTTTAAGTCTAAGATAGTCTAAGTAAGCAAGCTGCATGTCAGCTACTTGTGTCTGCAACTTGCACGGACGTCACGTGCCATGCAGGAGTTAAAAAACGGGTGCTTGATAGGCCTCCCAAACCAGCAAAAGATAACCAACACCTCCGACCTAGGGCGAGGGAAAGACAGATCTGAGCTCCTTTGGCGCATCGCCAGGCTCTCGAAGGTGCGCTGACAAGCTTGAAGGGACAGGCAGCAGCGATGGACCACACCATGCAGGCCGGCAGGAGGTCTCAACAACACAAGCAGTCATCTCGCGATTTTTGAGACAGCCGGCAAGAAGCGTCTTGCAGGAGAAGGTCTCTATGACAGAGTTTCAACGCTTGGGTGATGCTGTGCTAACCCTGAAGGGCAAGGCCTGGCAGATTCTGGGAATTCTGGAATCCTCTGTTTTGTTAATGCCATGGTGCATGAACAGGTCGGCTCCCTGGAGCAAAATCTCCGGAAGGGTGCAGGGCTTGGTCAGCGTGTGCCAAGACGGCCGCGCGCTTGTGAGACTTTGGCTTGGCGCGGCTTGTGCACATCCCTGGACACATGTCTTGGATGTTGTTGCTTAGATCTTAGATGCCTGCTTGGTAGGCTTGTGAGTTGCGCAGGACAGGCCCATTTTCATGTCTTGACGGGTGCGGCCGCCAATCGTCTGACGACCCCCGACTGACAGAAGTTCATTCAACCACCCTGGACAAGGAATGGAGCGCAATTCAAAAACTGGGCCGCGCGAATCAATGACTGCACCGCGCGATTCAGAAACGCGATTCAGGAAAGAACGATTCAGGAAGCTCCGGCGATTCAGGAGACTGCGGTTCCGGAAACATGGCGATTTGGGAAACTACCTGATTCAGGAAACCAGCTACGCGCGACTCAGGAAACCACTCGATTCAGGAAACCACGCGGATAAGGTTCATGTCAGAGTGCTTTCAGAAACCTATGCGGTTCTCGAATCCGTATGAATCCGTAGTTTCCCGAATCCTTCCGAGTCCACGTTCCCGAATCCGCGGTTTCCAGTTTCCTCGGTTTCCGAACACGTGTTTTCTGGTTTCCGAGTCCGCGTTTTTGGTTTCTCGAAACTGAGTTGTACAGTTGCCCGAAGCTGCGCTTGTCGGTTCCCGAATGACGTTTTTCATTTTTTCCAGTTTTTCCGAATGCCTTCAGTTTCCGCTGCCAATCATCTTTGGATGAAGCTCATTTCTGCCTGTGGCTATCAAGTTACTGGTAGTAGGCATCTTCTTACTGGTAGTAGGCTTGTGTTGCACGATGTTCCATGTCTCAGCAGCACTCAATTGCTCCCACGTCCATGGTTGGACTACGTTGGACACAGGTGCAGAGCACGTGACCGATGTAGAGGGCGCAGTGGCAGGCTTTGGCAAGCAGCTTGCAACCTTCAAGCAGGCAGGATTCTGCAGGATCTGTCAGGTATGGTAAAGAAGGTAAGTTTCGTTCCGACCTGCGACACCGCCAGTCGCATAAAATAACTTTTGGGAAGATCTTCGTCTGCGTGCTGCCGCAGAGTAGTTCCAGAGTCCGGAGGTGTTCACAGATCTGCATCAAACGTCGCAGGCTCGACTATTTCCAATCTCTGTCAATAAACCTTCAACAAAATCCGTCGTTTATGAGATCTCTGCAGACATGTAGGCGAGAATGCTGACGCTTGACCTCGACCAATTTCCAGGATCTTTGCTTACCAAAGCACAAATCAAGAAGATGAGTGAAAGTAGTGACTAAGTAGTGGAAAGCCAGTGGAAAGCAGGAGACCGCAAGAGCCGGGCTCATCGTGATGGTCCGCGCTCTGCCTCAAGAAGCCGTAGCTGAGGGGGTTGCTTCGAGTGCTGTGCCGAGATGGCAGATGATGACAGTCAAATCTTATTTCGTATGCAGCTTGCCTACGTTTACCTCATTTTACCTCAAGATTCAGAGAATCATCGAATCATCCACAAATTGCGCCACTGTGCATCAGCACGGCACTTGGTTTCCGGCAAGTAGAATTCGTGACAGAACCCAGGCGCAGACAGAGTGCCTGTTCCTGCAGACTACAGCTATGTAGTGCGAGCGTATGGCCGCAGAAAGCACATGAACATTCCCTTCCTGAAGAATTGATGGAAGATGACACATGATCAGAATCGGTCTCCGGGGTGCCAAAAAACTGCAAAATGTGGCCCACAGCTTGATGCATCATTCTCTTCCAAACATGGGCTGGCTGCCAACTGACGTGACTTGCAGCCACACCTTGAACTTGAACTTGAACGGTTTGTAGTCGATTAATCACGTTTGCTCGGCTGATTCCGTGAGGACGGAGAAACCTACCGATCTTCTCCGCATGACTCCAAGCCAGACCAGGCTCCAGAGAGTGGATAGTTCGGCCTGGCAAGTGCCTGGCACATCCTGGCACAACAGCAAAGCGAAAGCCAACAAAATGCTAACACACAGTAGTGGTTTCTAGGAAGGTCACAGGGTTTGAGAGGTCGTTTGGAGATCAGCTCGGCTGATAGGTCAGCAGGAATACACCTGTCGGCGAATTCCCAGAGGAGCATATATGCACTTTGTCAGATGAACACGCAAGCTCAGCAATGACGCCAAAGCCGCTGCAGAGGAAGTGCGTGACGATCTGGATGAGGCACAGCCACACAGCCTGAAGTAGGGCATTCCAGATTCCAGACTCAGGACCTGCAAGAACTGCTTCTTGGGATTCTTGAGGCTTCTTGCATCTTGAGCCGATCGTTGTTTTCCTAGAATTGTTCCCAAGGTCAGCAGACCCAGCACCGGCGCAAGCCATGCTGGCCTGGACCAGGTGAGCGCAAGGTGGTTTTCTGCGTGCAACAGGTTCCTTGTCATTCTGCTAGGACACGACGGGAGTCCTGCGTATGATGACGGGGGCCAGTGCAGATCAGCGCTGCCCTTGTGTTTTGCGGGTCCCTGCTGTCGTTGATGAATCTTTTTGATACTGGAGTCCTGGGCATAAGTCTTGGTGAGGCTCTCTCGCCTTCGTGATTCGCTCACCAGCCAGATGGAGCAGCAGGTGTCACATGTGTCACTTGCTGACGAGGAATGTCCGTGAATGCCCTTGCTTCATGTTTGCGCAGCAACTTAGCGCCCTGCGATGAGCCTATGTGCACGCAATGGCCAACTCGGCTCAAGTGAAATGATCATTGGGATGTCAACATATGTCGTCTCATTCGGAGGCCAAACAGTTGCCATTGCTCTATTTTCGGACCGGGCAGCCTGTGGCAAGCCAGAAGTTGCATGGACCAATATTGCCTTACCTTGACTAATTGTTGTACGTTGCATGACAAGCACCGGCCACGTGCTTTGCAGAACATCGTATCGTCCTGATTTGCAAGTCGAGTAGAGACGCTGCTTCGTAGATATGAATCCACAGGGCCAGGCAGGGTATCCGTTCCGCACATAATTCAGCCTGCACCATCATACCACTCCGTCAATTGCCTCTGCCCACGCGGAGGTTGGCCATGAAGCTGGACACGAGCTTGTCCTTGGCCTACTGGTAGTTGCAGTTGTAAGCCTGTGCAGCGAGGGCAGCGCAGCGTGTGCTTGCAATCGCTGCTGAACAAGAGGCCTGTTCGGAGGAGCCGCGCCATGTGGCAGAGGTTTCCCCGCTTGCCGATATCAGCGCGGATATCAGACGTGATTCAGGTCCGCAAACACTTCAAAGCCAGATGTTGGCCGGGTCTTATGCACGTAACCGCAGGTGATGGCATGGTTGCGCTGGCCAAATCCAGCTCAGCTGCGCACTCAAGTTCGTCCTTTATCTGTTTGCTGCGTGCTTCTTTGGGGATGTTGATATTGCATGGATCATCATGGATCAATCAAAGCAGGCCCCGGAAATGAAGGCAGCGGTGCGCAAAGCGCGGACGTTTGCAAAGAGGCTGGTTGAGCAAAGTTGCCCATGTCTTGACTATGTTGCCAGTATGTTGTCACTTGTCTAGACAGGAGTCCATTTCAAGAGTCACTTCCATGGGCAAAGCCGATCACTGACAAGTGGGGCTTCCCGAAGCCTCCTCCCAGCTTCCCTCCTGTCGCGGCCTCGGCTCCGGCTCGGGGAAGCAACTGCAACAGCAGCTGCCAGGATGAGCTAAATGAGTTAAGCGAGCTAAGCATGGTCAGTCACAGACAACACGTGCAGCACCAGAGCAACTGGTCGAGGCAGAAGCGTGGGACTGGAGGACATTCGCTCAGACACCCGAAATCTTCAGAAACTCTGAGCCTTTCCCTTGGTGCTCGAAGGCACCATTTACTTGGGATGAGCAACGATGACGTTCCGAAGGTACGGGATTTTCATCAATGTCGCAGTATGCCAGTTTGCGGTCTCCTTGGTAGCTTGTACTTTGCCGCAGGGCCGCCGGACTTATTTCTCGAAGCCAGAGTCCCTAGCAGAGCTGAAAGAGGCATTGCGAAGCAATCCTTCGTCACAGGCTTAGTTAGGAGCTGAAGGCTCAATTCCGCTAGAACTGCCGCAGATGTCTACCAAGGATCAAGAATGCTGAAAGCATTCTCTGCAGACTTGAGCTAGGCGATCTTCCACCGCGTCCCAAGCCAAGAGCTGAGTCTTCGAGAATGGTTGCGTGCCATTCGCCACAACTGAGCACCACAGTCCGTGCCTTTACAGCCCCTACGACATCCTTCGGCCCTACTGTCGTTTTGCGATCAGGTCGATTCTCACAGCAGATGCTGGCGCTCCTGTTTGCCCAGAGAGACATGTATATGGCGGCACGATGTCGCGCACTTACTTTGACCCACTGCTGAATTCGTGCTGCTACGTATTCCTGACGATTCGCAGAAGTAGGTGCAGACGTTCCAAGTAACATGCCAGGTTGGATCGAGATGGCATGGGACGAACCTGGAACAGTCGGTGGCATGCAGGCACCTGCATGAGAACGAAAGCAACATCATGCCGAATTGCGTCTTCCATAGCCGAGCGCCTGAATGCAGACAGGTATCGCCATGATAAATGAGCACTGCCATCCGCTTGGAACTCGGTAGAGATGAGTTCGTACATGTCACTGGGCAAGTCTTAGTCTTAGGCATGTCTAGATGTCAGGGACCACCGGACATACTTTACGCAGAAGTCCCTCTTCGAGAGATCGCCGTCCCAGCAGTATCGGCGCTTCTTGCATCAGGATTTCTGACCACTCGCCTTTGCACACTAGCTGAGCATTGCTTCGGTCCTACTCTGATATGTTATACAACTGTTATACAGCTGCACATATTCGCCTATTTTCCCACAGGAGAAAAAGCCTGGCGATTGGGTCTCAATCGATCAAAGGAGGCCGTGGTCGGTCGTGGGTGCTTAAGCCCTTTTTGCTGTCGGCCACCGCGACAAACAGCTTCAGGTAGGTCAAGGGTATAAAAGGTACAGGTGTGTGCTCGTGTTGATTCCTTGCTGTTCAGAGGCCTGCTCGCTTTCCTCCTCTAGGTGGCCTTCTCACTGGTCGTCGTGAGCTCAATTCTACTTCGGCGTGGAGATTTTTATGCCAACATCACCAAGGCTCTGGAGCACCAATTCCAGGAGCAATGCCATAGTCAGAACTATGGCAAAGACGGCTTCTTGACTGTGGGCGACATCGTTGTGCCCATGGAGTTTCAGTTTTCAGATTTGGGCAGAGTTTGTTCTCAGCATGACATAGAAGATGTGCCAATGCTCGCTCACACAATCAGTTGCGATTTAGTAGTTATGGCAGTTTTAAGTTTGGTTGTCATTTGCATACGCCGCATCTTCTGTTCACGCTTAGCAGCTCAAACACTGTACAGTAAGTTCCAGTAGGGTTACATGTGCTCCTCGTCTCCACAGGGACTCAAGGAGATCCGCGCCAAGTCTAAGACTCCGCGCTGTTCAAAGATGTTCAAAGAGTTGGCTGAGAGAACAAGCGAAAAAAAACCGTTGGAAAACAGAACTGAATCCGACTGACTCCGACTGACTCCTGCGACTCCTGCGACCCCTGCATGTTGTTCAGTCATCTGTGGAGGTTCCGGGTGCTGGCAGCGGGCTTCCGTCGCAGCCGGCCAGAGCATCTGTATCCGGCAGGAGCGAATCATGAATGCTTGTATATGGCCAGCACCAGTACTTCTATTCTGTGCGCTTGCGTGTTCGGGGAGCAGTCTGATGGAGCAACGGTTTGGTTCGATTGCAAAGTGGCCGCAGCAGAGCCACAAACATGCAAGACTTAGAAGACTCAAGACACAAGGCATCTCAGACATCCCTTCATCCATTTCTCTGCTCGTATGTCCACTTCGCTGCTAATGGTTTGCAGTTAGAACCTTCCATGGAGCCACTCCCTAGAATCCCATGTCCGGTTGTTGCAGTCATTTTGCGATTTTCAAGTTTGATGATTCCTTTGGCTCCAAACCACTTCCTGACAAGGCCTGCTTCATCTGACCCCAGGGGACCAACCGTTCAGCTCTCATGTCAATCTGGACACGAGAGAGTTCATGATCGTACTTCCTTGACTGCAGCCTCTTCAACAAAGTGTCTCAAGCTATGAACCATCAGCCGGGTCACTCCCGCGCACCAACATCATACATCTTTCCCTCATACATCTTTCCCACCAGCACCCACGCTGCGGTTCATGCAACTCAGGCAACTCACAGCCGCCCATCAAAGTTCATGCATTATCTGCGGCAACATGTCAATATGCGGCACTTGGGCATTGAAACCGTGAACATGATTTATCCATGTCACCATCTGCTACCGATGCTCGCTGCATTTCGCTGCATGTCGGAGATGTTTTGCCTGCAACGTCCACAAACAAGCCAACTACAGTGAGATGTGCTGCGAAGCTGACCTGTGTTTAGGAGTTCTTCTTCCCGAGCCAATGAGGCGCTCTCAAACAGCAGGCATTGGGGGGACAGGGAGGGCCTACTCTTGGCATGTGCTGATCCTTTGAGGCCGTCATCATGCTCTCGTCCAGCATCAGCCATTGCGGATGCAATACAGGCAGTTTATGGCAATTCTGCTTGTTGCTTTGGCTGATGTGATAATCGGAGAGCAGGTCCTTGGATTTCATCAGGATTTCAGTCGTAAATCGGGCTGAGTTGCCCTTTGCAGCTTCTGTTGCCTCGGTCCGCTTGCCCCTAGCACAAGACTTGCACGGAGGCAGAGAACGAGCGTGCCAAAAAACTCAGCGAAGACATGGAGGCCGCCTCTCGATGCGAACGCACCTGCCGCTAGCAGCTAGCATGCTCACTTTGGCGAACTCATGAACGAGAGGCTCGTGCATCTTCCAGGCAAGGACTTGACTTGACATTTTGAATAAATCCGTGGGGAGTCGTCACAAGTCAGTGCTGATGTACCAGGCCGATGCCCAGTGAGGGACTCGCCTCCAGTGGATCGAGGCCCTCCTCAAGGCCGTCATATTCCGGGCAAAATGCCTGTAAGTCCTGCAAGCAGATGGCCTGGAATTCAGTAGACAGGTCGAGGAGTCGGAAGCTTCCACTCGGTCCAGAGGCCGGAAGTCGCAGCATTTGCAATCACTAAGTTTTTTCCGTCTTGCACGTTCTGTCAGAGGGGAGCTCCTGACAGGAAGCAGCGCAAGCAGCACCACCATCGGTTCTCGGCTCGAAGGCACAGCTTCAGAATAAGTACTTTTTTCCTGGTTTGTCTTGGCAGTGCTGAATGCTACAGGCGCCTGTGTCCTTGGATTCAGCCAGCAGTCATGGCTATCCAAGTCTAGGCCTCAGAAAGTGCATTTGCTTAAGGCTCTGAGGCCTGCGGCACTCGTGGTGGCCTGGATAATTGCAGAAAACATGTGAAGGTTTGCCTTGCCTTGTTGAAGTGGCAGACGGCATGTAGAAAAACCACGCAAGCGCGACCTGGAAACGGCTTCTGTGGCATTGAACGGCCAGACATGTTGATGGGATCAATTGAGTCCGTCCCTTATCATCCCTTATCTACAGTCAGCTGTGTGTCGGCGAAGCCGATGCGGTCAGCCATTCAGAATGCACATGGGTTCGCAGCCTGGATGCATAGTGAGATCTCTTCAAGGTCTTCAGTGTCGGGCCTGTTCTCGGAACATAGGATCTTGAGCATGCCCGGAACAGAATACTTCATTTCTTTTGGCGCACGACTCTTCCACAATCGCATATATATATATAATATAATAGAATATATATATATAATATAATATAATATATATATATATATTATAATATATATAATACAAATAATATATATATATATATATTATATAATATATAATAGATAATATAAATATATATATATATGTATAATATATATATATATAGGTTCCATGTCGTTTCGCCTTATTTCGAAAGGTTCGGTGAGCTCTTCGTTGGCTGTTGTCAATCGCTTTTCCTCCATCCCGTCATGGAATGTCATGGACTTCATCAGTTGTATCGCGTCCTTGCCATCGCAAACACCAACGTGCGTCGTCCGTGTGCCATGTCGAACTATGGGACCTGTGCTCGCCGCAGTCCAAATTGTGCTACTGCCACAATCCCTTCGCGGTTTGGACCGTTTTGGTAGGTGCATCTCTACACTGACTCTACACGTCGCGAGAACGTGACATCGACGTACCATCCGGCATCGAAGCTCTGGACGCTTCCGATTTGTGTTCTGCCCTCATAAGGGGATGTGCACTTGGCAATGCGCACATCGTGGTCGTACACTGTTCACGGTCTACTCTGGTTTGTTGTTTTTCGCAGGTTAGTTTAGGGCCCGGACATTTAAAGCTTAAAGTCCACCTGCAGCACCGATCACCACAGTCCAGCCAGGCTCACAATACGTAACTGCCCGTTGCAAAGGGCATTGCAAAGGGCAGCCTAAGTTGTGTATCCTCACAAGGGCCTGGGAGAGACAAGCAGCGTTCGAAAGATGCCGTGTGTGTTGGAACTGGGACGGGTGACTGCTTCGTCAACAAGCTGAGGCGCGAAGGACCAACCACCGGCTCAGGTGGCTTGGATCATACATGATTAGACGTTCAATACGTTTCGCCTCTTGGGAATATAGATAAGACAGTGGCACTGATTGGATTTGGTTGGTTTCATAGACTTGGTCCTATTGGTCAGCTGCTGACTTGTGCCGGTCCCAAAGCTGAGGCACCCATGCTACCAAGGCAGCTTGCTCAAGCCTAGCCGAATTGTTGAGTGTTGGTCCAATGCAGCAGGTGGCTTCCATTCGTTTTTCAGGTCCTACCCTTCACGAGTTGATGACGCAGCACCGGGCAGGGATGCTCGCACTTTCTCCGACGAGATCCTGGACCGTGTGCGTCTGCCTTGTTTAGACAAGGGGCTGATGTCCTGCCGCGCATGCAACTTAGCCAGGTCAATCGGCTTGATCAAAGAAAGCAGAAGGCATTGCTGAAAATGCTGGATTCTCTGGAGGCTGAAATGGGGGTGATGAGGTGGATTGGGTTATATTGAGCAAGATTTGAGTCGGCTTGGAAGGTTCGGAATTCATGTTCTTATGCGGGGAAAGAAGTTTAAATCAAGAGTGTGTACATCCGATGCGAACATGTGCGTGAGCTTCACCTTCAAGCTTTGTAGTCCTCGAGCTATCTCGAGCTGACAAGCAGGGGAGCTTCGAGAAGCACAGCATGAGAGCACCACGAGGGGTCACCAACGTGTTGTGACGTGTTGTGATGTCGAGGAGGAGCACTCGCATCCAGCGCATCCAGCAGCTTTTGAATCCACCGAGGCCTTGGTCATCCTTGGTCATTCTCACTCTCTGCTCACGCTTTGACGTCTTGCGTTTGCACAGGTGCAGCCGACCTCCTTGCAGCCTTCAGCTTAGGAGATGATAACACAAAACAAGGCTTCAGATTTTGACTTGTTTTGGTTGCCTTTCGACCTTGAGGTCCTCGCACTCGGACCTTCGCTTCAAACTCAGCCGCAGGTCACTAGGTCAGGGAGTCCTGAAAGCACGCGAACGCTGCCAACGAGCCGAGGCGGAGCTCGATGTGAGGAGAGAAGTTCTGAGCGGTCTGAGCCCCAGCTTCGATGCCAGGACAACTTGCTAGATTTGGTAGTTGCCGCCGATCCTGCGCTTTGCCTAGAGGGCCTGTCCTTCTGGCAGTCTCGTATCGTTGTTACCTGTTGGCCTCTTGTTGGCCTCCAACCCTCCGTCCCTTCAAGTTGAACGCAGCCGGGCAGCGTGACCGCTTACAGCTGTAACGGGGGGGGGGGGGGGGGGGGAGAGTGGCCCCCGACATTAAACCCCTCACCTACTAGTAAGGGTCTGCAGCTTGTGTTTAACAGAATCGAGGTGCTGCTGCTTTCGTTCGCCCTGCTCTGATTTCAATAGAGGTAGTTGATGAAAGGGTTCATAGCGGGCACATAGTGGGTTAGGAGGCCTCAGGCGGTCGACAGGCCCCGCAAGGGGCCCATGCAGGTCCCAAAAAATTCTGAGAAGGGCCTGAAGATCCACAGGTGGTCCACAGCAAGGCCCGTAGCTGGTCCATAAGGGGTGCCAAGGCTTTCAAGGCTTTGCTCCTAGCACACACTCGGCTCCCAGCATTCCTGGCCAAAAAGCCAAGAATGAAGATGGTCGTCACTTGCGACATGAATCGATAGCTGCTTGGTGAATTTGACTTTGTCGCACTTTGTCGCGCTGTCGCCAAGTCCACCTGAAGATGCGCAGCAGGAGCTCCTGCTCTTGCCTCAATGGTCCTCAATGCGGCAGATTGGATAGACATCAAGCTTATCAAGCTGGCAACTTGCATCTCAGGCAGTCCTTGCAGGCTCTAGAGCTCTTCCGCTCATCGCAGAGCCGAAGGCAGAGAAGTCATACCATCACGTTACGATGTTTCAATTATGTTCGATGGCGATGTGCAGGTTGAACTTTCATAAACCATCCAAGCTGCTTGGGAAGGTTCTTTTCTGCGAATCTGCATGGCGAGCCACAAGAGCAGGCACTATCCCACTATGCCAGTCGAGGGGGCATAAGGGGACGTAGGTCCTTCCGACTTAAGGCACTCTTGCTGTGTCACGTGGTGGTCGTTCGTGTCAAGGATTTTCCTCAAAAAGCTCGCTCTTAAGTCAGCTACGGTATAGGCTTGCGTAATTTGGTAACACATGCAGCAGCCAAATCGGAGTCTTCAGACTCATGCAACACGCAAGGCAAAGTGCCAGTGTGATGTGCTGCATTCTTTGTATGCCGATCTAGAGAGGGTATGGGAGCGTGAGATGTTCTATCACAATAAGTGCTCTAGAGCGATTACGTTGCCCGAAAAGAGAACAACATCACCAACATACCAGGGCGCAAAGTGTGAGCAGACAGCTTCTTGAACTACACGTGCTGGTTTCAAATTGATACGATCCTGCTATCTCTCAAGTCCCACTCCCAACTCCCGCTCCCGGAAGGATCGGCAGGCTCCGACGCCACTGCACGTGTCTAAGGCTTCGGTTTGGTGTAGAGATGTCTTCGCAGTCCCTGTATTTTATGCCCAGGCCCGTTGCCCCCGCCCCTTCTCCTGCTCCTGGCGATCAGCTTGAACAGGCAAGCACCGTGACTTGGTAGAAGAGCTTCGAGGCATTCCGAAGTATCCGAAACTGTCCGTGCTCAGTGCCTGAGGCCCAGTTTGGATCCGAGAAGCAAGAGCTCCTTGCAGAGGCTGGCAGCTGAGGGTGCAGCAAAGAGAGGTGCATGGTTGCCGCTGAGCAAGACCACACCAATGACAACGCAACACCGCAAGGGGACCAAGAACCTCAAGGCCCAAATCTGGCAATTTGCCCTCAACTCCACCAAAGGCACTGAAGGTGATGCAGATGCAACGACAGTGGATTTGGGCCAGAGGAGTGCAAAGGTGCCTGACCCATTGTACAAGATTTTCCTTCATTTTTCATATTGCGCCTTAAAGCACATTGAGGTCCGAGAGGCCCGAGAGCCCACGACCCCCAAAACCAAAGCCGCAAAACCCTGCACATCCGTTGACAATCAAATCGAAGGCCTGCAAGGCCTTAGGTTGGGATTCCTCTATTCCTCCATTGAGCAGACAAGGGGCCGTCTTCGATTCTGGACATCGGAAGCCGTGTGTCATCGTGTGTCTCATGCTTACATGCGAGGCTAGGTGGATTGTCACGAACTTGTGATCGTGCTGTGTCAGGCAGCTGCCATGGGCCTTGAAATCCCTGTGAGAAACTTCGATGACACCGATGCGCTGGACAGTCGGAGCCTGACACATAGGGAAAGATCTGCACTGCAGGCCCTTGTCTATATACAGTACCATGCACTTTTTGCAAATCGTTTGCAGAGGTCTCGTCTCAGCAGAGCCACGTGTGACGCTGGGTTCTGGGGCCTAGCTGCCCTGCTCGGCGATTCTGCACACCCGATGCAATGTCAACTTTTGAGACAGATATGTCTGCTAGCTACTTGTGAATGCACAGAACACCATTCATGCTGAGGCTCCTCCCTCATTGCCAACGAGCTGCAGCAAAGCGTAGTGGGCTTTGAACGACCACGCCAGTCTGGCGTGCCTCCAGACAGTCCAACATGGTCCAACCCAATACAGCTCAGAGTGTTCAGTCAAAGACAAGGTGGTGATCCCAACTTTACCTCGGGGAAGGCAGCTTCCTGGTGCAGTTGGAGTGTTAGAGCAAAGTATCGAGCAACTGGCAAAGAGTAATGTTGCACCCTCTGTAGTGTGTTGCCCGCCCCCCCCCAGAACAGTCGAAGCTGTTTTGTCCCTCTTTACACGATGCACGGGTTTTATATGGTGTTAATAGGGAAAAAGTTTATATAAGTTTAAAAGGGACAGCGATGCCCGGCGATTGATTTAAAGGCGCCCCGCGCGGAATTTTCTTACGACGCCCGGACGGTTTGACTTTTGAAGAGGGACCTGGTCTGCACTCCCAACAGTCAGGGTGTCCTCAATTTGACCATCAGCGGCCCCCTACTAAAGAGGGTGTAACATTAGGTGTCAACAACCTTCGCAGGATGCATGTTGTGCAGGGTCCTGGTCTTCAACTGCGTCTCGACTTGGGGTGACAAGGATTTTGTTGGCCTTGCTGGTGTCCTTACCTCAGACCATTCGAACCCCAGCTGCCCTGGCAACCTTGACCTTGACACTTCGTTGACGCTTCCTGCCTGAGATCGAAATCTTTGATGGCCGTGGATTCCCTGTCGTCTTGAAAGATCTTAATCGACAGGCCAGACGCATACATGTCGTGGCATGTAGCAGCTCGAAACTCCCCCGACACGTTGCATGGCATGGCAGCGCCGTCCAGGTCACTGCCGACCCTCACTCGATCAATGTGATCTCCTTTGTCCAGACATCTGTGCTCGTTGCATTCGAAAGCTCATTGAGTGAAATGCCTCCATAGTCACACAGTATCACATAGTGACAGTGCTACATTCTCTGAGAGGCCTCTGTAATGCCCTGCAGCATCCCCCCACTCCAATCCGCCTTCCGCTCCTTTCTTGCGCAACCAACTCGGTTCTCTCACCTGCCAAGGCGGAAGAAAGTTTCTTACGGTAGAGTAGAACCGAACCATAAACTCAAAGCCAGCTCAGGCTGAGCATTGAGCCATTGAGGTTCTGGACGAGTATGACCATGATCCTCGCACTCCGGACAAGCTCTTTGACCAGGCCTAAGGCAACAGCTGATGGAACACCTTCAAGATGTTCTGCCTGCTCCAGGTCAACCTGACTCGCGATGATCTTCATGTGTGGCTGCATGCCTTATCACTTTCAGCATAATGATCGTGTAGGCATCCAGCTAAATCCAATTGTCATCGTCATTCGTTGTTTTTAGAACCTGCGAAGGCTTGCACCCTTCTTCAACGGCCGCGTGCACACAGTTCGGCACTTACGGGCACAACACGTCGAGAAGTGGTGTCCCTTTTTGGTTCTCCCAGGTGACAGTGGACCTGGACTGCCAGACTGAAATCAGCATGATTAGAGTCTCCTGGCTTTTCAAACGTGAATGCGCTCGTGCATGATTGATGGAAAAACGTATGTCAGCTCCGCCGTCAAGGTCTGGAACTACAACAAGTCTCGTCTGCACTCGAGCAGGGGCGTGAGGTTCGGAAGCTCAGCTCTTCCCGTTACTTGGGGCTGTGAAACTCCGTAGCATGCCGTGACAATCGCCTGGCCGTGCAAGGGACCTGGAAATCCTCTTGGACGGTCATGCAATCTTCATTGGGGAGGTGATCGCAAGGTTGCTCCTTTTAGCACCATCTCAGAAGCAGTCGGTGGTGTAGGTCAGGCGAGCCCCTGGGGTGTTGACCAAACCGGAAGAGGTCCCTCTGCGCGGTTGCTGTTCACATACACCAAGTGCTTGCCCCCTTGGCTCTAGGCGTGCGAACTCATCCTGTTCACGCAAGATGAGTCCGTTTTAGAGGCATGGCATTGAAGTGAGTGCAGTGGCAGATGCGCAGAGTCGCGATGCCAGGCAGTTGCGGAACATGACTGGTTGCCAGCACATCTGCCGGTCGACTCTGATGAGGCGCCAACGTCACTCCTGCTTGTTCATGAGACGAATACAGAAATTGGTAATTAATTATGCATGCCGGTAGGTTTAGGAGCAAAAGTAGCAGATAAGCCCATGCATATACCTACACATATGATATATATATATATGTCTATCTATATACGTGGTGTTATGTATGTATGTAAATGTACACATATTCATACATGTTTTTCTCACTCATCATTTTTTCTGCTTCCGCGCCTCCCTCGAGGACCAACTTGGCAAGCACACATTAGAACACAACTCCCCCTCGTAACCCCCAAAAGAACGGAAGGCAGAGACTGGCTGCACAATTTGTTGCATATGTCTTCTCTTGGGGGTTGGTGTTTAAATTTCGGATGTTTTAACATGTCGTGGTAGGGTGGGGGGGAAGTTGATTTAGATGTTTCGGAACTTTGGGAGTATGCTAGGTTGAAATCTTGACTGCTTATACTCGACCCCCAAAACCCTGAAAAGCGTGACGGTATCTTTTGCATGTTGTACACAATGTATACATACATTATGTATAACTATAGTCATATATGTAGATGGGCGACCGCCTACGATGCGCCCCCCCACCCCCCACCCTCCCCCCTATGGTCAAAGACGCATCAACGTTTGCAAAACCGCAACATCATAAGGTTCTTACCAAATTATTCAGTTATTCATTTGAAGACGTATGAAGATACTCTACAGAGAGCGAGAGAGCTAAGCATGCAAAGAGAGAGAGAGAGAGTATGTCCGACATTCAAGATCATAAGATTCTCCTCTCGGGGGTTGTTCTTTGGATGTTTTTTGTTTTGTTGGCTCACGGGAGCCAAAAGTCGACAAATCGAGAAGACGTTCAGTCACAAGACTAAGAGTGCTCTCAGACGTAATTTGCATGCATATTCGAAAAGGAATCCTGGAAAGAAGTGGAGACCACGTAAAACAGGTAGGGGCGGGGCTTTTTTGGTTTTATTTTTGTTGTGTTGGCAGCAGCTCCAGCTTTGTCTGGCAGGAGTTTCAGGAAGATGCAGCTGAGGCTTAGAGCGTTTTGCGTCACGCTTCCTGTGCCATTGTTGATGCTCCGCCTTCAACAGCTTCAGAAGAGGCATTATGCTTAGCAGGCCGATGAATTCGGTGCTCTTGGTGGCAGACCCCCAACTGCTGATTGTGCACTCGTCTGGTGCTCAGATGGCATCTGTTTGACTGGCTGTGTGCTCGACAAGCCATATCAATGTTGCGAAAGTGCTGACATACACAACAGCATCTGCAGATCCGCCATCGCATGAGAAGCTAGAGCAGATGTTCGCCTTGAATAAAGACCAAACCCAAGCCAGTCTCAGATGTGGGTTTGCAGTGACCCAAGCTGACCAAGCTTGGATTGTTGCCAGGCCGGGGGATTTTCGCCTCGCGGACAGGACTGAGCTTGCAACAAACACCTGTGTCGCACTTTTTTCGAGATGCTTTCCGTGTCCATCAGAAGACGCCGCGCCTCTCTGATGGCCGGCCACTGACGCGGGCCATGGAACGATCAAGGGGACGCGGGACAGCCTGCGTCCCAAGCACCACTGCATGGCAGTCCTTTGGCAATACGCGGGCGCATGCCAAGGTTTGCAGCTCTATCACTCTGCTGGTCCACCTTGCTATTTTGCCATTACATGCCATCAATAAGCAGCAGAGCTGTCCAGCGGAAGAGGCATCGAGACCCTTGCCAGGTCAACTCAACCTGGGGAGATCAGTTCTACGTGGGACTGACAGCGCTGGAGGCGAGGCGAACAACGCCATGTTGACATGTAAGTGCACCTTCATTTTCTGTTCCGGAGGGGGGGGGGGCAGGATGCAGTGGTTCGGCTTGGGTCAAAGCATCTGCATGGGCACATCGGCAGGTCCTGGATGGAAATCTTGCCCCTATTCCATCAGATGAGGCTCCGTGGCATGTTTTCAGCGGAGCCAAGATGCATCAGTGTTGGGACAAGGCCACACCTGGCAACTGTTAATCATCTTGCATACTCTACATTGCTACACATTCCTGAAAACCGTCTGCATGTACTCATGCAAGCTTCAACGCAACTCTGCTTGGCTTCGGCATTCCAAAAGTCTTTTCTGGGTTTGGCAAGCAGGGCAAATTGCGTGCTCAGCTCTCACATACTTCTGTCGCGTCCCCTTCCTCAATGCGCAAACACCACTGTGGGCTGCCCGTCATGTGAAAAGTACATAGCCACAAGGATGCGTGCAGTTTCCTATCGCTACATCCAGAGCAAAGCTCCAGAATTCTGGATGTTCTTCGAACGCTCCAGATGCTGCATCTTCTTTGGCTTCAAGTTGTGGGGGCATGCACGCAAGGCTCTTGCATCTCCCAATTAGCTGGTCAACTGCCGTGTATAAGTCGATTTGTTTGCGGAATGCAACCGAGGGTGCCAGAACAAAGCAAAAGCACACACATCGGGAACGTCTTATGCCGGCCCTGTTGGGAAGACACTTGTGGACATCAGGTGAAGCTGGAAGCGTATCCCAGAGACTTGAATGATCTTGAGGCAGGAAGAGACGGGCATGGTTGAAGGATTTGCCTGTCGATGGGCCGCTCTCAGCCTTGCAGGGGGTGGAGGGTGATGTCCGAACACTGAGCAACCTTCTGAACGGGGCGCGCCCGTCAGTTGCCCTCTGCTGACTTTCACAACAATGGATTGTGTTAACTGCCCAAGGTTTGCTGCACGGTAGATGACCAGCACATGTGGCTTGCACCCTTCTTGAAGGCGTGCAACTTTGCTGTTTTGGGCTTCTAAGATCCTGAGGTGTCTGTGTACGTGCATGATGCATTATGATGCAATATGAGGCTGCGCCTGAGACTTTGGATGACGACCAAAACGACGTGAGCGTTCGAAGCCCCAGTGCAGCAGCACATGGAGATGCTTAAGTGTGGATGGTGGATCAACCACATTGTGCTCGCTTGCCAGCAGCGCAACTACATCCGCATCAGCTTTGATGCAGACCGTGAGGCACGAGGGTTGCCTGTGCAGTTGGAGAGCAGCGAGAAAGACTAACACTGGCGGCAAGCATCAGATTCTGCACTTCTATGACTCCGCTTCTGGCTTTCTGAAACGGAGGTTGCAGGATTCAACGTCTGGAACTACAACAAGAACCTGGAGGACTTTTGCTTCACAATGAACCAAGTTTATGACATCTCGGTGCTTCCAAAGGCAAACCAAAGCATGCTACTTCTTCAGTCCCATGAAAGGACACATGCAGAGGCATTCGGGAGTTTTCTGTCTATTGCGATGACAGGCCTTTTGCATGAATTCATTATCCCGCTTGTGCGAATCATGTGTGTCAGAAACAAGTTGCAGAGGTACATTGCCACATTCCTGTGCCGTAAAGCTCCGGGCAGCATGCCCAGCATTCTCTCGACACAGTTAGGCGGCAATCAGCTTGAGTTTTGCTATTTCCCCTGACATGTAGGATTCGTAAGACCATATGCCATATGCCATGTCTCTGGATGCGATGCTCTAGGCCACGTGCACTTCGATTTCAAGCAGGTTGTTCTCCTTGACCAGCCGCCTTCCGTGCGCTACGCATAGTCCAAGCGGCTGCGTGACAAGTTGCCGAAGCGCCACTTGCCAGGATCTTGCCAGACGGGCTCCACCTCGGCTGCCCTCTCGCTCTGCAAGCAGGCCAAGGGCACAACATGGCATGACCTGCTTACATGACCTGGTTGAGAATTGCAAAAGGGTTCTTCCCTTTTCTTACTCTGGGACAGTACGTAACGGTTGAAGGCGGCGCGACGGTGAGAATCGTGAAGCGGCCAGGGCTCGACCACCAAGCGGATCCGAAAGGAGTGCCGCACTGCCACTTGTAGTGTATGCCGATGTTGTCTGTCTCAGGCGAGTCATGTCATTGACACGCACACACAAGCTTTTAGACTGTCTAATTCTATTTTGCAGGGCTCTTGGGCACTACCATGCACTACACATGTGTTGCTCCGGCATGACTTTGATCAGCCAATATATGAGTTCTCAGATTTTGGAATGATGACTGCAGTGCTGATCAGGACACCCGCGCAGGTGGAGGTTGGAACAAGGCTTGTCGCAATTCTCGCATTTCAATGCTGGATGTGTGAAAGACGAATACAACCTGCACAGGCTCGCTGAGCGATCACCCTGTTCCATAGACCGCCCACCACAGCAGTGCGACTACGCAAGTTGCGTGTACCGTCACAGCAGTTGCTTGCCAATGTGTTCATGCATCTCGTGCCAGGTACGAAACCCCCCTCCACCCATGTGGTTTCACATTCAAGCTACTGTTCGCCAGTACATGGTCGGATGCATCGCGCTCAGTTGGGCTCGCAGTAGAAAGATCTTTCACACCTTACACTTGTGTTGAGAGTTGCAAGTACGACAGGTTCACTATGTTGGACTTGATGGTGTTGAGGTCCTTGCCACACGTTGTGCGATCATGCTTATGGTATAGTAAAGGAATCACCAGATCGCGTGTGATCTGGTCGTGGGTTGTAAGATGGTGTTCCGTGCAGATCTACGATGCATCGGGAAGGCCACTGAGGCCTGAAGCCGGCGCTTCTGCTCTGGAAGGGCTTCTCAGTTGTGACAGAGATCTTCGATAGTCTTTGCATGTCCTGGGCACATGAAGCCACCGATGAATGATCTGACTTTTTCGCATTGAATGCCGTGTTGGCTCTGCGAAGATGCAGGCCGAAGCGTGCGCATTCCAACCATGGCAGTGTCAGGCTCAACCTGCGCCGGTGCACTGGTGTCTCATTGGTGTGACCCCAAAAGATGCTAGGATATGTCAGCTGTCAGGGACTTGCCGGGCATGGAAGCTGATGTCCGCACGGAGGCACCTTGCATGGCCTTCAGATCAAAACCTAATCATGCTGTAATCGCCAGTTTCAAAAGTACCCAGAACTCTTGAAATTTGCTGTGTGCTTGCGTGCATTTGCCTGCCCGGGTGCCCCGCTTAAGTCCCCGCTTAGGTCAGCGAGTGCAGGGCGTGCTTAGCACCTCTTTTTCTACACTTTGTACCGCTTCTGTCCAGCGCCTTAAGCGTGCGCAATAGCAAGCGTGCATACTGCGTGTATCAACGATTCTCATCGTATATCGCTGTTGTATCTGAGCGGAAGCTCACAAGGATTCGGACTGGGTACCGGTCGGGGTATTCGGCCAGACTCGCTCTGAGGGATGGTCCTGGTGGCAAGAATGAGAAATTCAGAAATAGCATGGCTTTGTGGCACTTATGAATCGTTATTATGTAGCGCAATAGCAAGGACAGCAAGGACGGGCAAATGCATGAGCTGGATGAAAGCTTGTGCCAGTTCGCATTTAAGGCCAACTTGCTTTAACTAAACTGTCTAGATTCTAGATTTTGAGAAAGATAAATGACATAATGGAATGCCTCCCAATTATTCAAGTCTATCGCTTGCATAGTCGTATAGTAGTCTAGTATGTCAATCATCTTTCGGCTATTCCAACTAGAGGAGGCCAGTTCCATTAAATTAGGAGTAATTCAATTAACATAATTAACCCTTTCATTTTTTCAGCTTGGCTAACTTGACTAATTTGACGTGTTTACACAACGAAGAATCGAATAACGTAAAATCTGACTGTTAAGAGGCCGAAAATGTAGGCGCCATCCGTTTTTACTACTTTAAGCTAGCGAGGCGACTGTTGAAAAAGGCACAGATTCCTTTTCTCCGCTTTGTTACGATTTGTGGTACATCCAAGGTCAAAATGCTCTAGTTGAATTCGTCGCGCTACATACTTGATGCTCTCATGCAAAATGTGAGAGTTCGTGGCATGCGTCTGATATTTCGTGCCGATACAAGGTGTGGCCAGTTTTTGGCATATCGCTTTCTTCGCTCGGAAGGGCCTCTTCTGCAATTGTTCAGCTGCGGTTGTCTTCCTGACAGTCCACACCCCGACCTCGAATCATCTTGAATCGGTGACAGAACGTCGCTGGTGGTTGTTCTCGCACGACGGTTCCCAGTGTAAGCAGTTTGCCAACGTTGGCTTCCTCGATGGGGGCAAACGTTGGAGAGCTCCTGTATTGAAATTGGATGCCATCAGCGAAAAGTATTCCGCTTGATTCCATCCAGATCCACCCAGCATGCAGATGTCAAAGTTTGCATGCCTGTATGCTTTAATCACCCAGCACCCCTGCAAATTTGCGATAATTTGTGCGTGCATCACCAACTGTGAGTCGGCTTTGGACGTTAGAGGACACCTTCCTCAAGGGTGCCCCCGGCAACATGCGGATGTGGCCAGGAACCCAGCGCGCTTCACAGTTGCATGCATGCAATAAAGACGCAAAGGTGTAAGCTGTGCAAGGTATTCGGATGGTACCGGTTCTTGTTATACAAATGGGAAAGGGAGTTCAGGGTTTGAAAGCCCTAAATCTAAAATCAACATTCACCGTGTCTGAAGCTATCTTACACAAAGCCGGCAGGATCGCCGGAGGCTTGAGGTTTCAGTCGGCTTTGGCAACCTGTTAGGGTCTGAATGTTCAACGGAGCGTTTAGGGTTTTGAGCCTATGTAGGGTGTATGTCTTCCGACTCCACTCCAGGGCTCTAGGGCTCTTGGCAACTAGCTAAGGCTAAGCGAAACGGAGCCAAAGATCTTCATCATTTTCAACGGTCGCCTGAGTTCGAACCAAAACAGCTACAAACAAAAGCCCCGTTGACAATCCGTAAGCCCCAAAAGCACTGCAGATCCCGAAAACCCGTAAAGAAAAAAATCGGTAAGCCACTAACCCCCCCCCTCCCCAGTGACGACTTTCTGTCTGCAGGTTGGCGCCCTTTTTCCGGCAGCCGCCTAACTATGTTTGTCACTGAGTCGGGATCGGTTGGGCTGCTTTGTTATGTGAAGTTGCAAGGCAACGTGGTGTACGTGGCGTTCTGAGGTCGAGCTAGTTTTTGACGAGCCGACACAGATCTCGTCAATGAAGTTCTGGAACTACTCCAGGAAATCTTCGATGGGTGCTGTGTTCTACGGTTTGCATTGAACAAAAAGTGATGCCGTGCCTCTTGTCGTCAACCGCAACAGCATCACACCTGCGACAGGACTCCATCGCGAGGTGTGCGTGATGTCGAAGTCTACGCAACCCGGATGCAAGCAGACGACGGCAATATTCTGCGAAAGGGATGAACTGTAATGATGCATCGTGGAGGTGGACGATCTATTGATCTATCAGGGAATCCTGAGACAGGTTCGCTGCACTGCGCTTCGCACTACTAACTACTACTTGTGATAAAAATGCTGTTGAAGGCGTCTGGTAAAGATGGAGGCGGCCGAAGCTGTTGGCACTGCTGCTGCATCTGTTTGGGAGAAGATACATTGATCCAGTTCGAGTTTAAAGTGCCCTTCCATTGCCATTATACGGTTGCCCAAAACTTATCAGGTTAATCAGGGTCAGCAAACATATTCTTCATTCAAGATCCAGGTCCCAGACTCTGTAGTTCATGAGAAAGGCCCTAACTTGGAGGTGCAGCTGGGGACCTCGCACTACTTACAAGTATCAGAGTGGAGCTTTTTGGAAGAAAGCAGGAAATTTCGGAAGTCCTGGCCGAGTAGAGTTGCGCAATGGCTGTGATCCTGGAAGTATCTAGCAGTGCTACATCTGTGCACGAAGCCCAGAAACCAAATCGCGAACCATCCCGGACCCAAAGCCTGCACCCCCCTCATACTGCCACGACACAGTTACACATCACGACACTCTGGCGACACCTCTCTTCCCCTGCAGTCGACAGAAAAAGCTCTATGGCAACGGTCTCACACTGCTGTTCGGAGGTGAGAGTGTCTTGTTCACAGACCAATCCAAGATCATCGAAAGGCGGCGGACGGACAGCTAAGATCGTAAAACGGGATGATCTGCGCTGCACGTCGATCGAATCATACAGATCTTCGGCAGAGTTGTGCCAATGTGGCAGGGAACGTGCGTTCATTTACCAGCCAAGTGTAGGCCTTGGAGTCCTTGGAGACCTTTGGTCATGTCAACTGCAGTTTGATGCAGTTTGCACTATTTCGATGTCAGTGGTTCCTGTATTGGTTGGTACCGTGCCGTCTACGCGTTTACGCGTGTCCACCTCAAGAGGTCCCGATGAGCTGATCACCTTCATCGATGAAAGCCCAGCCTCAGCTTGTGTTGAACTTTTTGCAGAGCATCTGTATAGACATGTATAGACTGTAGCAACATGAGTTTAGTGTCTGCCCAAGGGTGCACCTCTGTAATGCGACCTGCGAGGGCGTACTGAGCACTGAGGTGTTAGCTACAATTCATCCTGCAAAAAGTGTCTGAATTGGCGGCTTAGGAGGACAATGGGAGGCTACTGGACGTGCTGCAGGCCTCCGCTGCGCTGTGATGAGTCACTGTTGGGTCTCACTCTGGCCCCACATTCAAGACTTGAGGTGTTCCGCTGGAACGACCCATGACGGCGCTCACATCCGTCACTTAGTTCTGAGCACCTTCGCATCCGGAAAAGCTGGGAGTCTGGGAGTCTAGCATTGCTGTCTGCGACAAGATCGAAGGAAACCAGCAAATTCGGGTAATGACCGACGCCCAAGAGCCTGCTTCGAGGGCTGGGCTTGTACATACTGCTCGCTGACGCTGGGCTGCACCGAATTCTGTCCGGCAGAGCTTGCTTAGACAGTCTCGGCAAAATTCTTTCCCATGCTCTAAAGAATGTGTCGCTCCCGGAAGAGGAGGAGCTGCAAACATGACTCGCGAGCATGTCTGGCAAATCCGACTCTTCGTTGCCTCTGCTATGTCTCAAGATATGTTTGTTTATAGTGTGCACAGATCAGCAGGGCAATGGCAAGCTGCTGTACCTTAGCCCAGGCCAGCGTGGAAGCGCTAGCCATGCTGTCCTTCTTGTGCCACCCTGTGTGTCTTGTGTGTCTTCTCCAGGTTGAGTTGCCCCATGGATCGCAGCCTCCGAGTGACAACAGCCACTTCTCAATATTGGAAGCCTGACGCGAGCGGTTCCATGGCGGTAGTTGCCGTTGTGTATCTTCATGATCTGCTCTCACCGAGGTGGTTGGTGCTTATGATTTGGTCTGTTGGCCATGGGGTGCGGATGTGTTTCGCAACACCAGGCGTCCACAAGGGAGCACAATCGCTGCTAATCTCCTAACTAAGAAGACTTGGATGTCAACGGGATTTTGCCGCCCGGTGCGTGATGCAGGTGGGAATTCCTGGTGGGGGACCTCGCCAGTTTTTATACACAGCAACAGACAAGGACTGGTGTCCTGCCACATGCTTCGTTGTGATGCCCACGGCTCTGGTCACGAGCAGTTAGAATAGCTCATGGCCTTGCACAAATTTCCAGGAATTTGTCCGGACATTGGACAAAGAGGAGCTCAAGGACTCGTCGCCACGATCCGCTGCTTCCTTGTCAGATGTCGGGTGCATGTAACAGAGCATTAACGTCTTAACGTGAACAAATGTGGCCAAGCACAACATCAGGGCCTCAGGGCTACACAGACAGGGGCTCTTTCTGACTAGCTGTCTCACCAGAGCAGCCCGAAGCTTCGACGGCACAGGGCCACGAGCGCCATCCAAATGCAAACGTTAGATTTTTGGAGAAGTGACACGTCACGATGGCCTTTGAGTCAGTACTCAGTACCACTGTAATCACCCAGGCCCCGCAAACATGTCGCCCGAAGACTCGTCGTCGCAGATGCCATGTCTCGCTAGCATAGTTGCTCAAATCAGAATTGAAACTTTCAACATGTCAAGCATCTTTACTAAGCTGCGTCTCCGTCACCCAGCTACCACAACATGTCGTATATTTGTGGCGCACTCGGTTCTTACAATCCAGCTCTGCTTAAGATGCACAATCAATAAAGTGCTGCCGGGTAGTGCTCGTTCAGCGTGTGGCCGACAGTTGCAATGAAACCGGGCGCACCTCTGCGCACACGAAGCAAAGACAAAAGATGCAACGAGCATTCGAAGTCGAGCAATGCTTGTAGCGATGGCCTAAGCAAACAACGCAAATGGGTGACAAGCGCCAAGGATCGCGAAGCAAACGATGACCAAATATGAGCAATCTACCGTCGGCTCAATTGCGTACTAGTCTTCGCCTTAAGCTTCCCTACATCTTGCAGTGATTGCAGCGCCGCAAATCAACCAAATGCATACCATGGCATTGTTCAACAAGTCAAATCCTGTGCCCCCGCAGGAAAAGAATCTGCTCCTGACGTACTTCCGGCTAGATCACGAGGCAAGTACTTGGCGTCTTGTAGCCGAGATCCAAATGTTTGCAGAATTTTGCACATTTTGCACACGCTCCAGGGACATTTCGTTGTTACAGATGGATTTCGAGACCTCGTTCGCCGAAAAGGCGTACCAAGGAGGCCAGGCTAGAGTCGTAGAGGTGTACAAAGTGTTCATAAAGTGTTGTTTATAAGTTTATACTGTTTAAGCCTGAACTCAGCGCGAACCTTTCTTGAGGTATCGATGGCGAGCCTGGCGGGCACTCACAGGAGCCTTGCACTTCTAAGTCTTTTCAGTGTGTAGACTAAGACGCTATGATGCAAGTACAGAAATAAGAGGTCATGCGTGGCATGCATCGACTGTCTCAGGTTGGAGTGCCCTTTCAAAGCCAGGCTGGTACGAGAGGACCGTGGCCGTTGGCTGCCGTCGGCATCAGTAATTGATGTGTTCCTTGTGACTGGTTGAGGGTTTCTTGTCCTCAGTACATGCATGAGTGGTCCAGCATCTGAATACTTCACCCACCCCTTTGGCACCAGAGCAAGAACTCAGCTTGTCGACATCGTAGCCTCGTCGCCATCTTGATGGCACTCACATGGCCATGATCGATCAGCCGACCATGCTGGAAAGAAGCCTCCCGAACGAGAGAGAGAGAGAGACATGCATGTCCAACAGATGGGCAAGTAATGAAGTTGCAAGTGTCCATGCTCAACTGTGGATTTCAGCTCTCGAGATGGGAATGGATGTTGTGCACGTGTAGTCATAAATCAGATGCCGGTCGTTCCTGTTGAACCCCTTTTTGTGGGAGGATAATGCGAAAAGCCCCGGACTCCAAGACAGTGGAGGCTATAGAAAAAGATCTCGACAGGACGCGTGAGCTTGGAAAATCTTGGGAAATTGCAGGTGCTAGGCTGCAGACATGAAGGACTTTTCCTGGCGTAGAAGATTTCGACGACAGGAAGAAGCGAGAGCTCGCCATTAGCTCGGGTCGCTAGAGAGCTCCAGCAGCTTGTGATGCACATGGAAGCTGACAGGCAAACATGCTCCGAGCACATGCAGGTCTTTTTCCAAGTGTGGGACCCTCAAAAGCTTTCCACGACGATTTCTTGTGTCACTGCAAAGAGTCAGCTTAATGCTCCACAGATCACATTTTTGTCTGCAGGTGGGATATTGCCAGGGCATGAACTTTGTTGCCGGTTTTCTCCTCTTGGTCGCTGGAAGAGTCCCAGATGCAGCAAAGGCTCGAGCGACACGTCAAGTAGTCGTTGTGCACGAGTTGGAAACTTGAAAGTGTCTTTGCATGAGCCTATGTTTTACCTCCTTTGGCAAAAGGAACAGCATTTTTTGCAGGGGGGCGGGGTACTGTGTGGCCCAGTCCTTATAAACACGGCAGGATGCATTCTTCCTACTCGTGCAAATGATGGTCAAGTGCTCGTCGACATGTGCATCTTGTGCATGCGCTGTAACCCTGGCACTTGACGACACTTCACCCGATTCTGCTATGATTGGCCCTGACAGGTACCGAGCAAACCTCCTGTTCTGTGATGGTCTCCCTCTTCTGAAGCTTCATACGCCTCTTGGACACAGTTGCACAGCTCTCCTTCCACTTGCCATTTGCAAAGCACCTCCTCTACAATTTCACTGCAGTCTTTGAATGTCGCCAGGTTTCAGTATCGTATTCTGTTGCAGCGGCTGTTTCCAGATGCTGCCGCCTGAGTGTCACATCCTAACAGAGTGGTTGTAGCGCAGTGCTATCTCTGCTGTTGTTGCATCGTACTGCCTCGTGATGGTATCCTAATGATCCTGATGTCCTGAAGGTCCACCGACACTTCACAGAAAACCAGATTACGCCTGAACTCTATCTGACCAAGCCAGACCCTCAATCTTCCGGATCTTGCGGCTCATTTTGCAGTCGTGTAAGTTCGGTCATGACTCTTTCATGTCTCGGAAACTGCAACTCCGGCTCGAGTTTTGTCGGGAATGAATCGACTAGAGCTTGACGCATCTTGACTTCACGAGGCAAAGCGGTTGGCAGTCAATTCTATGATGCATTGCGTGATACTGCGTGTCAGTGAGTTTCACTGAGAAACATTCAAAATGCTATGAATTGCGGTGAATTGCTGTGAACGTTGCAACCTTTCAGCAGGCCCGGAGCCTTCGATGGCAGTCAGATCGATTGTCCTCCTTTTATGTGCGGCAGCTGCATCTGCTGCGTGCCCCAATGTGGCTTCCATCTTCTTGAACAAAGTTTTATCAGTTTTCGTTGTAAGTCAGAAGCATGCAGAGCTTGATCCGTCTAGCTTTGAATGCGCTCCTTTCGACCAGGGTGGTGTGGAGATGCATGGGCGCTGCTGGTACCTGGGAGCCGAGGGGGCAACGTGCGGTCAGACTTGTGCTGCACAGGCCGCCAAGGTGAAAAGTTGTGTTCATGCGGAACTTCGGAGAGATAGGCAAAGACAGGCAATGACTCGCCTTGCCAGGGACTAGCTTATGATCATTTCGTGGCAGCGGATGCTATGCCCATGGTGCCTTCTCTTTTGGGGCGAGCCCCAAGAACGAAGCAGTCCTCTAGCTGCATTGGTGCAGCACTGTGGAAAGACCGTGCAACGACAAGGAAGTTTTGATTGTAAAGATAAAGCCTGTACATGAGGTGCTTCTTCTCGTTTCGTGCATTTTTTGGTTGTTGACAGAACAAAGGTTCCCCTGGGGAAGGATCGAATGCTATGCTCCTTGCCTCAAGACGAGCATCAAGCATCATCAGGCGGACCAGACATTGTTCCGGACCATATCCGGATTTTCTTTGAGGTTCCCAGTGCTGACCGCTACCACACAGCCAAGCCCGCCCAGAGCGCGGACACCGGAGATTCGGGAGCCCCGCAGGACTGGTCGGCTACATGGCACCGAAGATTAGACATATTAGACTTGAGAGCTTATGAGTTCATGTCTGAGTACAATGGATTGGTCGGCCTTCCCTCGACCAAGAGAACACAAGCGACGCACACTTCCATCATCGTGTGCTCATGTATGCTCTAGTGAATAAGACTGTAGAATGTGCGTTTCGCCTGCCAAAGCCTTGCTGCAGAGTGCGTGGCGAAGTAAGGTCGGCATATGTCGTCTGATGCCCAGTGGTGGAGCATGCGGCATGTGCACCGCTAATTTGCTGAGGACGCTTCAATGATTCAGCCCTTCAAGCAGAAATTTTGTGCAATCGTCACCAGAGAGATACCTCAGAGTCTATTGGTTTGTGTCAAGGCCTTGCGTGCGCCTGTGCGGGCAGCTCTGCTGCTGCAGTTGGCTTTCCGGGCTGTATACAGCCCAGCGTTGTGCTGCGACACGCGGGCGCGCATGTGACCTGTCAGCAGATCAGCTGGGCTCACCATGCTCATCACTTCACCTACTCCTGCGCTCTCAAAGACACAAGTAGTTTACTCTCATCAGGTTCACAACAGTTGTTCAGGTAGATAGGGTCTGAACCTCAACGCATCGACTACTTGCAAAACATGTTGCTACGAAGCTGCAGCGCTTCATGTTTGAGCCGCGCTTCGAATCGTGTTGGGGACCTCGGCCGTCTGGGGGAAGTTTGAGGAGAGAATGCTTGACTTGTCGACTTTTTCACATTTTCACACCTGCAAACCGATCATTGCAAAATCATGGGAAGGCATTCCAAGAAGAAGGGTGTGTCTGTGTCACTCACACTTCAGAAATCTGTAATGTCGAATGGTGGTAAGAAACATTCCTTCTGATCGAGAGCGGATGGAGCCTCCCTCGAGAAGGCTCCGAACCAAGAGCACGAGAGTCGCGCCGGTGACAAGCAAAAGTTTTCAAGTTTCAGGCACATTGGACAATGGCATTTGAGCTGTTGCTGGTCACTCCGCCCGATAAAATGCTGGCCGCTGACTCGTGTCAGAAGGTGTTTCAGTACCTGAGCCGACCTGCGAAAAGAAACGCTCACCACCAATCAGCTTACAAGCCAAGAGAGGCTCTCCCAAAATGATCAGCGTCAGGTTTGCTTCCAAAAACAAAAGCGGGCATCAAGTAGAATCAAGGGGCCAAACGGTGTTGGCATGAGATGCAGGCGATCTTTGCTGACGTTAGCGTGTATGGAGCTGCAGGTGGGGTCTTGCTGTGCTTGATTTCGTGTAGCTTTCAGGATTTGTGAATGTCTGCACTAGCGGTGAGGCTGTTGGCAAAATGACTGCAAGAACTCTGACAAGTTCATCTCCGACTCTCCAGTTCTTTGTGCTCGCACGTGTGCCGAGCTGGGCGACTGTACGCACTGGACGTTGCCAGGACGCGCTTAGATTCGCAGCTTAGACTTGCCTCGCCTCATTTTGATTGAAACTTGGCTTTACCGCATTTACCTCATTCTGCTTGAGGTTTGGCGAACAGGATGGCCTGGCGTCTCAGAGATGTTTGCACGAAGATCTGATACAGCATGTGTGGCACTGCGTGTATCTCTCGAGGCGCGCAGAAATGCTTCTTTCGCAAGTCAGATGGTGGCCGTGAAGTTCTTGAAGGATGGTCAGCAGGTACGTGCACAATATCCCAAAGTCTAGTTCTTGCTCCATCGGACCGGCTCAAAGTAAAAAGCATGCGCTGTTGCTACAGGTACAAAGGCGTGTGCTCCATCCTCCATTCCCGAAGCTTTCCAGGCTGTGTAACATCTACTGTGTCATCACATGTCCCATGATTCCACATACTGCTTTCCCTGCAGGCTTCGAAAACTTCAGACTTGCTGAAGCGCTGTGATGCAGCTCAGATGCAGCTTCTGATGTAGGGCATTTTTGGTGTATGACCATAGAACTGGCTCCGAGGCTGGTCTTTCTGATTCATGTCCCGACATGGCGAAAGCCGTGAACACTTGGCAGTTTGCCATCAGAAATCTGAAAAAGGCAGGCGGTCGTATGCTAGAGCTGCTTGAGCTTGAATGTTGTCGTGTTCCTGGACTTAGCGCATTGAAGGCTGCAGGGTCCAAGCTGGATGCAGGGACCCTTCAATATGTCAGCCAGATCGAGGCAGGACTAGTTCATAGTCGCAGACCTGAAGCCAAAGTCCTTGTGTGCAGGCCGACACTACTGCCTTTGCAGCACAGATGAGTGATCAGAATTTTCCTCTCATCATGTCAAACAACCGGCAGGCGGGTTACGTGCATGCTGCTGCAATCAACTCGAGAATCGAGAACCGAATAAGAAATGCTACAGAAAACACAAAAACTAGTAAGAGCTAACCACTGGGCAACATGTGTTCAACTCTGCTTTGGTTTATGCATGTAGATGCCGGAAAACTACTCTCACAAACTGGAGTAGAGACGGATGTCTACTGGGTGACAAATGCAGTACTGTAGAACCACAACTGAAACGGGAGAAGCAGCCTAAACTTGAGACACAAAATCTTGCAAGCATAAGCATACTATATCGTGCCGACGAGCCTTGACTTATGCTGCTGTAGAATACAAGCCCTACTTGTATGACTAGATTACACTTACTATGCTATATACCTGCGCCTGGTGGGTGTGACGACTGTCGTGCACATGCGACCAGACCAGACCGTTTGGGAATGGCAATGTGTGTGCTGATGCCGCCACATGAGATTTCATTGAATCCTGTACAGACCTTTATATGAAACAGGGTTTATATTTCTTTTCTTCGTGAATATATTATATGGTTCCCTACCAATCTTGGTGAGTGTACATGTTGGGTGTCCTTATAGGGATACAACTAGTAAAAACCCTACTGCATATCAGAGTCTATCAGACAAAGCAGTGGGAGGGTCAGCAGGATGGCATTGCACATAGCAGGCCCAGTGAGGGTTTGAGAGCTAATGCTCGAGTCGAGGTTTCTGTGTCCGACTCCAAAAGAGTCCTGTAGCGTTCTGCCCGTCGTTTGTTGGCCCTTGCATGAGCTTCAAATACGATATCCATCAACGTCAGTTATGCTGTCCTATGTTGTCCTTCGCCCATTGCGACGTTAAAGAGCCAGTGCTGCACTGTTTGTTGCGACAGGTCTTCCAGGCGCTGCAATCCTGGATGGACAGTCAACCGAAGGCCGGTCACATGATGTCACCTTCACAACAGACATGTCACAACAACTTTTCTGAGACAGCTAGAAATTCAGAATCCAGATTGGAACAGATGTAAGCGCGTAACAAAAGCAAGTAATACTGTTGCACATCTTGCAGGTTCAAGTTGACACCAGCGACTCTTCCCTTCCACTCCCTTTGCGGGGGAGCTTCTGTGGGCCAGTGGCATGTTATGGAGCCTTGGCCGGACTTTGTCACCCACCTTCTGTCACCCTCGTAGTCGTAGACTGTGAATTGTGGGGACACTGTCCACTGTCCATGTGAATTCTGTATGCAGCGTTCTTTGTTCGAGGAAGCGCCTAATGCTTCGGCGACTTCAACGTGAAATGCCGCAACACATCTTGAGAGAGGAAGAGAGTAAGTTATTGTAGACTAGTTACTAGTTTGTGGAAGTAGGGCGCATGCATCAGCAAAGGGCATGCGCTTGACTTGCGTGTGTATGTATTTGACACATGCTGCATCTTAGTATACCTTTGCCGAAGCATGAAGCATCTGTCTCTGCGGAGACACGAGCAGACGTGGTACGCGTACTTGTCGTAGTACCCAGATGCACATCTCGATCATCTAGAGAACCTGGGCACAGGCTTACACAACGGAATGTACTTCAGTACGGTATGCAGGCACAATCGCCCTGGATGTAAACTTATTCCCTGGCCGTAGTTTTGCTCATGGCTTTACTCTTATGAGCGCATGATGCGAAGCCAAGCTGAATGCGCTTAGCTTACCTGAACAAAGACCAAATCGTCGAATCGCGAGTGCCGTCGAGACAGCACTTTGGAGAAATGCAACGTGCAGTTTGGTACACTGTCAGACACGATGAAGAGTGGCACAGCACTGCATGCTTCAGATTCACTGGGACAGGTGGATTCTCACTCTTTTCACCCAGCCCCTCTGCTTTGATGCCGCTGCCCGCTAGCCTGGCAAGTGCTAACGAAATGAAGAGATGCATCGAATGCAGAGCAAGCAACCACGGATGCCAGGTGTTTGGGACCTTATCGTATGCGATGGCCTGCAGGTGTGAAGAGAAGTTAAGAGGGTACACAGAGCATGGCTCGATGAGAGAATGGCATAATTGTCATAGCAAGGGGGACCAGAGGATCGCCCAGTCCAGGCCGTGGTTCTGATCGCCCTGGGCGTCGTCAAGCTATGGAGATCAAGGCAGATCCATCCGACATGCCTGTATATGCCTGTGAGCTGGCAGTGGGAGGCTCTTGCAAGAAGATACAGAAGGCATCCTCGAAATGCTAAGCATGCGCGATGGTGAGCCACTTGCTGGAGGCAGCTCTTCTTTGCTGTCTTGCTGTCCCCCCTCCTCTTCCTAGTTGCCAGGCGAGATCGTCAAGGCGGCGCTGGCACTCGAATCTCAGATCGCGCCTGGTTCCCAGGGCACATTGCTCGCAACCGGGCGACAGTGCAGCTCTGGGGGCAGCATGCCGAGTTTCGCTTTGCACGCCCAGGCCGTGCAACGTGAATAAGAGTTCCCAGGACAGTTAATACCTGAAGCATGAAAGCATTTCTACCGCCTATTTTGTTTTGCAGTCGTGCTTAGGCATTTAAAAATACTCCGGACGCTTTGCGACAAGAGGTGAGGCTGTACTCGCGGAAGGCTCCTTTGAACATGCCGCGCGCTTCAATCCAACAAATGCACTGTTTCAAGGGATTCGTTCTGGTTGTGCGTGCTGCTAGCTGCGGCAGCAAGTGACACACCAGCTCCAGAAGTTCCAGACACCCTTGAACCTGCAATAGCCTCTAAACCCTTCAACCACGAACCCGGGACTACTCCATACTTGCGGTTGCCGCAGCTTTGAAACAGAACCTCATCGCACAATCAGCAGACTTGAAGGCAGGACCCCCAACCCAAAGAAGGTGATTGACTACTGCCCCCTCTCGCAGCAGCTCGGCGCAGGCAAATATCAAGAAACGTCCGTGGAAGCGGAGTCCGTTGTTAAATGTCTTCGCAGAAGCTCCGCAGAAGCCCGTCGGCGGATACTTATTTTATCTTATTTTTTGCAAAGGATCTGCCAAGAAATCAAAGCCACCGCTCATCTTGCGCCTGGGACCGAAACCCTCAATGCTGGCCGAGGCTGTCCGGGGACAGTGGTTTGGCTAGAAATGTGACCTATCCATGTTATCCCTTAGCTGCTTCATTGTTCCCAGCCGGGCCAGAGGACCCTCTTCCCTGACTGCTCTTGAAACATTCTCAAACTGTGCGCGCCCATCTGGCCGCAAACGCCCCGCACGATAGCCTGCACACCCCGATCACCCAGCGAGCAACTCGCTGTTTTCGTCTGGCCTTGGGCACTACTATTCTATGGCGACTGACAAGAAGCATGTGAAACTAAACCCGAAACTATTAAGCCATCCAATGGTCCAACCCCCAAACAGCAGTCTGCAGCTGCATGTTCTTGCCACGCTGCAGCCATGCACGTGCAAGTCTCACTGGCGGGCGCCGCCTGACAAAAGACCTGGCGGCACGCTGCAGCTGCCGTAAGTTGCACACTGATGTCCAGGAAACGATGATTGCCTCAACGCCTCAGGAAGAACTCCAGCGCAGTAGCGCTGTCATTGCGGCATATGACGGCACTGGTTTTCACTGCACAACTTGCGTTTTAGCTGCTCTACTCCGCTAGCTGCGACAGGACTTAACGTCTTAGTCTTAGTAGACAAAGCTCTGGAACTACCAAAAAACTTGCAGAAGCCCATACTAGATGTGCGCAATATGTACATGCTTAGCAGCCACTTCATCCAGAAAACCCTGCGGCGGTCAGGACCATTCGAACACGTGGAGGCAAGGGCCGCCTGTGAAAACATAGGTTGCATCGGCCAACATTTTTTGACTCAATGCTACGACTGCTTCCAACACCTGGTTAATGTTGCACTGGCTTTCATAAGGCCCCCCCAAACAAACTTGGAGCCTCTATAAAGAACTTCGCGGCGTCGGGCTGGCCCCTGGACTACCTACGGGCCTCGTTTCGTAATGAAATTCAATAAGGCTTTGTCAGATTCCTGGAGCCCAATGCCCTCAGGGACTCAAGCCTTACTGAACCCTTAAAAACAAAAAACATCCGGACAAAAACTTGTGGTTCTAGCGGGTCACCCCAACCAACTGATGTCGCAGAATAAATTTTCGAAACTTGTGATTATAGACTTACTACCGCCGCCCAAAAACAGGAACATAATTTAACTTCGGTCCGGCCGGAAACGAATGGAAATTTAGGTATGGCGGGGTTATTGTATGGTTTGCTTTGAAACCTAACACCGCAACTTCGATGCCACCAAAAAAGACCAAACCGGCAGCTTGTTTTCGATTTCCTAATTTTAATGCTACGCGACCCGCCTCGGCCTGGCCCAGTGCAGCCCCCGGAGCTTGTGGAGCATGCACGCACTGTGCAAGCGCTGCAGCTAGTCAGTCATCACATTTCATCAAGGTGTCGAGGGCACTGTGGTCTTCGTGGGGGGGGGGGTGGGGGGGGGGAGGGGGAGGGGGCGGGGCGGCGGGTGGGGCCCAAAGCTGCCCTGTGCCGCCCGCGCCGCCACCCCCGTTTGCCTCGGGGGGTACCCATTGCAGGCAAAAAAACGCCAAATAAAGGGTGGGTCCCCTGGTGTTGGGAGGGGATTAAAGGTGGCGTGCCTGCTTTGTGCCACCCATACACCTACGACCCGAGGCCTCGGCAATGACTCCTCAGAACATGTGAAGAAGTTGTAAGGGGTTCACCTTTGCGCAGTGTGTCCTCATCATCTCTGCATATCCGTTACAGAACTTGCCTGACTTCTTTAAGCTTCTCCTGGTCGTCAAGGCCTGGTAGCATCAGCGATGGGACCGGTGTGAGGACAGTCTGGAAGGGTTTGATTGTGATGCGATTTCTCAACCCCTTGACGTGAAGACACTTGACCTGGCCAGGCCAAGCAAGCTGTTCGCTGAGTGGGAGACCGCATGTCCTGCTGAAGTCGCAGACTTTCGGAGGCTGATCAACGACAAGTATCCATCTTCTGTGCGTAGCTGTAGCTCGCAAAGCTGGCAGGGCGGAAGCTGAGATTTGCGCAAGCAGGGATGCGGCTGAGCTTCATTAGCCCACCTTCCTGCAGCATTTGCTGTATTTTCAGTGCCGATCTACTAAGCGTCCTGGAGGATTGGTACCAGTCAGAGTCTCAAGATTCCGATGCAGTCGTTAGCATCGGTGAGGGTGGTTGGCCGGTGCCTCAGGACAGCGCAACAGGAGACTGAAGCAAAAAGACTACAAAAACAAGTTGCACGTGACTAAATAAGGTGCGATGAAAGTGCCGAGCGGGTTGCAGTCGGAACCACGAGGCACAGTGATGCAATCTGCAGTGGTATGCAATTTGCGACATACACTGACACTGATCATGGCTGCAGAGCTGTTACTTCAAGTGTGTCTGAGACTGCCTTGACAAAGGTCAGACCAGCAGGGCTGCACGAGCATAGCTCCGGTTTGCTCTGGCATGCAGGCTCAGACTGGGTAAGCTCAACTTTGCAGTGGAGACTTCGAGCTATCATAAGCTATTTTCCCCAAATGTTCCAAGCCATGTCTCCCTATCATTATCAAGCTCTATAAAGCTCTGGAATCGGGGCTACATTGCATTTTGTCTTGGTGACCTGGTGGGTTTGGTGTTTGAAAGGCGCCCGAACACAAAGCCAAACAAACTCCTTCCCCGCTGTACTCTTCAAGTCTTGGTTTTCATTGATAAGATCATGAGGGAATCGCGGTGCCTCATCATGTGGGAATCGCGGTGCCTCATTCTTTATTCAGGGAAAATGATTCGAAAGTCGAAGCCGATACTTCCACTCAGAAACTTTCGCTCGAATCACGTAGATAGCGAACGCCTGAGCGTGACTCTACGTGTGCATTTTCGCAAACCACAATTGTGCATGCCCGGGGTCGGGGGGGCGAAAGCTGACCATGCGGCTGTGTCCTTCTCGGTCTATGGACCGGTACAAGTTCTGAAGGAATCGGTACCCTACTATTGCAGTTGCAGCGCAAGTCAAACATACTGTAAGTAAGCATGACCTCTCAGGCTCCAGAAGTCCAGAAGACTTGTGGTGGGGCTTCCTGACATGAGGTCATGAAGGGTTCAGACCTTGAAGCTGAACCTCTTGAGAAGATCTGTGTTGATCAGACATCTCTCTAGAAGGTAACAGGTCCTGGCGGTGCCACTTGGAAGCTCACTTGCGTATTAACAGTATCCGAGAGTCGACAAGAAAAGCGAAACAGATGCAGCGGCTGTTGTATCATGTTGTATCTATTGATGCTTTGGACAAAAGCTGCAAGATGCCACTGCGCCCCAGCCCATCCCAGCCCAGCAAGCTGATCAGCCCCGAACCAATGTATACTGTGCAATCTCCGAGAGCTCATGCCAGTTCTTGTGCCACCTGAGTCTGTGGGTTAATCGTGGTTTGCGTGTTGCACTTGTTGCAGAAGTGCTTTTTGGGTGGAGCTGGCCAGGATCAAGTCTCCATAGCTGCAGGAGCACCAGGCACAGCTTGACAAGACTATGAAATGTTGTTATTAATTTGTTTTTTGCATGTACTTGCTTTGCTCTCTCTTTTTTGGGGTTTTAAGCGTCACATGAGAGAGAGGGAGAGCGGAGAGAGAGAGAGAGAGAGACAACGTAGGTCCGCCTGATGAAGCTGGACAGGCTGCCTCAGCCCAAGAGTGAGATCCAGTGAGTGAGTGAGAGCTCTTTGAGATGTTTTGTGTGAAGTTTCTCCGCTCATCAATGCTCACCGCTTCTCTTGAAACTTGCTGAATGCGAAGCAGAAGGCTCAATCTTAGTTGCAGGTTTAGATGTTCAAGGGCCAGGGTTTGAGAAAATCTGAGTTCGATGGACATTTGGGCGACAAACGTTTGCAAGATGTCAAGTCCATGCGTCCGGTTTGAGCAATTTTACGTTGCTTTTGAACGTCTTCGAGCTGCAGCAATAGGTAGGGTATCTGAGTGTATCATATGTCAGCGTCTTTGCGCTCCACGGATCCATTCGCAAATTGCATTTCATCTTGCTCAGCCCGTTTTACGACACCTCAAAAGGGGAGTGTGCCTCGAAGCACGTGGGAGTTCCACGGTCCACTCGGCAGGCCTTGCGAGGAGTTCTGCATCGTGAGCACTTTTGTGTCAGGGTGGAGGGTCGTGTTGCAGTGTTGCAGCTGCGCTCTTATACACCGTTCTTATACATCTATATACTGTGTCAATTCTGCATTCTTAGAAGATCTTGAGGGATGTTGTCGCATCTTATCATCGGAGCTTTCGTCACCGAGTCGCGAAAAGCTTCGTCATCCGAAAGCTGTCAGAGACAGGTGTCTGTCTCAATGACATCACCGAAAGCTCACCATCGAAAACTGCGTCAATGTGGAGAGTCTACCCTGACAGCTTTTCCATCCTTTGATGATGAGTGAATCATCAGCATTGTGGTTAAACTCTTATAGTCTTATAGTGCTATTACATGTTTGCATCCCTGCGCTCGGCTTTGTGGCTTGCACGCCGCAAGAAAGGAGGGGTATGTGACGGTATCTGTTTGTGTGGATGACTGCTTGTGCGAGTCTTCTCACAATTATAAGAATTGATCCTTCAGCCTGTTCCTCTTCCTCTCTGTAGCCGAAGGTCTCGCATTCAATCGGAGCGGAGGCCAAGGTGAGCTGTGTCGCAGAAGACATGCTATCACATGCTATCACATTCCATTCCCTGTTGTCACATGTCTTTCGTGCTCACCGAACAGCGTGCTGTTGCTTGCTGACTCAGTTGATCGACTGTGATAGACCGATAGATGGCGCAGGTTGCCGTGAATCCGTCTATGCCAGTCAGAAAACCATCCAGGCTGACATGTCTTGGCACAGTTTGATGTGAAAAGACTGCGTTCAGGATCCAGGTTTTCCGCTAATGTGCATATTCAAAATGAAAGTTCAGTTGCAGATGTATTCACTGTAGAAAGCTTGTGGGGGTCTGATTCAGCTCAATGGGTTCGCTCAATGTTCCAATGCACTCCAGAAGCCAAAAGGTTGAGTTCCTTCAGCCTCATCTTGTCTCCAAACTCCTCAGCCATCCCAACAGCCAAACTGTCACCTCCTTCCCACACGTCGACTTGCTGCCCATCAGTTCAATCCCTCTCCTAATCGGTATTTTCTGCAAGTGTAGTGGTGCATTGGGTTTTCTCAACTGCTGTACCAGCATCACTCGTGGTCAACGGCGTGTTTTTGCAAAGTATAGGAAACGCGCAGACATCATGACACGTACAATTAATACGTGGCCTTGGTTGCCTGCTGTTGTTTACTGTCTTTGGAGATCCACTCCCAAGACCCAAAGGAAAGCAAAGCAATGGATCCTGAGAGACCATAAGCTCCAAAGGCCCCATACAGCAAACCCTGCAGTAAACTGTTTCTGTCCCCGCCTTTGCAGCCCGAAGCATGCTAGCCATGATTCCCAATCCACTACGAATCCGCCAATTCCAGACACCAGCGCTTCTAATTCCTAACAGTCCAAAACACATTCAAGTTCTAAGAATATTTCGGGGCACCCCATGGCACCCCGAGACATCCTGAGATCTCTAAGATCAGAGGTCCACTGCCGGATCTCGAAACGGAGGAAAGCGCACCGAGGGCGACCGAGGCCGAGCCCCAGGCGCGCGAAGCGCAAACTTGACGTCAAATTGAGAGAGATGAGTCTGAGATGAGAGAGATGAGAGAGAGAGTGCGCATATTTGTCCTTTTGGCTTCTTTCATGCCTTGCGGGGTTCCCTTGCGTTTCAATTTCGAAATGTTGGAAAAGAATATCAAGCAGTTCTAGATGTCGTCATAAAAAAAGACGATGTTGACGTATTTATATTGGACGAGCAGGCTCATTCCTGTCAGGAAACCCAAAGCGGTCGTCCTCCTTGGGATGTCTGGTCGGACCACTTCAGCCAACACCTCAGTCTTCAGGTTTTCGAGACGCCTCGCTTCAGCACGGTGATTTCAAAGGCTTGAAGTTCTATTGGCTGCCAAAAGCAACAAAGCAGCGTCACCCTCCGACACCTTGCCAGAGTCTAAAGTTTGTCGCACATGAGCTTATGATGGTTCTATGAACTGGAGCACCTGAATCATGGCATGGGGATCTGAAAGGCTCATCAGTTGCAATTACATAATATCCTTGAGTGGGTTCAGGCACTCGATTGCAGTGGGCAGTGTAGCCAAATGCCTATACAGCCCTTGCACGACTTGCACGTCTTCAGATATGTAGCACAGTCCAGTAATTCCCGGGTCATGGCGCACAGCTGCCAAAGGGCTCAGTGGCAGCAACAGTTCGGGCGCAAGTGCTAGGGGACTGGGTGGATATGGTTGGATAGCAGCAGTGTGCTCAAAGTCACGACAGTGGCACGACCCAGCACACAGCAACAATGTGCGGGCATCAAGCATCGTGAACTTGTAGTTTTAGGACGCTCATGGTCTCCTGTTGTGTTCTCAGGTCTGGAGGGCCACTCATGTGTGAGGAGGATCCACTCTACAGCTCTCCGAAGTATGCGGTCTGCTCAGTATGGCTTTTGCCGCAGTGAGAGCATGTGGCTGTTCACTTCCAATGCGTGCTGTTGGTTTGCAGTCGAAGGAATCAGTTGATGTTTTCTTTTCTGACTGCATGGCCGGAGGTGCTGTGCATTGCTGTGTCCTGCATTCGCTGCGTGAATGTTCCACGTTCATGCCTTGCTGAGGTAAGAAGCGGTACGGGCACAAAGGCAAAGCTCGACGGGACTGACGTCCGCCGTGAGGAGGCCATCGAGAAAGACAGTAGTGCATCTTTTGTGTGGCATGCGATAGCAGCCAGCCCATGCGAGGCTGGGCACCGCCGCATGCCTGGCAACCCAGGCGCTTCAAATCGGAATGCCTGAATGAGGTTGCAAGTCAGCGAAGTCGTGAAGTTGCGTGAGCGCCCGCTTTCGAGACCGACAGGCCGTGAAGCTGGAGTCCGCATGCTAAAGGCTCACTGCTTTCATCCAGCAACCAGGAGTCTAAAAGGTAAAGTGTTCGGAGCGATCTTGTGGTCTTTTGGGTTGACAGCAGAATGTGCTGCAAGCACTGTTGCTCGCAGGCCTCCGGATCACCGCCAGCACCAGCTCCAGACATTCGTCGTGGAAACAGATCTGCGCCATCCAGGTCCTCCAGCAACCAGTCTTGGAGACTTGGCTAGGATTATCTAGGATTATCTAGGATTGCTTGATCCGAATTGATGTGTACATTGGTCGGACTGTAACTTCTGTTCCTAGTGTGGAACAAGGACATCCAATTCCGTCGGCAGAAGCCGCAGTGGACTTGATCTTGAGGCCTGCGAAGCGGAAGAAACGTCAAACATACACTGTGCATGTGTAGTCGCTTGCCATGAAATTCCCGATATTAGCCGGCTGCATCGGCCCATCTCCGCTTTGCAGCCCACGCCGCATCCAGGTTGCAGATGAACATCGAGGCGGGACTGGACCTGTTGTTCTCTTTATCTTTCAGTTGCGAAACTTGGTTGTGCAACTTGTTGGCCTGAGGACTGGAGTGCAAAGCATTTCCCGTTGCACGGAAATCGCGCACGTCCCCGTTGGGTTCCAACAGACTACCACCTTCACCGGCTTGCGGCTCAAGGGGGCGAGGACATGCCGGTTGATTATGAGAGTTCGGATGAGTTCGGAGCTAGATTAAGCTACATTAAGCTACAAGTTACATCTGAGGCCATGAGCTCTCGCGAGATTCTCGAGGATCTCTCGATGCCAGGAACCTTGAGGTCGAAGCCAAGTGAGAACACAAGCATCGCTGCATAAGTACAGTACTGTGGCGTAGAATAAGTCTCGAACGGCAATAATGGCAAAAGTGGGTAAGCAGAATGCTAGAGCTTCTGGACATCATATGCGGTTTGTAGAAGAAATCAATAGCAATCACAATCATTTGAGCATGATTGGACCCGATCGGGCACGAGGCACGGCCGTACCTGGCCCGAGCAGATGGCAGGTTTGATCGGTGGGAAGAAGGAGCCAATGAGATGCCAGCGAAAGTTCCTTTGGCCTCGAAGGGTTGGCAACGATGGAACAGGCTGGCGACACCCCGACTTCTCCGACGCAGCGCGTTCCATTTACCAGAACCAGGCCCCCGCATGTCCACAAGGCTCCTCATCCGAGATATGCACACACTCGCGCGGAGGTCAAGAACAGAACCTGAAGACCTTGAGCCTCCACCATCCGCAAGGTGTGCTCACATGTTTTCTATGTTTTGTGCTAGAGTGGTATACCAGCGACACATATGACATCGTCATCAACGCGCCGTTGCTGGTCTCCTGAGGATCGAGGCCTCTGAGCCAAGCAGTGCCAACAAATCTCCTCAGTTTTGGGAAACGGAGGCGCGACGCGGATCTGTGCAGCTGTGTGCAGCTTCGTTCCCCTTCAGCGACCCGGCACATGATCGACTCTCAGGATCGCCGGGTTCGCAGCTTGTCGCCGCGAGCGGGAGATCGCAGTCAGTCCCCGCTTGATGCCGGGAGGCACGGTGGAGCACCGGGCTCCTCCCGTCGTCAGGTCCTGTTCAATTTGTCAATATTTGTCAGTCATTCTTCAATCATAATTACTGTATCACCTTTAGACATTTGGTGTTAACCAATGAGGGAGGGCCAAGCTTATCGTCTGTATACGCAGGCGCTGTAGCAAAAGAGAGTTTTTGAAGACTGCAGCTACCTCCAAGATGCGTGTAGGTTCACTTGTCGAATCGTTGCCAGGATGCGGGATCAGGACCTGCCGATAAGATCGACCGGCCTCCAAGCAAGGGACTTTGAAATCCTCGTTGACGTTCAACTTGGGGGCGATTGCTGTGGAATGGCGAGGCACCGGGACGACCCGACAGCAGCCAGCCCAGAGTTCACTGAGTTCACGTCTGAAAACTGATGGTATGAAGCCATGTGACAATACATTCAATACATGACAATGGAGATGCTCTGCCATGCTTCTTTCCTGCGCCAGAATCGGAACTGGTCCCAATAAGGCGAGAGAGGACTTCTCCAGGCTGATGTCAGTGCCCCATGTGACGCGAACAGTTTTCCCAGAAGCCAGGTGCACGCAGTGACATCAAGATCAGATGTTCGATGGAGTTCCAAATTCCACCGGGACCTGCTTTGCAAAGCTACCGGAGACTGTGGTGCCTTGTTGTGCCTGGAATGAATGTCCTGGATTGGACCGTAGTTTCGCAGGACTCGGGCATTGAAGAGGAGGCGCACGAAGCTGATGCAGGAGAAGGCCAGAGGTTCGTGTGGATGCGCATGTTCCTCGAATCAATGCTGCAAGTTTGTTTGAACTAGCCACTTGATTTTTTATCAAAGCTGGAAATTCGACAGTATATGTTTCTGGAATGGCTTTATTGGAACTGCCCCATTCAGTGTGCCACCACACTATGCTACTTATCTGAGAGTACGTAATATGGGTTCTTTAAGTTTAGCCGAGCCATTGCAATGAGCCCTGAAAAGCCTGCCTCCTCAATCAATTCTGAATATCCGAGGGGCAAATTTCAGAATAGCTTGAATGGAGCTGCCCTCTAAACGTCTCAATGAGATTGTGTGAATTTGTCATGTTTCGTTCTTCAGGCCGGGACGTGACTGTGCCCTCTACCGTACTAGTGAACAGACAACTTACAAGTTAACCTGCAAAGGGCTGACTTGTTTCTGTTACAAGTTACAAGTGTAGAACGAAAAAACATGTGGGCTCCAAACTCTCAAAGTCGACGATTTCGAAGATCACGAGTCCGAAGGCCCATGAGTCCAAAAGCCGGCCAATAATTTAAAGGTTCCATAAGTGTTCCATGTGTTTTGGAATGTTGGAATTGCAAGCCTAAAGCTTTGGGAATTTCAGAATGTTGGATTTGAGTTTCGGGGAGCGACTCAGAAAGTTTTGGCACAACCACACCCCCTCCCCGACAGCAATGACGCAGGCACATGTCATAGGAGGGGGAGGTACATCATATGTGTATCCACCCTCCCAAGACCGGAGCCTCGTGTGGTCTCTTTCCGGATTGCCTTTTTTGTGGATCCTAATCAGGTTTCCAAGTTTTCAGATCTCCTAAAAAATATGGAAGCTTGTCACTTTATCTTAAGTTTTGCAAAGCTGGGGAGAGGCTGATACATTCCGGTGTGACTTTTGTATGAGCTAATGTGGTACTAGTGAGCAGTTTCTATGTTGCCAGCTAGTTGAACTAGTTCGGAACATCAACAGCTCTATTCCGAAATGATGCGCTACTTGGCCTGCAATATTCCTGCTCGCTGCGTCTTTTCGCAAAGTGCAATCGTATGTGTGAGAGCCTTTAGTATTTGATCGTTGGGGTGGAGCCTCATGTTTCGCAATGAGAATGAAGGGAGGGTCATCCTAATCATATCTTATGAAGAGAGGGAGTGGTTCTGCTTCTCCTTACAGCGAGTGTGACTTCTCATTGAGAGCGACTTGCGTCATCCGTCTTGCCAAGAAAAGGAGAAGTTCTTGCGAATTGTACAACAAGACATGAGGCATTCCTTATTGTCGAGTCCAATGCATCTGTCCTATGAAGAAAACAGGATCTATCCATTCTTTAGCAAACTGGAATCTCTAATCATTCGGGTTGAAAAAAGCCCTTGCGCCTTCCAGAGAGCTTAGCCCTTAAGTTTACGAGCGAGCACAAAACCACTCTCCTTCCCAAGTAGAGAAGTAGACAGGTTAGTTTTGATAGATAGGAATTCTCTGGTTCCAGAGAAGAAACAGTATAATTAATCCGGAAATCAGGCGAATGATGCTTCTAGGCTTCTGTAGGCTTGCCATGTTGATACTGCTGCTCGCCCAAAGAGTTCGAATTTTCTTCCTGGCATGGGAGGTCAGTCCCTCAGTCCCAGCGAGAGGCGGAAGGTTGGCCGAACAGCATGGAATAAAGACATCGTCATTACCTGTGTGCCATGCAGCTTCAAAAGGCTTCGTGCGCATGTGTCAACCATACAACTGTTGCAGGCATGGCACATCCCACCTAGCGCAGCTTGGGGCTCTCCGCATAGCGCCGTGGTGCGCACCTTGTATCCAGCATTAGCAGTCTGAACATGATCCACGGAAAGTGTGACCAGATGTTGAGGCCTCTCCACGTCCGGCCACAGCTCCAGCCGCAGAGTGCCAAGTTGAAGTGTCGCGTTGACGAGCGTTAGAATCCCATGCCATGTGGGCTGTTTCAGGAAAGTCTTGGTGCTGGTGGGGACGTGGCCTTCTCTGAGGCCTGCTGGAGCGACATGAGTCTTCTGCAAATTAGAATCTGAAGAGAGGGTCGGTGCGTCAATTTTCTGTGAGCATGTGCAAAGTTGAATGGCAAGGCGGGAAATGTTGAGCAGTTCCGATGCAGCCCCGCAAGTCTAAATCATGAGATGCAAGCTTGTGTCATCTTGGTTCTTCACAAGCGGCTCACCAAAGTTGTCAGGCTGATTTGCCCGTGTGAGGCGCTGCAACAGCCGGATTTGCAACACGTTTTCTTGTACAGATGCAACGACTTGCTGAGTCACCCATGTTGGAGTTTGCAGCGTGAAGCGTGGGCTTATGGATATGCAGAGAATGCATCTTTTCAAGCAAAGGGCTGTGAAAAGGTGGAAGTTTAGACATTTTTAGACGAACACTGGAGTCCGAGAACGCAATGTGAGCGTAATCTAGCAGCTAGAAGCCGAACAGAGCCATGGAGTCTGTGTAGTTGAGCCGATCGCCATGTTCTCCTTTCAAGAGGCCGCTTGTTGTCTTGCTGCGTTTTTGCTGCCGTCTGCGGTGCCGTTGCAGGATGTCATGTCAAGGCAAAAAGCAGGTGCAAAGAATTGGCAAAGCCCAGAACTCACTGCATTGAGGAAAGTGCAAATGACAAAGGACGAGCCGACAAATCTGGCAGCATTTGGCAGGAATCCTGTTTTCGCTCAAGTCAGCCAAATGTGAACACGACAATGACTTTTCACCTGGTTGAAATCAATTGGTCTTTTCACTCATCATGAGCATGAAAAGCAAGATTCGGTTTCTTCAGTGCCCAAATAGAATAAACAGATCATCTGACCCGGCGACCCGGAAAGCAAACCTCCAGCATTACACTCTGGAAGGCCCGTCGAATTGCTTAGTTTTCTGAATGTCGTGCGTGAGAAGGATGAAGGGCAGTTCGCAACGGCTTTCAACAGCAAAGCCTGAGATTGGGCTCTGCTTTGCAGGTAGAGTGAAGCTCAGCAAGTCTTTTTGCTGACACAGTTTGGACATGTTTGGACAAAGAGGATCAATCAAATCTCCTCGTCCCTGCCTCTGTGTCCCAATATGTGAAATATGCTCTCGGGCTATTACGGCATTTAAATCGAAATCGGGTGGGGCCATGATTACAGAAAAAGGTGTTGTGATGCCGATGCTTTGAGGCCTGATGTTTTCCAATCAGATGCATAGTGGTCAATGCACGCTCTGACCTTCAAAACTTGGGGCGGGGCTCTACCATCATTTGCAGCCGTCTAATGCTCGCCGGTAACGGGGCTTATAACAGAATTGTAGAGCGGAGCTGCAACGGAGCCGTATCGGAATTCTGCAACGGAACTGTAATGGAAGCTGTAGCGATGCTGCAACGGAAGCTGTAACGGAGCCGCAGCAGTAGCAGCAACTTGATAACGGACCTGTATCGGAACTGTAACGGAGCTGTACAACTGAGCTGTGGAGCTGTAACGGAGGTGCGACGGAGCTGTAACGGAGCTGTATAACTGAGCTGTAACGGAAGCTGTAAAGGAGCTGTAACGGATGTGCAAGGGAGCGGTAACGGAGTTGTAACGGAGGTGCATCGGAACTGTAACGGAGCTCTAGCAGAAGCTGTGACGGAGGACGGAGGTGCAACGGAGCAGTACCGGAACTGTAGCAGGTGCTGTAATGGAGCTGTAACGGAGGGCCCACGGTGGGTAGCGCGAATCCCATACATAGAGCCCACCCCCAAATCAAAACGGCGACTGTCACCACTTTTTCAAGAAAACACACATCACCTGAAAGTGGGAATAACGGAACCAGGGGGAAGGGGCAGGGAGTTTGGGATGTGCAGGGCGTTGGTCGCTGCGCATGATTGCCTATTTGAGGAAACTGGTTGTTCGGGTGATTTTGGGATGTTCGTTGTTTAACAGCAATGCCAGTTGGCTGTGCTTTTCCTACGGTAGGTTGGGGAAGAAGCAGGCCAAGGGCAAGTCGGAGTCTTTGGAAATGGGTGTCAAAGTCGCTTCAAAGCTGCAGCTATTGAAGGTCAGATCACCAGAAACAAGTGGTCATGCTGATGAAGTCTGCCAAATGAGCTCTTTTCCTGATAAACAAGGGAGCAATTCACTTCCCTGCGGGATAGCTTCCGCTGTCACAACCCATACTTCTCAGGCACTCTCACCAGCATGTTGGCAGTTGTGTTTTGGCTTGGCTGCTGGACAGGGCCCGGATCATTGACAGTCTGATGTGTAGCTCTTCCGTGCGAAAGGCTCTGGCGGAGGACCAGTTTCCGGCAGTGCCGAGGTCTGAGATTTCGTGCTCAGAAGCTGGGCTTGCTTGAAGCTGAAGAGCTCGGGGCCGTGTTGCCAGTGCGGCAGCCTTTTCACAGTGGACAAGCTGGAGTGATGATGAGAAGTGCCCATGGCTCTGAGGTGCCCTAGTGGTGAGAATGAGATTGATCCCAGCGATGGCTGGGATCTGGATTTCTGCATGGAGGAAGATGCATTGTGAAACAGTATGAAACAGTGATCTCTTCGCACACGCTTCAGACTTAATGTGTGCGAGGAGACGGTGCGGCCTGAGCTGCGCCTTTACTGCGGGGCGCCAACCTCAGCTCTACCTATGCGTGCAAAATCGTGAGAATCCTGATGCCGTTTCGCAGGGTTTGGGCTTGGCAGAAGGATGTTGAAAACTGGATTTGGTCTCCCTGGCCCATGTGCTGTGCAACGCCGAATGTTCTGCCAAGACTCGCCCGGACGTGACACTGAGCTGCAATGGCGGCCGCAAGCTCCTTGCTCATCGCCGTGTCCTCTCAGAGGCCACGTGCACATTCGCAGCATTTCGCAGCCAGGGGTCGGCAGCATGGCTTCGGCTGCTAAATGCCAGGTCAGCTACTTCGAATCACTCTTTGAAGGACACTTTGCAGAGCGTGGGACTGACCTGGTGAAGGTGGACGAGGCTTAGATGTAGCGTGTCTTCTCTCGCAAACTGTTAACACTGTTGTCCGAACTACAAATGCTTCATTCATGGATTTGCGCAGCCTGGCTTCGACAACAGGACCTGGATATTTTCTTGGAAGTCGTTCGTTGGATCTACTGTCGCAGTGCCACTAGTGACAAGGCAGGGTATTTGCAGGCCATTCTGGTATTGTGCATCACGGGGTAGATGGCAATGACGGCCTCCCAAGTTTTGCAGGATATGGCACTGGATCTGTTGCGCTTGGCAGAGTTCTACGGCATCGCAACGGCCTTGGCTGAAGTCCCCTGTTCTGTCCAATACGATCACACGTTTCGCGACTGGAGGATGGCCTAATAGATCACGCGGCTCGAGTTCTGGCTTCACCAGCCCTGGGCACTGCCCTTAGAAGTTTGTTCGCTCGTCTGCTCATGCTGACGGCTTAGTGTGCGACCATATGCACAGCATATGCCATCACGTTACGAGCCTTCCTGCTCCACCGGCTGCTAGGTGTTGAGGATGATATTCCGGACGAGCCAGAAATAGCGGCTGGCGGCGATCAGGCTCAGCACGAGGACAAAGCTGCGGTGCTTCGGTCCGCTATAGTACGATATAGTTGAGGCGCCAGCAGATGACTTTCGTATTGAGGGGTCCTCAACAGCCTCAATTTCTTTGTCGTCAAGACGAGTTGCAAGCTGTCTGCCGGACTACTCATGCGGTGAGCACGTTGAGCGCCCACTGCCCGCTCCCCAGTAAACAGCATGTCGCCGGAGCACAACGTTCAAGCAACCAGCTAGAAAATCTTGAATAATGCTTCTGCAACGGATGCTTCATGATGCCTCGGTTTGCGACTCAGTGACGTGGCCAGCTGACGAATTGAAGAAAATTGAAGAAACACGTCTGCAAGATTGTCCGAACCTGGACCGCGCGCCCAAACCGACCACTTGCATGCTGCAGCAGAAGTGAGCGGAGTGCTGATGTCGCCTCAACACTGACTCAACACATTGCTTCGTTCCGTGGCTTGGTAGCAATGCATGCCCAGCATCATCCGACATCAAATAGTAACTGATAGAGCTGACTGCTCGTAGGGTGGTGAGCAGTGAAGCGATGATAGCAGCTTCAAGTCTCCCAGCTGCGGCTTTGGCCTACAAGTGATACACGCATTTCCAACCTAATCGTTTTGCACTGCAGGGATTAAGAAATAAGCTGACTTTGATCAACTGGGCACGTGAGACATCTAAACTCGAATGGCAGTACTGTCAGTCTTCACTTCGTCCCGTCAGTTGAGAAACGGTTGAGTTCAACAACTATATTTGTGCCGACCATACTCTCGCAGAGGACTTCAGCGCAGATGGATTCACAGTCGTTTCCGATGTGCAAGTCTGAGTTTCATTTTATTGAGTGGCAGTGCTGGCAGTGTTCCTGTTCAGTTCATGTCAGACATCGTTGAGGTTTTCGATGAGCCGGGCAGAATTGACAGGGCAGCCGTGGTAAAGATGAAAGATGTGTAAAAAAGCATCTAAAGGTTTCTAGGTTCTAGCTCCATCAGTTTTAGGAGTGTGGCCTTGAGATTCCTAAACGCTACTCTGCAGAAACTTTGTGCTCATGTCATCTCACACTGTTGTAGCCACCATTAGCATTAACGTCTCGACTTGTACAGTTCAGATCTGAGTCAACGGTTGTGGAAAAACGGGTGTCCGCTTCTATATCTTATATAGAGTCGCTTTGCGCAGTTCTAAGTCTTAGATGTTCTTCGCAAAGCTTTTGGTCTCGTCAGGCGCATTCTCAGGTGAAAGAACTGGTGACTTAAAGTGATGCTCTCCGATTCAAAAGGCATCCAATGTTCGCTCTTTGCATCGAGCATAGCTTCGCGGCTTCGCGTGCCACAGATTTGCACAAGAAGTTCCCGCAATGATGGAGAGCGCGATTGCCATTGCAAGCACAAGGCTTGCGGAGGAAGCAATCTCGAATTAGTTTCACTTCTTGTTTCACTGAAGTGCTCACAGAAGAGGACACTATGCCGCTATGCTATTTGTAAGACATCCAAGTACCCCACCAAGGGTTAAAGGTTTTGAGCGCAGAACACATCTGGCAGATGGTCCTCAGGCTCGGACGCTCTATGTCCCGCCTCGCGATGCCTCGCGCGATGACGCGATGCTCGTGGTCAGGTGAGCATGTTGGCATGGCGGTCAAGCCGATTGCAGTTATTTTCAATCGCCTCTCTAGCTGCACTCTTTTAAAATGCTGGAGAAGGCAAGTGCCATGGTCCGTGAGAATGGTGTGCTCAATGTATACTCGTTTTAGACTGTTAGATGAGCGAGCTCCTAGAGAATGCTGCGCATCCTTTCCGACATCTTGAGAAGAATGCTACCCAGCAGGTCTGTGGCCACCAGCCGCGCGAGCAGCGGAGAAGAAAACCAAGCAAGGAGACACAAGAGGCACGTGTGCGGCGATGTTGCAAGTTGCAAATTCACTGCAGTTGCGGGTCTGCGACAATCGGAAGGCTCTGATCTGTCTATCTGCAAGTCATTACTGGCAGCTGCAGTACTACTGTAATCTACTGCTGTGATCAGCTGCTCAGTGCCTGTATGCCGCATGCCGGGAGTGAACTTCTAGGGATTCTAGGTTATTTCAGGCAATGGCCTCTTTATGAAGGGGTAACTGTCAAAATGGCCCGTAACAGAAACAGATTTGGGAAGAGATTCCGTAAATATTTTTAGGGTTCAGGAAATTGGGACCCCCGCAGGCCCGTGACAGAAACAGATTTGGGAAGAGATTCCGTAAGTATTTTCAGGGTTCAGGGTTTAGGAACCCGGCCAAAGCTGAAAGAGGCCACCTGCCACAACCACCCCCCCAAGCGCATGTTTGAGTAGGGGCCAAAGCTGAAAGAGGCCACCTGCCACAAGTGGTCTTTCGCCCAAAGTCCTGTACCTAAAGAGGACACCCCCCCTGAATGTCCAAAGCACATGTTTGAGTAGGGGGGGCCAAAGCTGAAAGAGGCCACCTGCCACAAGTGGGCTTTCGCCCACAGTCCTGTACCTAAAGAGGCCACCCCCCCTGAATGTCCAAAGCACATGTTTTGAGTAGGGGGGGCCAAAGCTGAAAGAGGCCACCTGCCACAAGTGGGCTTTCGCCCACAGTCCTGTAACTAAAGAGGCCACCCCCCTGGCCTCTTTATGAAGGGGTGACTGTCAAAATGGCCCGTAACAGTAACAGATTTGGGAAGAGATTTGGGAAGAGATTCCGTAAATATGTTGTTTTTGAGTGTGGACATTGAAGAGGGCTGGCCTCTTTAGTTACAGGGCTTTGGGCAAAACCCAGCTGTGGCGGGTGGCCTCTTTCAGTTTTGGCCCCTTTTGTTCAAATACATGTTTTGGACATTCAAGGGGGGTGGCCTGTTTAGCTACATGACTTTGGGCGAAAGCCCAGTTGTGGCGGGTGGCCTCTTTCAGCTTTGGCCCCTTTTGCTCAAATATGTGTTTTGGACATTGAGGCCGGGCAACACATTTCCTAAAGTAGTTAGTGTCGTTTTGGTGACCAAAGCCGGGCGACACATTTCCTACAGTAGTTAGTTGTTTTAGTGGCCAAAACCGGGCGACACATTTCCTAAACTAGTTAGTCGTTTCTGTGGCCAAAGCCGGGCGACACATTTCCTAAAGTAGTTAGTCGTTTTAGTGGCCAAAACCGGGCGACACAATTCCTAAAGTAGTTAATCGTTCTAGTGGCCAAAGCCGGGCGACACATTTCCTAAAGTAGTTAGTGTCGTGTTAGTGACCAAAGCCGGGCGACACTTTTTTCCTAAATTAGTTAGTAGTTTTTGAGACCAAAACCGGGCGACACATTTCCTAAACTAGTTCGTCGTTTTAGTGACCAAAACCGGGCGACACATGTCCTAAAGTAGTTAGTCGTTTTGGTGACCAAAACCGGGCGTCACATGTCCTAAAGTAGTTAGTCGCTTTAGTGACCAAAGCCGGGCGACACATTTCCTAAAGTAGTTAGTCGTTTTAGTGACCAAAGCCGGGCGAAAATTTTCTTAAACTACTTAGTCGTTTTAGTGACGATGTTTCACCTCTTGTCTATTGTTGCTAAGCGGAAAAATGCTTTTACAAAAAAACAAGAAAGCTGAAAACAACTACAAAACCCTAGACAAGGTAGTCTTTCAACTTTTTGGCCACCCCTATATATGGTTGTGCGCTGTGCGTTCCGCCCGCCCCCCCCAGGTATCCCACCCCCCCATGGTCTACAGTCTCCCCTAAACCAAGCCTAAACCCTAAACCCTTATATAACCCTAAACCCTAAACCCTACACCCTAAACCCCTAAACCCTAAGCCCTACACCGTAAACCCTAAACCCTAAACCCTAACCCCTAAACCCTAGGCGGGGGGGGGGTCCCGTGGTGGTGGTGGTGGTCCCGTGGTGGTGGTGGTCCTGTGGTGGTGGTCCGTGGTGGTGGTCCGTGGTGGTGGTCTGTGGTGGCAGTGGTGGTGGGGAGGGGGCGGTCGGGGGGCCGCCGGGGCGCAATCATACATAGGCCGTGCAAGAAACTCAAGGACACGGTTGAGGGTTTGGGGGTTTAGGGTTTTGGGGTTTCACAGGGTTCGGGCCAAAGCCCGACACAAAACACCCTAACCCCCAAAACCTTAAGGGTTTCGGATTTAGGTTTAGTTTAGGGTTTAGGCTGGGTGTTTTAGGGTTTGGCTTTAGGGTTTTGAAGATTAGGGTTGTTTAGAAGTTTAGCTGGTTTGGGGCTGTTTAGGGTTTAGAAGCTTTGGTTTGGGCCTTGAGGGCTATATTGTTTATTCTGGGAGTGGACTCGGGGGGACTTACTGGAAGGTATTTTATTATTAGGTTGTATTCATTTCAGAGGCCATGAAAGAGGAGGCCCTGGAACAGTTCTAGTCTGTTCCGGGTACCGTCAAAAAGTGTGCAAAACAACATGCCCTGGAACAGTTCTAGTCTGTTCCGGAGCAGAAAACCAGGCCCCGGAACAGTTCCAGAACAGTTCCGGAACAGTTCCGCTTTGTTTCGGGGTTTTGCCCCAAAAACGTACGCCCTGGAAATGTTCTAGTTTGTTCTGGAGCATATGAAAACAAGGTTGTTTGTTTTTTATTATCTTCTGTTGTTTTTTATATATTTTTCATATTTGTTATGCTGTTATTTTGTGATATATATATATATATATGTACATGTTTCATTGTTATATTGCTATATTGTTATCTTGTTGTATTGGTATCTTGTTATCTTGTTTTTTTGTTATATTGCTATATTGTTATATTGCTGTATTGTGTTTTTACTGTCATAGTATTCTATTCTTCATAAATCATAAAATGACATTATTCACAACGTGGACATTTTCCTCAGGGGACAAAGAGTCTCTAAAGGAGTTCCAAGGTCTAGAAGTCGAGAGCTTATACAGGCTATAGGCCTATCCTGCCTCTCCATTCGGGATGACGGAAGCCCTCTCCGGCGCGCTTTTGGCTCACGAAAGTGCGCTGGGGAGGGTTTTCGTGGCTCGGGATCCAAAAGGAGTTCTATAGTCTAAGTGTCTATAGCCTATATTGGCCACAGGCTATAGGTCCAGACTGCCTCTCCTTTCGGGATGACGAAAACCCTCTCCGGCACACTTTTGGCTCACGAAAGTGCGCCGGAGAGGGTTTTTGTGGTTCAGGGGATAGAGGGGATCCAAGTTCTATAGTCTATGGCTATAGGTCTATCCTGCCTCTCCCATTTTGGATGACGATAAAAACCCTCTCCGGCGCACTTTTGGCTCACGAAAGTGCGCCGGGGAGGGTTTTCGTGGCTCAGGGACAGAGGGGATCCAAGTTCTACAGTCTATGGCTATAGGTCTATCCTGCCTCTCCATTTTGGATGACGATGAAAACCCTCTCCGGCGCACTTTTGGCTCACGAAAGTGCGCCGGGGAGGGTTTTTGTGGCTCAGGGGACAGAGGGGATCCAGGTTCTATAGTCTATGGCTATAGGTCTATCCTGCCTCTCCATTTTGGATTGCCACTGACACACCAAAGAGGCTATTGCCTCGTTTCGGCCTAATGATTGCCACTCACACACCAAAGAGGCCATTGCCTCGTTTCGGCCCAATGATTGCCACTCACACACCAAAGAGGCCATCGCCTCGTTTCGGCCCAATGGTTGCCACTCACGTAGCAAAGAGGCCATTGCCTCGTTTCGGCCCAATGATTGCCACTCACGCACCAAAGAGGCCATTGCCTCGTTTCGGCCGTGATTTCCTACATGCCTTTTCCCCTCCCATGCCCCCAGATATGTAGCTGACAGTCAAAGAGGCCATTGCCTGAAATAAATTCTAGGCCATTTCTAGGGGACATATGCAGGCGCCATCAGGCGCCCTCACCTTCGAAGCAACAGCCCATTGCATCTGGCAGGTTGATTGCTTGGATTTGACTTGAGCTGCTGTTGCATTTATCCACTGCATATTGCGTCTGGCGCTGGAAGGTACGATGTTATCTAGCATCACAGACATACATCCACAATGGCTACCAGCATGAGTTTGATGCCATGCACGCAAAATCACGAGAACGGCGTAGCATGTTGGTAAGAGAACAATGCATGCCGAATACTCTTAGATGGCCTGTGGACCCAGACAGAAGTACAAGCCTACATCATGATTAGATGAAGTGACTTAAGTGGGCAAAAGCAACTTTGACACGACGTCCGAGCATGTAGCACAAGGGGCGTGGCCCCCGTGGCCCACGACGTCTGGACTCGTTGCTGCAGACACGCATGCAAGTCGCACACATGCAAGTCGGGCATGCCAAGCGGGCAGAACCCGGCTGGACTGTGCCCACGCACGCTTTTTGGATGTTGCTCTGGCAGAGGCTGCAGCAAGATCTTGTCAGTTTGACGCGCAGGGTGCTGCCAACATGGTGTGGCCCATGAGAGTTCTGAAGCTGAAGCGTATGGCCTTCCTTGCAGCGAGCTGGCAGCAAGCAGTTATCATGCTGGAAGCAGGTGAGCACGAAGGCCAAAGCCTGTCGAACATTCTACGGTCCTTTGCCACAGCCACACCTAAGCCGCAGCCTTTGCTTGCATCACTTGTGCAGATTTTCAGATAGGACGACTGGACAGCGAAAATGAGGAACCCCCAAGGCACTTCGAACGTGATGTGGCCATCAGGTGTCGCAAGCCACGCCGGCATCTAGACCTGCGATGTTGCAGTGGAGGCTGTTGAGGGAATGATTTTAGAGCCTTCGACGCAGAATTTGGCAAATGTTGGGCAGACTCGTGGCACACTTCTTCTGCGGCACAGGCTGTGTGTGCATGCAATAGGGAGGGCTTCGACCGCTCGCATGGACGAATTCACGCCGCAAGGTCCAGCGAATCTGGCTTAGGCATTGGCATCTTCACAACTCCTCAGCAAGGTTCCCATGTCTGAAATTGTTGCCAGGGCTGTGCTCAGCATGAGCATGCCCGATAATCAGAATCCGGTCAACATGGTCTGAGCCTTTGGTCGCCTGGCTATTGCAGACGCAAATGTCTTGCATGCCTTCAGGCTGCAAGTGGCGCGCGTTGTGGAGCTTGACCGACAGCACATCTCGAACATGTTATGGACGTTCGCAACCCTGGTCTTTCATGGTGCAGGAGTCATTGCAGCCCCGACGAGGGCAGCAACATCATGCATGCCTTAGCTCAACACCCAAGACCTTGCGAACGCTTTGCGGAGGGCTGGCACTCTCATGGTTGAAGGCCAGTCCCTGTCACAGATGCTCGGTTCTCAGGGTGCTGAGATTCACACGGAGATGAAGCCGCAAAACGTTTCAAATGGGGCATGGACATCTGCAACGTTGCAGCCTAGTGGTGCTCCCGTGACGGACATGCTTGCTCAAACTGCAGTTCAGATTCTGAATGAGCTTGACTTGCAAGGTTCGGCCAATATGGCGTGGACGCTCTCTACCATGCTTTTAGCAGACAGCTTTACCTTCCTGCCCTTGAGCGACCGGCTTCTCTGCAGTCCCCTGCTGGACATTCGCATTGATTGGGATCACGTTGCGAACGAGCTGACTCACATTTGTCAACTTGCTTGGGCCTTCTCCTTTGCGAGCTGCTTGTCGCACAAGCTCGGGCAAAGGTTGAACCATTTGCTGATCGGGGTTGGGGAGCGTCTCGATAGCGACGGTCCGCCCGATTACATGGTAGATCCTCAAGGACTGCCGTCATCGCATGGCGTATCCGAGAGCGCTCACATGCTGCCACGCCTAGTGGTGGACCTGCAGGGCATCAGCGTTGTTTTCAAACCACCTTACTGGGAGGTTGATGCCAAGGGCAAGCTTTCTGGAAGTCGTCTGTATTTGTCGAATTACATGCAGGGCTCCTACCCATCCTCTCGTGTAGTGCGGATGGCCGCATTTGAGTACGGCTTCATACACCGGCTGGATATCCCCAGCTCGGGCTTGGTTCTGGCAGGGACAAGCTTTCGGGGCCTGGCAGCGCTGCAATGGCAAATGCATACGTACTCAATCAGTTGGCAACTCAGGGCACAAGGTAGGTGAGGGCAGAGTGCACTAGATTGACGTGAGCACTGCACTGAGGCCGTGAGTATGTTGTGCTTCTCGCTGGTACCTGGCCAACCACAGTGCAGAAGGTCGTTGCGAAGGTCAGGATCTTTATGTGCACGTTGTTGTCTGGCGGCTACTACCACCAATTACTCTACAGCAACAACACCAACAACGATAACGACGAGAACAAGAACAACAGCAACACCACCACCACCACCACCACCAACAACCACAACCACAACCACAACCACAACAAGAACAAGAACAAGAACAATAACAATAACAATAACAATAACAATAACAACAACAGCAACAACAAGAAGAAGAACAACAACAACAATAGTAGCAGTGGCAGTAGCAGTGGCAGTCGCAGTCGTAGTAGTCGTCGTCGTCGTAGTCGTAGTAGTCGTAGTCGTCGTAGTAGTAGTAGTAGTAGTAGTAGTAGCAGTAGCAGTAGCAGTAGCAGTAGCAGTAGGAGGAGGAGTAGTAGTAGTAGTGGTAGTAGTAGTCGTCGTAGTAGTAGTAGTAGCAGCAGTAGAAGTGCTAGTAGTAGTAGTAGTAGTAGTAGTAGTAGTAGTAGCAGAAGTGCTACTAGTAGTAGTAGTAGTAGTAGTACTACTACTACGACGAAGACTACTACTACGACGACTACTTCTACTACTCCTACTACTACTACTACTACTACTACTACTACTACTTTTTCTTCTACCACTGCTACTACTCCTACTACTACTACTACTGCTACTACTACTACTACTACTACTACTACTACTACTACTAGGACTACGACTACGACTGCGACTACGACTACGACTACTCCTCCTCCTCCTCCGAAAACTACTACTACTACTACGACTACTACTACTTGTACTAGTACTAGTACTTGTACTAGTACTAGTACTAGTACTAGTACTACTACTACTACTGCTACTACTTCTTCTTCTACTCTTACTACTACTGCTGCTACCACTACTACTACCACTACCACTTCTACTACTACTGCTGCTACTACTACTACTACTACGACTACGACTACGACTACGACTACTACTACGACTACGATTACTACTACACTACTACTACTACTACTACTACTACTACTACTACTACTACTACACTTCTACTACTACTACTACTACTACTACTACTACTACGACTACTCTATTTCTACTCCTACTACTACTACTACTACACTATTACTACTGCTACTACTACTACTACTACTACTACTACTACATGACACGAAAGCATTGACCACTCCCCGTCCCCGATTGCAATGCAGTGCAACTGGCGAGTTCATACAGCCATACAGCTTGGCGTGCCCATGATGACCTTAACCACCACCACGCAGTTTATACTCTTGTAGTTTTGCAAACGAGGTCCAGGATTTCTTTGTTGGTCACAGCAGCGTCAGCAGCGATGGTCGACCTGCAGATACGCGAGTCAAGGCTGGAACTTCGTTGCACAAGCACTCGCTCTTGTTGCGGCGGGGTCGTTTGACGAAGCATGGGGCCTGACGACCTTGAACAACTCTGAGCCGGCACGCAATGGCAGGGTGTTCTTCACGCAAGTGGCTGCTGGCCGCCAAGAGCTTGCTTTGCATCTTTGCCCACATGAACATTCTAACATGCTGCTACATGAACTGGCCATGCACCATGTTGCTGACTGCTTGCACGATAGGCTTGATTTGCAGATCACGGGCTAGTCATGAGGCGATGGACGCCTCACCTTGGTCTGCATCTCCATCTGCACAGGTCCGTCTCCCCATGCGCAGCGTTACAGGGTGAAGGTCATGCGAAAGTACAATGTTCTGGTCAACCGCATCAGGTCGAAAGCACCAGATTCGAGTTCATGTTCAATGGCAGGGACACCCAACCGTCACGGATGAGAAGTGCCCCTTGCATTGATGCAGCCAGGCTATTAATCTGCCAAGCTCCTAGCAGAAGCTTGTGCTCTTGCACAGTATATGGTATGTGCTTGCACCATATTAAGAAACAATGGTTCTATTTCAGAGAATCCTTGCTCCAAGGCTTCCCGGTCCTTAGAAGGTCCTTTAGACTGTCTGAGCGTGTCTGAAAGGTTCCGAGGATCTCCCTGGAGGGTCTTTGTTGCAGGTACTCCCACCGTACCATCGTGGTCAGCTCGGCGATGCAGGGTGAAGACCTGCCCGCTACACTCTACCGGAAAAGGCCCGCGACAGCCGAAAAGACACTGTGCCGAACTCGGTTGGCTTAGCTGGTGAGCGTGTTTAATGAAGTTATGCAAGGAATATTCTTGAGTAGCAATCGGCTGGACAAGTACGCAATCTGAGCCGAGCTAGCATTTCATTTCCATGAGGTAAAATTCAAACCCTTTGCTTTTGTTACATAGGTTAAGCATGAATATGCGGCGCATGTTAGAAGTCAACAGCAAGAAACATAAGTCGTTGTCCACATTCTCCAGGGGACTAGTCGGTCGGGCTCTTGGAGGCCCAGGTCTGTCATGGAGGTTGTTTTGAAATGTTTTCAACAGTGAATCTTTTGGTCCGGCTGATTCAGAGACGGACCTCAATACCCATTGGCCGAAGGTAGTGGTCGTGGATCGGAGCTTACCCAGTCCGTCTCAGTCCCAAATCAGGTTGGGTTTCCTGTATATGAACTATAAACTAGCCCCTGTCAAACGCAAGAAGGGCACGCTGACCAGGAAAGGCAAAGCTGGCCCGCTTGCCTCACGCAGGAATGCCTACACATGTGGAAATTCATGAAGTGTGCCTTTACAAAGCCATTCATTATGACTCTTGCCTGTGGCAACTCGACCTGCTGTCGGATCTGCAAGAGTGCAAAGATGTGGTTTCGGCTCAAGAATAAGGAGAGCGAAGACGGAAGTCTAGTCAATTTTTGTCAGTGGGCACGAGACAAGCTCTATACACTACCTGCCACGAGAACCACGAGGTAGTAAATTGTCTTTTCAGATTACTGGCCATCGCTCCAGCCACCTGGCGGACATCTCAGTACTTGAATCCGTCGTTTTTAGCACGCAAGCTGCAGCATGCTAAGTTGGCAGCATGCTGAATTCAGGTGTCATGAAGCCCAACCTAGTGCGGTCCCTACGGTTGCTGTTAGGATGTGCGGGCCGTGAGAGATTGATCACTGTGGACGCGAATGCTTCTGTTGCAAAAGATAAGCAGCTTGTGTTCAAGTCACGTAGTCACTAATGCAGCCATCATGCTCGGCATGGTTCGGTTTTGATGCTGCGGTTCGGTTGAAACTCTTTGGGTTTGGTCGAGTGGGTGGATGGTTCAGAGGCTACCGTAGCCATACTGTGGTTCTGTGGGGGACCTTGGATGTACCGACCACTACACCACTTCGCAGCAACCAGACATGCATCAACCCCTCCACCTAGGATCACCTATACAATTTCCTAAATCCGAAAGAAGACCAAACAAAACCAGAACACGCGGAGTGTTGCTGAACATCACTGACATTTGGAATCTCCATTTCCTGAACACAGAAACAAGGGTGATGCCCCGCGAAACGACCCGCGTGATGGCAGGGTTGTCTGTTTAGGTATTTTGAGGCCAACAGCACCGGTCCAAGTTTTCGGGCCCATATTGTCTCTTTACCGAGGCGAAAACCACGTTTCCGTGTTAGGTCTGACGGTCGTCCCACAAACATATCTTCACGGTTTCCCGGATAAAATGGTGTTTTTTGTTTCTCTTTATACTTTTTAAGGTATAGGTCGAGCATTCGGGCTTGCTTGGGTCTTGCTTTCTGTTTTTGTTTGGGGGGAACTACAGGACTAAATGGTGTTCCTGCCTCAGTAAAACGACCATTTCGGTTTGTCAGGTCTGTTTTGGGGAACCCATCTGAGGCAGGCGGCAAATTGTTTTCTCTATGTTTTTCCCTTCAATACGTTCATCATGAAATCTGTTGACAAGTGTGTCTTTTCTCGAGCGGTGACAGTTTTTTGGCTTTTTTACACAACCCAGGGGCTTTCGGGTTCAGGGTTCAGGGCTTAGGTTCTTTGGGGAAGCTTGCAACCCCCCAGGCGACAACCACGAACCCTGGACCAAAGAAAGAACAACATTGCCTTACAGCTTGCCCTTGAACCCCTCGAAACCAGAAGCCATAAAAACCTTGAGCCCTAAACACCTGAAGCCCTCGACCCGACAAGCAACCTGTGAAAAGAGCCACCTTGCAAACCTTAAGGTTTGAGATTTTGGAGTTTGGACTGCAGGCTTTCAGTTTTAAGGGTTTGGGGGTTTTTTTGAAGGGGGGCAGGGTGTTTTCGGGCTTGCATGGCTTTTGGGCTTGATGGTCTTTTTGAGGGTTTGGGAGACTCGGGCTTGCACTGGTATTGCCTTCCTGCCAGTGTGGAGAATTCAGACACCTGCATGTAATATCATGTAATGACCCCCCCCCCCAACCCGCCCAAAGACCTGAAAACAAGCAAAACCCGCGGGTCAATTCGTAGCGTAAGCAGAAACAACTCAGGCACCTAAAAAATCCAAATCCGTCATCGGTTTCGCGAAAACTTGCATAACACTTGCACAAGCCCCCTGCCGGAGCACCTCACATCAAGTATCACGGACATCTATCAACTTCAATCGGTCCCTTCGGGTTTTGTTTTGAAATCTCTTCAGTTTAGCGCTCGCCGTCAATGGTTGTTCAGAAAGAGAAATGTCGAAACCGCGACATTTGAAGTATGGGGGGCTTGCAAGTATCTAACATCCAGCAGCCATTATGAGCAATCGACCAGGTGGCGAACAAGGCGTGCGCAGCGCGGGTGCGGAAAAGGGAGCAGGAAATGCTCAGATCGCGCATCCGAAATGTCAAGCCACAGGCACTGTTGCACATCACGCTTCATGCAAGAGTCATGTGAGCTTTATGCTGTGCAGATTGACACACGACCGCCTGAAAGTATGGGCCTCGACCACGTGCGGAACAATCTGAAGAGGGAGCTGTGCTTACGAAACAAGCAGGTATACTAATCTTTGACCAGTTCAGGCCTTAAAGGGACATGTTTGATTTGCTGGGCACCGTTGCCAGGAGCAACTGCTCGAAGAAAGGCGGCATGCTTTGAGTCATGAGTTAGCATCCAGGCCCTTTAGGCTTTGCAAGATCTGTGCGAGTTTTCACGAACTTTGCAGGTACCATGCCATCGATCGTGACAATCGCATTCTTCTTCAGAAAATGCAGCGGGCTGAAGGGCGTGGGTACATGCACTTGTGCATGTGCATATTGCGGCGGTTTTGATGGTAACCCACGGTCCATGCTGGTCGCCATGGCGCTCGAGACTGGTGGCCAAACCTTGGACGTATTAGTATCGAACACGGTACTCGTAAGGGGTTCGGACTCAGCTGGAGCAGGATGACCGCGCGATCTTCGTTCCTAACAGGCGCATCTCTTCATATTATCTCAAACATCCGAAGTCCATGGAGTGTGAGCGAGGAAGCATGGCAGAGCTGGCTGTGCTCCCGGCCGCTGAACCAACCGCAGAGCCACAAACCAATCCTGTAGTCCCCAATCGCTGAACCAAGCCTACAAGGCGTGCTGTTTGCGAAAGCCCCATATCAGCCCATTCGAAGACCTGATGACAGCAGGCCCTTGCGGCCAAGATTTGGAATACATTTCTATTCCGGGAGTAGCTCTCTTCTTGCTGCAGTCCAAATGTCATGCACAGTTCCGCATCATCTTCCCGTCAGCTGCATCTCGAGTCTGTTGCCTTATCGCTTCATGTCCTCTTTGCTTCGGTCCCTCTGCAGGTTCTGCCAAGGTTTCGATGATTCAATTCTATGCAGCCTTGGAACCCGCTAGAATTTCGACTGGCTTGCTGCTTCAACTTGTTGATCCTCATCTCCTGAATTTCCATATCGGTCTCACTTGCACTCGCATTTCGCAGAATCGCATATATTGCATATACATGAATACACATGTCTACATGTCTCTCTTTCTTGCTCTCTCTCTCTCTCTCTTCTTACATTTACTTGGCAGATTGTAGTGCCGCTCGTGACTGGAGAAGGCCCGTTTCGAAACTAAAGCAGTAGACACGCCCAAGTGAATGAGCTTGCCAATCTTGTTGGGCAATGGACAGCCTGAGAAATTTCCCGATGTATGTCCAGATCTGAACTAGAAATGGAAATACAGGTGTACATCCGGCCCGCGGTCCGTGTATGTGGTCGTCGTTCTTCGGCAATGGAGAGCCCGGAGTCAGAGGCAGCCCTAGAGTCCTAGAGATTAACGCTCAGGACAGAGGTGAGGTAGGCACAGGGATTCTGATGCAAGACTCGTGACAGTTGTTTGCTTCCACGCTCTTGGCATTCATCAGGTTCACATGTTGAATTTCCACCTCACACGTGTTTAATTGCGCATCCATGCTTTCGTATGGGTTTTGCTACATTTCCCCGTCGCTGGATTTCATTTCATGTTGTCTGCTTGTTTCTGATGTATTCCTGTTTTCCTTGGTATCTCGTATTCATATTGTCGTCGCTTCTGCTTCCAGTTCGCATCATTATCGCCTTCAGCTTTTCAAAGTTCCTCTAACTTGCAGAGTTTCCTCATGCGTGGTTAGGTTCCAACACGAGTTCCACCTCGCATTGTTTTCGCTGTCGGACCTGTTCGAAGGCCACAGCACTCCTGGTTCATTGCCACCTATATAACGTCTGCAAAACATTCTTCTTACCACATTTCCACTTGTTTTTCCATCTTTTCCGCTTCATTCCGCCTCATTCTGACGCCTGCTTGATTTGCACCTAATGTCGCCTCATTTCCATGCATTCCGCCCCTTGCCCGCTTTGCTCCCATGATCTCATGTCCAATTCATGTCCGTGCCATGTTTGCTGGGTTGCTGTTTGCAGGCCATGCTCTTTCTGGGTTGTTTCCACTTCAGTTCTTGGCATTTCCTCCTCTTTGCGCACGTGGAAAGATAAACCCCTCTACAGAATCTGATCGCCCTCTAAAACCGAACATTGGCATCACACGCCCGTAGAACGGCTGAAGTCTGTGCGGAATTTTATATGGAGACATCTGTGCAAACCTTAAACTTGAACTTTGCATGGTGGGATGAAGATGACATTCACATCTGCATCATCCGCACATTGTTTGCCACTGGTTTCATTTAGAGGCGGCTCCTCTTCAGGGCCGAACTCTTGCAGATTGTTGGACACAATTTGGCCTTAAGGTCGGACATCATGAAGACTCCATCAGTGAAATCCGGCCTTGGTGGTGGGCTTTGACAACAACGTTCAACATGCACATACACGAAAGAGGTCCTGTGTCCAGCTCAAAGTGTCTCAGGTGCACAGAGCAGCCCGTCCAGCCTCACGCGAGATGCTCGCAAAGCTGAGCTGTCGCGAATCACGCAGGCGGGTTGGCGGCGTTGGCCAGGGAGTGATCATTTTCATCGTCGTGCCTGGACAACTTAGGAGAATCTTTCCATTCTCAAGCGCATCCAGCAGGCTTCGTGTGTAGCGCATCGAAGCATTGCATCGCTTGTGGCTTCCTATCTCCGATTACGATCTTGTGGGTGGGTGGATGCTGTCTTTGCCGGATACTTGGGCCAGTATTGCTCAACAGAAACTCGGCTGAGCATTGCTCAATAGATCTCAACAGGGACTATGATTGGAGGCCCAGCCCGTGTACAACCACGTCGAATGGGATGACTCATACCGGCGCAGTCTGACCTACCTGAGGCGCTACTGGAAGTTGTGGAGCAATGTGGAGCCTGTATGTTGTCCCTCAAGCCAGACTGCCTGGCAAGTAACCTCCGTCCGCAGCCATTGAGCATCACAAACTCGGGCAGCACGGAGAAAACGTGTTTGGAGTCTGGATCCCGAGGTGCATTGCCTGAGATGTTTGATGAGTGTCACAGAGCGAGAGAGAGAGAGAGAGAGAGAGAGAGGAACGCGGGACCGGGGCGCGCGCACGCGCGGGGGGTCACCCCCAAGCCCCCAAGAAAGAAAGAAAGAAAGAGAGAGAGGAGGGGGACGCCAAACAGTAGCAGCTTTTGCAGAACCCGACTCCCGTGTTTTTTGGCCAATGAGCCGGACGTCCACTCAACATGAGAAGGACGTTTTGTACCAACAGACCCGAGACCAGCACGCGCCCCCGGGGGGCGGCCTCCCTTCGGGGGGGTCATGCGTGGGGGAGAGAGAGACAGAGAGAGGAGACCCCATGCCCCTAGAAAGAAAGAAAGAAAGAAAGAGGAGACAGAGAGAGGCACGACCCCCTCGGGGGTTATGTGCTGTGGAAGGAAGGAAAAAGACAGAGAGAGAGAGGAAGGAAGAGAGAGAGAAGAGGGCGCACCCTGCGCGCGGGGGAGGGCGCCTGTACTCCCTCAAGCCCAGCAGAAGAAGAAGAAGAAGAAGAAGAAGAAGAAGAAGAAGAAGAAGAAGAGAGAGAGTGAGAGAGTGAGCACCTGTAGAGTAGAGGTTGGCCATGCGGGAGAGCAGTCCATGTTGGAGTTACGTGTATCAGTAATAGTTACGTATCAGTAATAGGGTGAGGTACCTTGTGGCAGTGGGAGAGTACTGCTGTCTGGATGGCGGTGGCGTGTAGCGTATAACAAGCGCCGAGACATGGAGCAGGCGCAGGTCGGCCATTTAGTCCTTAGGTAGAGTACCTGATGAGGTGGAAGAACAGGCAGACCGTCTCACACGGGGAAACAAGTCAATCGCACTCGATGGCGCGACCTGGATTAGGGGGATTAGGGGGGGGGGGGGAAATAGTCAATCCAGGACGCAACCATCCCCTATCCCCGCTTGTAGTTTCACACGGACACGCTGCAACCTGGGCGCGCCTGGCGCGCGGGGGGGGTTCACTCCCCTCAAGCCCCGAAGAAGAAGAAGAAGAAGAAGATGAGGGAGTGAGAGAGAGAGAGAGAGCATGAGGGGAACTACCACATGTTCACAAAGAATCTCACCAACTGGATCGCTGTGAGCACGTCCTCTGGGCGGCCTCCTTCGGGGGGTTGTGTGCTACGGAAGGAAGAGAGTGCACATCTTGGCCTTAACCTGTTCCCAGAGTGACCCCAACACAGGGAGGGGGCTTGCCCCCACGCCCCCGGACAGAAAGAAAGAGAGACCTTGCCGGGGGGGCGGAGGGAGTTGTTTCTCACCAACTGACTCGACCGTGTGGGCTGGGCGCGCCCGCGAGCGCGGGGGGCCCCCGGGCCCTTCATGCCCCGTAGAAGAAGAAGAAGAAGAAGGACGAAGAAGAAGAAGAGAGAGAGAGTGTGGGGGAGAGAGAGAGAGCGACTGAGAGTGTCTTGACCTGCAGAAGAAGAAGAGAGCGTCTTGAGCAGCCTCGGGCACCGTGCATTTTAATAAGAGAGCGTCTTGAGCAGTGTGGGGCACCGTGCGTTTTAAGATATTTAAAAAGAGTTCATCGGAGCGACTCTATACCTGTGGCATGTTCAGGGCACCACCCCCCCCACCTCCCCCCCCGCCGGACTCAGTCTCGCCCGCGCAAACCACCATAGCGACTCTAGAGCATGCAGTCAGTACTGACCCATCTACCAGATGCTGTCGAAAGCGGGAATGAAGCAGAAATAGGAGAGCGACCCCTAGATTTTCAGGAAGAAGCAAGTGTAGTGAGGGGCGGAGGAACATCAAGAGTAGCCAGCGCCATCACAGCAAAGACCATAAAGACACAGCAAAATTCATGCCAAGCCAAGCCGAGCATGCCTCCGGTAAGCTCCTTAGCTCTCACCAACACTAAGCATTCATTACATTTCATTATGATGCGCTGACACCCCGGCCTCAGCCACACAATGCCAAACCGAACAAAGGCAAGCCTCCGGCAACACTCCTTGCTGATCCCCTCCGCCCTCACCGGCCCTGTGCCTGCCAGCCTCCCTGAAGTCCTGCGCTGCAGGTTCAAACTGTCAACATCGCAGACTGCAGATTCGATGCAATACCTAGAACCCAGTGCTGCCCTAGAGACAACGCGTCCCCTGACCTGCGAAGTCCCAGCACTCGCATGCGATCCCTTTGTTATATCCCCAGAGCTTGAGACTATCCTTGCACCAATGTCTGCAAACAGGGCTTCGAGATTGATGTGCATTTTGTAGTCTAATCGTGTTGCGCATGTTTCCGGGTTGGGAGGGATGATAGATTCCGGGTTAGGTGCCGAGGCTGGCGCTACACCCAGTGACCGTGCGTACAAGTCGGCTGTGCTCGGCAGCTGTGCTTAGTGCAGCTCAGGCATGCCTTTCGAGTTTGAGCTTCCCAGCAAGCCGGTGCTCGTAGCTGGCGGGCCAGAACCTCAGCTGCTCCTCCTTAGGCTCCCAGGACGTTGAAGGAGCCATGTTTTGAGCTCGGAGCATGAAGTGCTCCCAATACATGATCAGGGCCCGTCGGCTGCCCTCATCCCATCTCTCGCGCCACCCGCGAACTAGGAACTGGGACCACATGGTGTTAAGCCGCCTGACATCCAAAATGCAAGGTTCACAGCGCTGTTCCAATTCGAGTATCGCGATGCTACATTGGACATAAGCAGCAACGCACTTCAAACTTGAAGAAAGCAGCACATGTGCCGAGATCTTCATTGTTTTTGCTGTGCTTCGTCCTCGTTTACATGCATCGTCAACGGAGCTCTTCCCAGTTGAGTCCCGAATGAGCTTTCACAGTCCCTGCATGCCGACTTCAGCATGTTCACGAAATCTGATTCGTCAAGCTTTGTAATCGTTTCCAGATATTCATCGTGAATCCTTCGTAATAGTTTGTGTATTGCTCATGTGCACGGAATGCCACGAGAGAGCGAAACACCGTCGCACAGCAAGTGCTAGCTCTAGGTCGACCTGAGGTCGACTCTAGGAGTTGCGCTCAGTTCTAGCGTTCCATTGGTGCTATTTCGACACCCGCCCTCGCCACCCTGCTATTTGCAATCAGTGGGGTGACCTTCGCCTATCGCCCAGCGCCATAATTTGAAGTGTGTGCGCTGGTGCGATTAGGACGAAGGAGACGCCACCTGCTGAATACATCCAACAAGCTCCAGTCGGCGATTGTGCGAGTTTGTCAGTGCACATGTGGCAGTTAGTGAGGTTTTCTTGGCTGTGCGATGTAAGCTCGGATGTCCTAGGTATGCTGTCAGGGACCGTTGTCCGTGATTGGTACAGCATGTGCAGCTTAAACTGTCGTAGAAAACCCAGCACGTCGGTGCCACGGGGTGCGTCAGTTTTCTTGTTCGGCCGGCCCAATGCACGAAAACCCAACAACGAAAGTCAACAGAAAGACGATAGAGTCATTCCATGCATGTTAAAATTTTGTCTCTTCACGGACAACGAAGGATGCTGTTGAATTGTTTGAAGTTAATTCTCTTTTCGTAGTACAGTATGTCTTTACGTTTCTGGACGTGCCCGCTGGCTGAGGTTCGGTGGTCCAGCTGTAATGTTCTTAGTCCGAGGCTCATGATGTTGCCGTGCTGCCGGGTGATGGGGTTTCTCGTTTGAGAACCCGCGCGCCAAGGTAACACCTTTCCGAAATGGGCTCACTCTGGGCACCTCGGCAGCTGACGCTTGCGAATCCAGCGAGACTCCATCATGTTCGCTCTTGGGCGACCTCGAACCGTGATCCTGAGGTGCCACAAGCTCCCTGAGCGCCGCTGAGCTGTACCAGCAGGCATGCCCCGTTCCTGTGCTCTCAAGACTCTTGCAAAACCCTTTCAAGCCACCAAGTCAAGCTAAATCCAGGTCTTTGCACAAGGTTTTGCCAAAGGCTGGACTGGTGATGGACTCAGATCCCGGGCGCTTAGATTTCTTATCACAGTGTTCTCAACGCACAACGGGTATGAAGGCGGTGCCTTCACGGCAAGAGCTGCTTGTCCACAATTTCTGTGCCTAGGTGGGCATGTCATGGCATGTCGTCACTAGGTTAGCACGGGTCCAGACCTGTCCAGACATTGATTTCGTGAGCAGGCCCGGCATACCACTTCTATGCCTCATTTTCCGGTGTCGGTGCGGGCCGCAGAGTCCACACGGAGTGATGCTACCAATTCTTGTGCTTCCTCGGCTGCTCAGCCTTGAACGATGGAGCTGATTTCATGCGTGAGCTCAGCCGTCTTTAAATGTCATGTTTTCTCTTCGGTGAGCTTGCATTGCTGAAGAGGGCTAAGAGCCCAGCTACTCGATTCTGAAGCGAGGGTAGCATTTCGTTTCTGGCCTGGGGTCACAAGAGGAACCGAGCCTACCTTGTGATACCAGGTGCAAAGTTCTTTGATCAGACCTTCCAATTGTTAACGCTGCGCGACCCGCCCCCCTGCCCAGCGGCGAGACAACCCAAACCGAAGATGGCGGGTGTGAAGGTGCTGTTAGGCTTCAGGGCTTTGAGAAGCTTCATGCAATCATTCCCTGTTGGGGATCCTGTCGTAACACGCAAGCTCGTGTGTAGACCAGGCACCCCAATGTGGGACTGGCAAAACAGTTTTAAGCAAGCCGTCCAGGGATCCGGGAAGTAGGGCAGGGGCGAAAACCGTGGAAGTAGAAGGTGGGCAGGGTGGAAAGGGGCAAAGGGAGGAGAGAGAGGGACGATCGGACGGCAGCGATGTTGAGGACAGAAAATGGATAAATGTGTGGGACCCTGAAAGAAGCGCAACGGTTTTGGGGGCAGGGGTGGGTGGGTTGGGGCCGTGAGGGGCGTTGGGGAGGTGATTAGAGGTGGTGGGGGTTCAGGGGCTTGTTTCGGGCGGATCAAAAGGGGCAGTTTCTCCGTCTCGTAACGTCCATATGCTGTTCGATGTGTGTAGCTGAGGATGTTTTCGACATGATAACGGTCACGTTCAACACTTTGAACACAGGTTGTCGCCTTGAGTAGAACCTTGTGCTATTTAACAAATGTTGCCGACATTGATTGGATCGCAACTGATCAAGCAAAACCAAGCTCCGCTTGGTGTCGCAATCTGTGGCTCAGAACCGTTCATTGCTTGTAAATGGACACACATTCACATGCCCTCACACGGCACATGTTAACGGATGCTTTCGCTGTTCGTTGTCTGCCTCTACTACGTGTCGCATAGTCCTTCAAGTTTCCACTTGTAATGTACAGTGTCGAATCTTCAGCGTCAAGCTCAACATGTTCATGTACACAAATCTGCAAAACATTGAACTCTTAGCATTGCTGCAGGGCGCGAGCAAAAACAGCTCAATCAGTTTAACTTGACAGCAGCAACATTGGCATCAAGTTGTTAGATGCTTACCGTCACTCTCACTTATCAAAACGATTATACTTAATGAACGTGAGCACGCAGCCCGTTTAAAGGTTTCATCCGCTGTGCCACAGACAATGCTGATAGCAAACATCTGAAAACCGGAAGAAGATTTGCCCTTTTAAGCATAAGTGCGCAGCTTCTCACCCAAAGAAGGCGGCAGGCTTCCACCACTTCAACACAAGCTGTTTAGCGGGTTTGTTCAGTACAATCGTGCTGTTTGCGTATGGTCAGCATGCGTTCGCAGTCACCAAAGAACTCGTCTCGTGCCTCTCGCATGAACTTCCAATGTGTGATCAAACATGGATGGATCTCGCCTACAGCATGGACCCTCTACATGTTTTTGCAACTCAAAGCATTGCTTTACATTGTCAACCTTTGATCGGTAAATTACATCTTCACGCTGTTGACATAAGTACTCCGCTCGATTTGCAAAATGGACAGTTCAGCAGGTTTTATCATACGTGTTCAACCTGTTCAACTTAACGTTGACACTAGCCGCCACTAGCCACTAGCCTGCATACTGCACGCCCGCCAGACTCAGAAAGAAGCTTACAATCTAGTTGGATTGTGCTTGGCATCGAACCGCCAACGATCGATGTTCGTTTAGTTGTTTAACTTACCGTATTACTGCTGCACAAGACATGAGTTGACATTTGAATTCGGTTCTGTTTGCCGAAACGCGATTTACAAGTGCAGTATGCTTCAAGTTGTTTTGCATGTTTCAATAAGGATGGAATGTGAAAGTACACTTATGTTTGCTATCGGGATTGCAAGGGACACGACCTCGTCTCCCTGCACCCTCTCTCTCAGTCAGTATCAAAACAATGTGGAGCTTTGTCGAACGCAGGCCATCCCAGACAACCAAGATCGAAAGACTCAACAGTTGTCCGAAGTTGTCCGCCCTCGGATGCTCAAGAGGGCTTGGGCCTAGGAGCCAGGGGTGTCTGTATCACATGGTCTGACCAGTTCTGGGCGCCTGTTCAAGCCCGCGAGGAAGTACAATGAGATACCATGAGTACAATCTGAGTACGAACGCTCTGAAGCTCTTCTCGCTTCTTTCGTCGCCCGTGGCCACATTGTCAGAATCAGGCGGCGGCGTGCTCCTCACCAGCCTCACAGAGGTGCTGGCGAATGGTGCAACATTGTAGAACGGCTAAACGCAATGAGCTGAATTCAATATCACAAAGTTCAATCCTATCACCCATCGCCCCACCGTCTGCCTTCGCAGACCTTGATCGTCTATGGAGCTGAGACAAAGAACGCTCAAATGGCCATGAACCAGAAGAGCAGCAGCCTCATCAGGTGAAGCCACCACAGAGGAGAGAGCGAGAAGACTCCTACTACACCAGGCCCTGGCAGCATACCTTCCGTGCATCCGGCATGGAAGGTGGGGAAGTGAACACCAGCAAGGGCCACTTTGGTTGCTGCTCAGCTTGTGTGTGCATCTCTGCCTGCATCTCTGCGCCAGCCTTTTGGCCCTGGATTCGGCATCCACGTCTTCAGGAATGTCATTGCTACGGCCCGCCCTTGGTTTTATTTATATATATATATACATATATATATAATATATCTATATCTACAGCCTTAGTTTGATGCTTTCGGTTGCTCGAACCATCCTGCACGCAGGCGGGACTCCGAATGTTCTGTACTCCTTGCAGAACTGCCATCGAGAAGGTGGTCTGCTTCAGCATTGCTTCGCTGTTGTTCAAGACCTACGATGTCCATGAGTCAATGAGGCGACGGGCACTAGCAATTCCATGCGCGCATCTCAGTTGTTCGGGCTGTTTCAGGCCAGTAAGTGCGGAGATTTCGCCACCAGGACTACACTGGGCGGAGACTTCGCTGGAAATGTTCCGGTCCTGGGTGCTTATGGGATCTCGCCTGATCTCACAGGTTAGGTAGGGACGTGTTGTAACCTGGCCATGTCTGATCCCTTTAGTGAGGTCTGTGCAGCGTGCCTATCTGCACCAGTCCACCAGCTGTACGGCTTCGCTGTGACAACCCCTGAGCTGAGGACTGTTCGTGGGGCTAAACTTTAAACTTTAAACTTTAAACGCCTAGCTCAAACTCCAGCCAATGCAGATTTTGCTTTGGAGATCTTCGGAGCTTGCTGAGCGACTTTGGTGACTGGTTTCTAATGTCTGCGCGGTTTTGAAGATGCACTGTCGAGGACTCTTCCAGCTGCGGAGAAGAGGGAGAGAATGGTTTCGCCAGCCACTAAGTTGAGTCGTAACCTGACCTACCACGCTTTAAGCTGTCTCAACGAGCCTTGGTGCACTTCTAGACACACTTCTTTGCTTTGTCTCCACCATTCCTTCCTGTCATCTCGACTTTACCTTGCACGTGGGATCCGGGACAGCGAATGTCAACGATCAACAAGTGGACGACGCGCGATGACATAAGCGCATCCAGACGTATTGTAGATAGTAGCACGCAAGTCTGGGGTTGAAGCTGAACGTTGGACGTGCTAGAAGGCAATGTGAGGATGAGGGAAGTAGCAAGTTCAGCTAAGAAGTCTTCAATCAGGACCAGCATCTTTCAAAAGCCCTGAACGTCGCGGACTTGCTGCTGAGTCCACTCAATGCAGATTGCTGAAAGCAGTAGCCGCTCCAGACCTGTGAATGTTGCTACAATTACAGTTGCTACTGTCATCTTGCTCAGCTGCTCGTAACTACCAGTAGCCAATCTCGCGAAACGCCTTTCACGTGCCAGTCCTACTGGCGTGATCTTGCTGGGGTAAGAAAGCAAGCCGGCCCTTGCTGGGATTTTGGAACATGGAAGCAGGGTTCGAGGCGTTGTTGAGGGCTTCCAGTCAACCCCCGGATATTCACTAAAACACAGAAGAACGGTGTCGCGAGAAATTTTTGTGGATCCCTAAAAAGCGTTTTCCTCTAAGCTTTGCCCTCTGAGAGTCCTCCAAACAATCATTGCTACTGCAGTTTCCGAGTCAAAATCCGGATCTGGGAAGCGCTTTCTGACGTATTTTGCGGACCTCTTTCAGCGATTCAGACTCTTTCACGGCAGCGCAGAAAGCAAAAGCGTCTTCGTCTGTCACAGTATCGTGGCGAATGCTGAGGTTCCTGAAAGATCAGTATTTGGACACCTCCAATGGAAGGCCTGTGATGCCCAATTTCTTTCCTAGGGAGGCAATGCAGATCATGTCGGTCATGGGGCAGGTTTGCACACCACACACATGCACTGTCCTGCCATGCCAGGACAAGGCTCAGTGGACTGGTCCCCCGAGATCTCTTCATGCGCAGCATGTACGTGGCGGTAGCCTACACAATGTGCCCTGCTTCGCCACGCCGGGCTTCTGTTGCATCAATGATCATCTTTGCAGCACATTCAGCACATGTGTTTTTGATCGAATGCTTTGACATCCCAGAATTACAAGCTGCAGGTACTCCACAGTCGAGCGAACTTTGGTGGCCAATTGGCCACAGTAAGATGCGCTACGACATGTCATGCGTTCTTGCTTAAGACAGAATTTGACTGTGCCAGTTCGCAATCTTGGACATGACGCGAGTCAACATACTTCGGGCGTGCAGCCTACAGTGCTGTTGCGCAGCACAGGCAGTCAATACAGGTATGAATATGGATGCCATTGGATGCCTTTCAACCTGTGCTGCCCATGCCAACGGGCATAGGAATACAGCCACGGTTTTCCGACTATGTACAGGCAGACTGTTCCTGCCAAAGTGGCAGAATTATGTAGATGGACAACTCACAACGGAGCCTAGCCGACGAGGCAGCTGCACAACAAAGGCAGAGACCAGCTGAGCCGCAGCTGTTCAGAATGCACGAGAATCATCCGAGATCATCGCGTTGTAGCTCCATCCTGTGCTGAAGCAGGAACAGCTGTGAATATCCCCTCACCCTGACCAAGAAGAAGGTCCCGACAAGGCGAGTAAAGTACTGTGCGAGCTGAAACGCAATTCTGAATGTGAGCTCTTGAGCCAGGTCGAGCAGCTTAACGCCACTTTCTGGCAAGGACGGGCGGATGGCACATTTGCAGTCCTGTGATTTGAAGTGCAAGTCTCCAACACTCAGCCGCATTCAGCCGCCACTGTCTCGCAAGTCATGGTCAGGCAAACAAAGGCATGGCAGCTACTACAGGCGCACGTTGCCAGAGCATGCGGCACCTGGCCGCCAGCGCATACTCGGCATGTCGCAGCATCTTGCGAGTTCTCCCTCGATTATGATTCGCTGCCCAGCCTCTCAGATGCCAACAAACTGACTGGTCTCTTTGTCAGGGTCCCTGGGTTCTCTTGCCCCTGGAGAAGTTGGTCAGGAGTCTGGTGGAGACGATCTGAGGTGCCTTGAGTGGTTTCGGCAGATAGTGCTGACAGGCGCATATGTGCACATGTGTCATGAAGCGGTTGGAGAGGTATGTCTTGAAGGAGGGCAGAGACATGAATGGCGTGTTCTATCTGCTTGAAATGGCTGGGTGCCTAAGAATGTGCTTGCCAGACGAGGTTGCCTGAAAACTTCGGGTCACTTCGCAGAGCTACTGCAGATGTGGCTTGAGATACAAGCCATCAGAATACCATAACAGCCAACATGCATGAAAGCAAGTTCTCCTGCAGGCAACGGATGGGCGCAGCTTAGCAATCACAGCGCCGGATCTTGAGCATTGAGTCTGTCGGATTCCAAAAAACGAGTCTGGCACCCAGCAGCAACCTTTCGGACCTCAGGTACGATGCCGATCAAAAGAACACCTTGGAGCTGCTGGTGAACGAGAAAAACCACCGCAGGCCTGCTGTGGCATCTATTTCCTCAGAACTAAAATTTGACACAACTTGGTGGTGCTGAGTGTTGTTGTTTAGCCCTGAAGGCATTGAGGCATGATCGACAGTCAACCTTTAGCCCGTCCATCTTTGGCATTGATTCGAGGGCTTGAGTAAAGGTTTAGTTTAGGGCTGAGCTTCCACAGGATGTAGTTAGGATTACTTAGGAAGTTCGTGCGGTTGCTTTACCTGCAACCCTGGGAGGAGAAGGGCCTCAAAATCCCACACCAATGACAGCTCGGGCTCTTGACACTTCTAGCACCCCCTGAAATTAGGCAAATACTTGTGCTGATCACTGCAGGGATCATGCGGGAATCGTGCAAGGGCAGGCGCTCTAGGGCCATCGAGGGCCTAGAGGGACTGGGATCTTTTGGGTATGGGCACTCCGGAGGTGGACCCGTTTGATGATGGGCCCGCATGGGCACGCCAGAGATAGATGTAACGGTAGCCTTCGTACCTGACTACAGTGACTACAGCCCACCACTGTCTGTACCCTCAAGGTCCGAGCTCGAAGTTCCAGGAAACACCACGGAGAAATACAGCATTAAAGTTACATAATTATAGTTACCTCCACTCATGAAAGTCGACAGGCTGTATCGCGACCACAACGGCGACTACAGGGCCATTGCAGCGAAACTCTGTCTGGACGGTGCCATGCTAGTTTGGCGTCGCCCGTTTCTGGTTTGAGAGCGTTTGAAGCCATGTAAGATGTGGAGGCGAGCAGCTCTACATCAACCACGACGGCATGGTGCCCGAGGAAAAACCCGAAAGGGCCTCCTGACCAATCGAGGCCATGCCACGTGAAACATTTCCGTAAAGCAGACCTGGAACAAGGCCTTTTACCAGGGGCAACAAACCAAGACAAGCTTGGTCGACCTCTGGCCAGGTACTGTGCAATGCCGCACGCAGTGGGCCTTTCGAAGGCCTCGAACTGTCGATGCCCCTTTCTGCAAATTGGCCCTTGCGATCCGCTCCACCGAGGCTGCTTACAGCATACCTTCTTTGGCAGCCACAGTTGGTTGAAGCCAACTGTTTGTGTATCACATGTCTCAGAAAAACCCCCTAAGGGGGGCATGACGTGCTGCTGAGACATTTCCTGGCCTGAGAGTGGACGAGTGTCGGTTGCAACATGCCAGGGCACAATACTTCGCATGAAAACTGCTTGTGTGATCTTGTGAGCCCAGTTGCTGCAAGATGTTGCAAGCTCATGCTCATTTGCTTTGGTGCTGATGCACGGTCACTAAGCGTTCTTAGCCCATGCAGCTCAAGCTGCGGGGTCATGCCAGCATTCCACAGACCATTGTTGGGCACATCTTTTGACGATTGAGCTCGTGTCTGGCCTGCAATGATGTGCTTTGCTGATCATCTGATCTTTGCTCAACGGCGCCTCGACAATGCTACAGCGATGCAGAATTCCGAGGTAAGCTCTGCAGGCCTGGCACTGGCGCTTGGCTGTCGCCACTGTCTGAGAGATGCTATATTCTGCTGAATGATGCTACGGGGCGAAACCGCTACGCAGCCTACACTGCTAATCGCAACCAATCACTGCTACTAGCGGAGCAGCTCTGCACGATACCAGTACTTGTGCCCTGGACTTGGCGGCCGATTCACGCACCTGTGACTCCTGTTTCAAGGACCTGCGTTCTTGACGATATCTGAGATCATCTGAGATCCAAAGAGTCAAATTTGGCGAGGGCCCCGAAAGGCACCGTTCTGTTGCACATGCTTGCTCTGCCACTGCTTTGGCTGAGGTTTCCAAGTAGTTTCCCCCAAGCTTTTTGAGCAGATCGTTTTGCTGCCAGCCCAGCATGGCACGGATAAACGAAGGTCACGACTTGAGGGGACATGAGTGGAACATGTTATTTCTCGGCTCCGAGGTCTGTCCTGGCCCCTCAAAGGGGTCTCGGCATGGCTGCTTAGCTCTGCGTGTACAGGCCAGCCAAGAGCTGCGTATTGTTCCTGCACCATCGTTGGGACTTGATGCATCTTGATACGATCCGGAACCGCGCACATTGAGAGCTTTGCTGACTGCTCTGACTGCAGGTCAGGGAAGATCCTCTCTGCTTGGACAGGCAGCTCACTCCTGGCCTGGCAAGACAATGCTGCGTTTTGTAGTATGTGGCATGTGAATCATGTGAGAATATGACATGAAGCGAACATGAATTGTGTCACTAGGCTTCTCTATTACTGCAAGAGGTTGCTGCTGAGTCGGCTGTTTTGGACAGCAGCAAGCTCAGGAACCGAGACCTGGGTATCAGCATAAACGCGACCCCTCATGGTCCCCTGCTGGCTTCGACTCGTAGTAAGCCTTGAGGTGTCACCGCAGTGCAATTTTGGATACCTGCCCCGGACGTGCGCCTAGCTGAGATCCTTCGAGGAAGTGTGCAAGCAGGTTGTGAAACATTGTCAAACACTGTGAGAAAAATTGTGAAACTGTGTTTAAGATTCACGAGCTCGACCCGCATCTGCAGAGATCAGCGCTCAGGCTGACACCGCTCTTTGTTATAGCCTTGGACTGACATGATGCCGAGGCTGCAACGGCTGCGTGGTCGCTTCACAGCGTGGTTCAGATCTCACTTCAGGTGGTGAATGGCATTGACCCAGAGGCTGGACCAGTCTTTGGCCTTTCAGATGCCTCGCTCACTTGGAGGTGGCGGAATGAAAGCTGGCGAGTGGGCAGGCAAGAAATTCGCTCGCACACGGGTGATATAGGGCTATAACGCGAAACATCATGTGCCAGCGTGTGGGAGCCTACCGTACTAGCCGGGTACGCAACACCATTTTTTCGATTTCAGTTTCAGCACCGAAGTGAAGACAAAACCTATAATGGTTGGGTGCATTCAATATCCCCCGCAGGATTTGAACAACAGTTTTGCCGGAAACTGTCGCTGTAATACTGTTGGGGGCAGGGGACGAGGCCTCTTCCTCTTCGAGGCCTCGGCCTCTGCTGGGCCTCTACCGATGCTCTTGGCTGGCCCTGCCAGGGGCGGGGTGTGGGGAGTGCCGGTTGCGGGGAAGGGTTGGGAAGGGGGGAAGTTGACCAGGTTCTAGACGCCTCTCGGCCGGAAGCCGAAGCCAATGTGCGGACGAGAAAGTAAGGGCTTGCCCTTGAAATCTACATGAAATAGAGCTTCGACTTGTTGACTTTCATACAGGAAGTTAAGGTTTTACCTATCAATATCCAAGGAAGTAAAAGAGAGATAAGATAAGTCAAAACAATAATAGGTGGATGTTTTCCTTGAACATGTAGGACATGAAGGACATCAAGGTGCTGCTAGTGACATATAGTTGTTTCCATGATCGTCGCTTATTCAGGAAATATAGGCAGTCGCATTAAAGTCCACGGAAGCTAAAGTAAAATATCAACAATACACGAACAAAGTTAACAAAAAAAACTTTCAGAGCCTTCGAAACTCGAAGATCAGGGACCCGAATCCTCGGAACCCAGAGCCTCCAGTCTCTGCCTTGTCGAGAGACATCCAGCAGTTCATCATTCAAACCCCCACGTGTGCTCTCCCGGAGACTACGGGTTCAGCGATTTCCTTGAACCTCCCTTGAGTTCCACTTCGAACATCTCCGAGCAATGAAGAGCGTTGAGGAACCTGTCTTGCAAGGGTGATTCAACGCCTCGTGAGGAGGCTACAAAGGTGGGAAGGGAAGACCGGCCGACGGCAAAGGCAAAGGCAAAGGCACCTGCAACTATCACTTTCCAGGGGGTGACCGTCACTTTGCCGGAACGGCCAGTTGTGCCAGGTGATGAAAAAGAGGGGCCTGCAGATGATCGTAAGGGCGAGCGGCCGAAGCCTCGGATTTTGGTCGTGCACTTTGTCACGCGTCAGCATTGTTGAATTGCTCGTTCTGGAGGAAGGGCGCTGAAAAAGGTGAAAGAAAAGGCGGAGGGAAAGGTGACAAAGGTGGCAACCGAAAGGGTGATGGAAAAGGAGACAAAGGCAGGCATGCGTACACTCATGGGTGACGTCAGTGAAGTCCTTCCAAAACGAGGGATTGTGGTAGCATCCGTCAGCGTTATGCTAGTCCCGAGCATCTTGCTGCGCCAGGCAAAGGAAAGCGAGAGGCCTCGAAGTGCTTGAACATCCAGTTAACTTCCAAGGTTTGCTCGTCTGAGCGCTCCGCAGAACCAGGTCAAGGTCGTTGCCACCGGCTTGAGGGGCAAAGTCATCAAGCCAAGCTGTCCTGTTGCCAGCTTGACTCTACCTTGCTCCAAGCAAGCTCAAGCTCCGACATATATGTAAGCCGTAAGCCGCCGTAAGCCGCCGTAAGCATAATGAAAGTATGCGAGTTTGCACGCCAGGTTTCTGGGTGACAAGCCGAGTGGCTTCATTCAAAGGGCAGATGGTGAGAAAGATGCATGGGCCCTAGACATGCTGTGCGTGCTGGCCACAGCTTCAGGAAGTGCCAAGGATACCCTGTGATGCTTGTGGCACTGCTCTGTTGGCAGTGCGAAGTTGTCTGGAATTACCCAGGTGTTCTTTGATGTGGCCGATGTTGTGGAAGGGGAGGTTGAGGCTGCAGTTGAACTCGATGGTTATTTCCTTGCATGTAAGATAGCTGCCTACTGGTAGCTGAAAGGCAAACTCGTTGCAGCAATAATGCACTCTTTAGTACCGTGCTGCCAGGTTGAAGACATCGTTGAGTTTGACGTTGTGGAGGGTCTGAGACTTATCTTGTCTTTGTGAACGGAGAGATAGTTTTCGGGAGGGGATTTTTTGTGCAAGGCTTCGGCTCTTATCCCGTAAGCGACTAATTCTCTATCGGAAGGAAGGAGGGAGGGAGGAATGAAGGAAGGACGGAAGGCAGGCAGGACTGTGCAATCCGTCGAAATAATCTGAAAAGCTTCCCAAGTTGATTTTCCGGCCCTTATACCCTGAGAAGTTGGCTCTCGCAAGCAACCAGGTAACGTCATCTTGCGCAATGTCGACCTGAGAACGCACATGCTGTGCACATTGTGTCCTGCGCCGGCCATCGTGCAACCGAGGTTTGGACAGAAAGTGCTTGGCCCAGATCATTTGGCAAAATGACATTTGCTGTTGTGCGACCAAACCATGCATCTCGCACCATGCAGGCTGTATGGCTCCAAAGTAAGGAAGCTTCCAAAGGACACTGACCTGAAAGAGGCGGAGAGACATGTCCGTGGCACATGCAGTGCTGCCAGTCTTGTGATGCATGCAGGAAGGTCACGTTCTGAAATCCACATCAGTGCACACAGCTTCGAAAGCTGGTTCACTCACTGGCGGTGGTCTGACTTTAGGCCGGCCACACGCTGCAATGTGCTGCAATCGTTTTTGCCGTGCCAGTGGTTAGTGGTTTTCCTTCCAAATGCGCCGCCAGTTGTGCTCAAAAGCGGGGATACCAGGATCTAGGTCGCCTGGCTGTGTGCTATGCAGCTCACAGCTGCCATGGCTGCCGCGGTGCAGGACCAGTTTGCAGATTTCACGAAAAGTAGGGGGAGATGGGGGTGTCTCTCTCACACTAAAGACCCTTTCTGTGCAGGGCCAGCCGGAGCTCAAGTCCAGCGGTTGGCGGAGTTGGCGGGCCCTCAAAGCAAGCATCGCAAGAGCCCCAGGTTTGGGGGGAGCTTTCAGGTTCGGATTTGGAGGGGTTCTAGAAGGTCCTGCGTGGCTCTTGGATGTTCTATCATCTTCTTATATGTTTTGATCTCGCCATGTCTCTGCTGGAGGCTGGCATATGTGGACTGCTGCTTTGCAGTATGTCGAGCTTATGTTTCGTGCTGTACTCAGCATCCTTTGCAAAGCCAAGCGCAGCGGCCCCCCCGGCCATATCGGAGGATTTGATACTGTTTATTTCTAGGCGAACTCGCCCAGCTTGGTGTCGCGAAGCAACTCGGCTTTTCAGCAGGTGAAGTCAGCCGTTCGACGTTGCAGAGTGGGCATGAGAGGTAAGCCGATGCTTCGTGAACGTTTCGCTCATCGCACTACAGAAGATCTGCCCTCAGACGCCTGGTTTGGCCTATCCTGAGGTTTTTGAGTTTCTGTTGTTTGAGTCTACGGTACAAGGCACCATCTTCCCTCCACAGGCCCAGAGTGCATCAGTGTAGGAGCGCAGAGACGGGCACTGCCTGCCAGTCTTGGCCGAGCTCTTTCGGGAGCAGCTCCTGCACTTCTGGCTGGAACTGGTGGCCTTTGCCTCACGCAACAGAAACATGCAAACGCATTCCTCAGTGGAGAACGGGTGTTGGAGGTGCGGTAGCCAGCCGTCGACGGAGAACCATAGGCCAGCGCACAAAAGCGGCTTACGAATACCGCCCTTGCAAGGTAAGGCTAGCAGTATGGCGATGCGTATCAGCATCACCAGTTTTGATTGGTCGTGCTTCGAATTCCTGGGAGCACGTGTCGAACAGCAGACAGCACTCTGGTACTCGTACAGTTCGTTGCGGTGCCGCCTCACAGGTCAGAAGTCGACACAGTCAGACGGCGAGGCTTGGGTAGAGTGCGAACTGAACCTACGAGATATTTGAGATCTATCGGCCTACCGCATCTAATGAATCTAATGCCACAGTGTACCTCCAGATGGCTCGGGATCCAGAGGCACCACGGGTTCGAGCCCCGGTTCGTGGCATGATTCTGGAAAATAGTCACTTACATTGTTACAGAATATTACGGTCGTCAGCCCTGCAGATCGCTCGGGATCCCGAAGCATCGAGCTCACGGGTTTGATCCTCAGTTCTGTGGCATGCTGCGATGGAGAAGTCTTCACACCTGCTCAAGATTGCAATGGTGACACCCCTAACCTTGTTTTCGTCACTTGAAGCCCACGTCACCCTCCTTCTTGCAATGCGAGCAAGACAGTGCTGCTGCCACTCTCGAAAGGCAGCAAATCCTCCCAGCAGTTTGCGCCCAAGATTCCACGTCTGTTCCTGATTCCTAGTCAACACATGACTGTGAGGATGTGTGAGGTAGCTGGACAATGGCAGTCATGATTCGTGCAAGGCGGGGATGATGACGGCCTGAAGGGGCTCATGAGGAAGTTGAAGGCTCACTCCCGCAGATTCGCAAGCTGTGCCGTGCCTCCGTGGTAATACTCTTAGTGGTCCTAGCGGTGCCTGGCGGAGGAAGATCCCGAGTTTCAAGAGGCTTGACAGCTCGTGGGCTGTGCAATGACTCTCCACTCATGGCAACGCAACAGTGTGAAGCTTGCCCAAGGTGTGACTTTACGGACAGTGCGAAGGAACCACAAATCAGTTTCAACAAGAAGCATCTGATGCAGGACGTTAAAACGTTCTTCACATCGCTCACGGTGGCCCCGAACCCGGCATCCATGTGTGCTTTACCCTCTCTGCCATCCGACGCTCAAGATTGTACGCTGCCTTGATCGACTAGGCTCTAACGATTCGAGGCTTCCTGGTTGAGCTCGACCCTCGGGGTGCTGAAACTAGTGGTGCTGAACCCTCCAATCTCATTGTGGCAGATTTTTGTCGCTTTCAAAGGCCACGTTTCATTCCTTCTTTGTCAATGTACCCGAACTTCGACATAGGCGCGATTTACATGCCCGAGCGCAGTGTGCGAGAGATATCATATGTCATTGAGGTGACCAGCTGACAGTCGACAAAATCTCAAAGCGTTGGATGCTGGCCTTGCAACAGACATCCCACATTTGGAGAATTGCCTTGCTTCTTCTGCATGGCCACGGCGCATAATAGGCTGGAGTCTTCGCTGTTGCGCCCAAGGCGCGAGTACCAACGCAGGGACGTGGTTGTGTTCAACCCGCCACCGGCGTTCAGTGCTGTGGTTGGTTTTGACCTCAGGAACATTGATAGCTGAATGCACTGGGTCGAACTGTGATTGAGCTTGGCTCGAAGTTGTTCTTCGGACGCATGCCCCCGAAGATTTCAGCAAGTTCATAACTTCGTCAGGTCACCGAAGCAATGAGCAAAAATGTCGTGAGGCAAAATGAAAGATACCAATGTCACAAATGTCCGGACGTATAAGCATTGGATAGCAGCATAGCATTGGCAGATGCCGATTTGTAAGGTGGCGACAGATCTGGAGATGCCTTGATCAAACGCATTGCGGCAGTCTCAGCGCAACGTAAGTAAGATCTGGCAAGTATGCCAGCTGTCAAAGTGCAAACTGTGAGACAGCTCCGAGACGATGTGGCACGATACAGGTTGCCATTGCTGGGGACAAAGTGGAGGTGAAAAATGGCGGAACATTGTACCAAACTCAGCAGACAAAAGACAACTCCAGCGGTTTGTTCTCTCCAGCTCGTTCACTGTCACTTGAGCGCTGGATAAAGGACTGAGTCTAGGTTCACAATCGGATCTTGAGGTACATCAATGGTGAAGCGCAAGAGGAACCTTTCACGAACGAGGCCTTGCGCGGCCTAGGGGCCCACAACTGTGATGGATTGAAAGCAAGTTGACAATCAGTTCATTTCTGCCGTAGGAGGCAGCAGGAAGGTAAGGAGAAGGAAGGGATAGGAAGGGCGAAGACGAATCAAGATGTCCTAAATGCAGTCGACTAGCTGCTCTAACGAAGGCTTCCTGAGGTTGGGGCCGGGGGGGGGGGGTGGGAAGTAACGTTCTTGGACGTTCATAGCATGAATATGCGTAAAGCAATGATATTTACAGTGGTTGTCTGCTGTGTTGTGTAGCATGACCGAACTCTCCCTGAGCGTTTCTGGATTCAAGACGGCGCTGTCTACACTTCCTGTTGAAAAGCCATTTGTGGCAAGGCCAACATTTGCAGGCCCTGCAGTTTTCAGGCACGAAACTGACTGCGGTTCCAGGCTGAGATATAAGGTTGGTGGTGATGGTGAGCGTGTATATGTTTCTTTGTGCAAACTTTGGAGAGCGTACAGATTTGGGGAGGTCCTTTGGAATAGCAAGAACGACCCTACTTCAAACAGTACGGCAGATCAATTCGTCTTGAAATCGCGAAGACGCTGGTCAAATTTGTTGGCCCTGGCCAGTCAGCTTTTGTTTCTTGAATTCTTCGCACGTCTTGAATCTAGCCCTGTGCAGCCAGAGTCCGCATGGAATAGTTCGACAAGCATCAGGCTGCCAAGTACGACTTTGGACCCGTGACAGTTCCAGAAGGATGTGTTTTCGTCCTTGGCGACAACAGGCAAGACCGAATGGAATTGACACAGCAGATGAACGCAGCCTGCAGCAGATGGTGTTCAATAGGGCACTTCGATTGCTGCGTGGGCGAAAGGAACCAGTCTCTGGACGGGCACGTGTGGGGATTCCTGCCCATTGAAAACATCATCGGTCCTCGGCTCAGCACTTCAGTCAAGTGAGTCACTTGTACTCTGATAGACATGGCAACCGCTCAACGAGTCGCTTTGGAGACATCTCCAAAGCGGAGAGTATCTAAGGACGCGCAACTTTGAAGTTTTGGCCACCATGGCATGTTGGCTCTATCGTTGCAGCTCCACCTTGAAGTGTCATTTGCCGTATTGCCGTAGTAGCGATGCTAATGCGCAGCGGAAGCAGCTGTCTTTGAACAGTTAGATCCTGTGTGACAATTCTCAGCGTGTCACATGTGCCACATGGCAGCAAAAAAATTGCATGCCGATGTGTCATTTATACTTGTCGAGCGTAGCGCTGCTATCAGCAGCTGCGTTGGACCTTTCAGCTTTATATAGATCATGCAGCGGCGCGTGCTGGGTTGAAATGAAAACATTACGTACGTCAGCATACGGGCAGACTCACGTCAGTCCGCGATTTGGTTTTTGTCTACTTCCGTCACCGTTAGTATCCTCGCGGCTGGTGCGAATCGTGTAGTTGCGGAAGGTATGGCTTCTTGGCATTTTGACCTGCATCTCTCCCCAACTTTGGCAACCTGAGGACCAAGCTCCAAAGGAGCTGGAAGGCTCTCTGGGGCAGTGCCTGATCCTCGGCATTTTGACGAATTCAAGTGGATCTGATTTGGAATTTGGGGCATCGCTGCAGCCGAACAGAGACTGTGAGGTCCTTGAGGCCAGGTGGAACGCTGGCACCATCCTTTACAGGCAGCTTGAGCCATGATAGTCAGGTTGGCTGGTAGCCGAAACCTTTTATCGCCCGTGGCGATTCTTGTCTTGATTCTAGGCCTTGCTCTTCTTTTGTTGTCTCGAGCCGGTTTGTTTGACCTTCGCTGTTCTTGTTTTGGCAACTAGGCGCGGGCACTAATCCCAGCTTACCTAGCAGTCTTATTTGCTTGTCTTTTGTCACTGATGTTGTCTAGCCTCTGTATAATGATACAGTATGTCTACGGAACCTCTGTATGTACATGTATCACTTTAGTCGTCGCTTCTTTAGCTCCGCGTGGTTGCTTTCTGCGTGCATGCATAGCTCCTCTTTTGTTCCTCTTGTAGATCATGAAAGCTGGCGGAGCTGTGCTTGAGTCTTGTCTATTCTTGCTCTAGCAGGTAGGGTCAGACAAGGTCCCCAAAGCTGCGAACAATTCGGGGTCAATCTTAAAGATTCACGGGAATGTGTTTCTTTTGAAGTCGGGAGGAGTTCGTATCCGCCATTTCAAGAGAACCAGACCTTTCGGAGGGAGGTGGGCTGTAATCAATATGAATTCCGACGAAACAAAAGCAACCGTGTGCGCATGTCAGCCCAGGGTTTAGGGGTTTGGATTGCAAAAACTTGCTCATGTCTTGGCCCGTTTTTCAATCCGTGTAATCACTGGGAGGAGAGATCTCCGGAAGTCGTGTCTTTGAAGCCGTGCCCGGTGTTTAGAGTTGCTCACACATGCCGTGCCCGAAAACTCGAAATAACAGAACTTGAAGCGGTTGGGGTTTCCTGGAAGTGTGCTGACTGAACAAGGAAATCGTTTTTTGCGGTTCAACGGGATTCCGTGGATGTCCATTGACTAAACAAGGTACGAAACTGTTTGCTCTGCTTGCGTTTAGATGGCTGTTGCTTGGCCAGGACAGCAGCTGAGAGTGCTTAAGATTCATGCACAGGCTTTGGAACCACTTACTTGGCCATAGTTGTCTACTGAGTTCCGCTCGAAAAACCGAAGATTCGCCTTAGGCGGATGCGCATGACAATTCCGGGTTCAGGAACTGATGTGTCTACGTGGCCCGCAGTGGGTGGATGTGGGTGGCTTTCATGTGGGTGGCCAGACGCTGGCTTCGAGAAGATCAGCGCTTGGTGCGTGATTTTCGGTGTTGGTGGCCGGTTCGGGCTGCATCCAGCCAGTCACTGACAATGCTTGCGTTCATTGGTTTTTGTTTGTTGCGTTTGTCTGTTACCAGGTGCCGTAGATACAGTTCCCGAGAGAAAGGCTCGATTTAGTCAATCAAGACATTGTTTTTTGGAAAGGGGCAAAGGCATGACCTCCGCTTCCTGCGTTTCAGCCTAAGGCATGACTTCGGCATGAATAAGAGCTTGCCCTTTGGAGTTTGGGGATTTAGGGGTTTAGGGGTTCAGGGTTCCAGGGGTTTAGAGGTTCAGGGATTTCAGGGGTTTACGGAGTCAAGGGCTTCGGTGTCGAGGGATGGGGTTCAGGGGCCGAGGTGTTGAGGGTTTTGGGAGTCCAGGGGTTGAGGGTTTAATGGGTCTAGGGGTTCATGGGTTTAAGGGTTAGGGGTTAGGGCTTAGCCGGGCTTAGCCGGGCTTAGCCCTGTGCCACGCACTTGGGCCTGCGGGCTGGAACCATCGATCTTGTAAAGAGCCTAACCTCAGACCAAGACCATCCAAGACCACTTTCCAAGCCTTCGCTTTGCTTGGTTTGACAGTTTCGTCACAGAACGCACACCAAAGGTGAATGATGAACCAGATTTGCCCCGAGGTCGGTTAGCCGACAGTTAAACCATTTAAACCTCCCGGTTTCGGTCTTGCCTTGTAGTGTCTCAACAAGATTCAACAAGCTTTTAAAGTGGCTGATGCTCATCAGATGTTCTTTTTTCTCAGAGCATGACAACTTTGTTGGCCGGTTCTGTCGTACACTATCAAGGTCATGTTTGCTTAGGTGGTAGGGTTGGCTGATTTGGGATTAGAACCTGGCGCATTCATGTTGATGCTGCAGTAGAATGTTTACCTTCATGATGTTCCGCTACAGCTTGTCGAAGTGCATGTATGACTGTATGACCTTCCAAAAACTCATATACGCAACTTATGTTTTCTGTTGAGTTCTGACTTGACTAGTTGCATCACGCATGTTTTTGATTTTGGTTGAAGCACCGAGTGGATAATCGACGAACTATGTCCATGCGGCCGTGTCTGTGGATTTGACAGCTCTAAGTGCAACGTTCATACTAAACTGATGCGACAAGCTCAGAAACGTCTGTGTTGTGACAGCATTTGTCTTCACAACATAACTTCCTATTTTTTTGCGTGAGGTTTGGAGACTTGGTAGCTCTTTCCGAATACTGCTCCCCGGTCCTGTCCTCTTTATCACCTCTTGGTTCGTTTGCAAGTTCCGGAGCAAATTCATGATATGCAGTGTATGTCCACCTCTGTCTGAAAAGTTTATGTCCTATCGGGAATGTATGATGTAATCCCGCACTTGCATGTGTCTCGTTTGCAGGCGCTGCCACAAAACCAAAGGAGGACCGGCGAGACAAGTAACAAAGACTTTGCTGCTGTGTTGAGTTGTTTTGCTTCAAGCTTGATTGATACCCAAACTCGTGTGAAGGAGCCGAAGCCCGTCGAGGCAGCTGGTGTGGCAGTATTCGTGGCTGAGTCAGCATGAGTGGACACTTCTTGGAGGATGTTCTTTTAGGAATGAACAGCAGAAGCCCTTTTCTGGATGGTCCAGAAAGTAGAGTTTGCAAAGTCGGTGAGTCGCTTTGATCGCTTTGAGTCGCTGGCATTTCAGAGTTCAGCTCAGTTTTCTCGATTCTCGTTTGCGTGTTGGACAGAATCAAGATTGTTCACCGCCACTCAACGGTGTAGGGCATTGTAGGTCGTGCATGAGTACGAGTTACAAAAAGTACGCTCTTTGCCCGATCGCGCCCGTCCTCAAAGAAGTCGGTCGAGACCGCGGAGGAATTCATAGGCTTCACAACAATGCGAATTCAGAAGTATTTGGTCAGGCTTTTTCCGAGACTCTCACAGCCTCATGGCTTGTGCTATTTCATCACGCGAAAGTTTACGTTGCAGCTACACAGCCTGGATTAAGATTTTGCACGTCTGTCTGAAACTTTGTAGTTGGCGTGAGCATGTGGGACCTCGCTGCATGATGCTGTGCGACAACCGATCACATGACATCTTCTCCATGAAGCAATCAATTTTATGAAGCATTCACCGGGATGGGGTGCAGCGAAGCAGCGAATGGCAGATGTTGCGATTCAAGATGGAAATGATGTTGGAAGGCTTTGGCCACAATTGGCCACTTTGATTCCAACAACTGCAATGACCGTCAGCACGCTCTGTGCAATGCTTCATCTTGTCGCTGCAACGATGGTTAGTTGAAGTTCACGCGGCTTTTGCAGGACATTCTTTTCGACCCATCTGGACCCATCTGTGTGGCCATAGAAAACCGGTGGCATGTTTGCAGTGGCAGTTTCTGTGAGTTGGCACGCTCACAGCACATCGTCAGCATAGTATGGGCAGCATCACCAACAAGCAAGCTCCGTCGAAGCTCTGGCGGTCGACTTGGTTTTGACATGACTTGTCCGGTGGGTTGATGGGCTTGACACGCTCGGGAGTGTATCCTGCCCAAATCCCCCCCCTCAGTTCCAGGAGACTTCACAAGGCCTCGGCCCGCCTCCTAACAGCCCTAACATGGTTCATTCTTCAAACGTGGCGACGAAAATCTCCCTGCATGCGCCTGTATCACTGTGGCATGCCGCCACAACACATCATGCCAAACCCACATCTGAATCTCAATCGTGCGATCCCAATTTCCTGGGCTTTGCCAGACTGGGCTTAGAGATGCTTCCTTGTCTGTTTTGCTACTGCTTCCCGTCACATGAAGACAGAACAACTTCCGCAGCAGGCTGGTAGAGTCGTGCCTTCGGCAATTCAACACTACACCGTGGTGACAAGATGCGTTAAACTGAACGTGCCGTGTTTCTTGTGGTGTGCATGGCCCAACGCAGATCGGTAGTAGGTAGGTAGTAGTAGTAGTAGTAGTAGTAGTAGTAGCAGTAGCAGTAGCAGTAGCAGTAGCAGTAGCAGTAGTAGTAGTAGTAGTAGTAGTAGTAGTAGTAGTAGTAGTAGTAGTAGTAGTGGTGGTAGCAGTAGCAGTAGCAGTAGCAGTAGCAGTAGCAGTAGCAGTAGCAGTAGCAGTAGCAGTAGCAGTAGTAGTAGTAGTAGTAGTAGTAGTAGTAGTAGTAGTAGTGGTGGTGGTGGTGGTGGTGGTAGTAGTAGTAGTAATAGTAGTAGTAGTAGTAGTAGTAGTAGTAGTAGTAGTTATTATTATTACTACTACTACTACTATTATTACTACAGAAGGGTGCGCTGTGGGGTCTGCGTTTTTTTTTAACGCTCTTCGTGGAAGATTCCGTTGTTTGAGGTTGAATGGGCGAAGTTAGGTAGTTGAACTATATTAAGGTTAGATGGGCTCTTCGTTGAAGATTCAGTTGTTTCAGGTTGGATGGACGAAGTTAAGTAGTTGAACTATACTCAGCTTAGATGGGCGTGGTTGATTGTCATACTTGATTTCTTCTGGTTTCTTTTTTTTGTCGAGCCAGGGTTTGCTTATAAGCAGATGGTTTGCTTATAAGCATTGATCTTTTTTGGATGGTTTGCTTATAAGCATTGATTATTATATTTTTTTTTTTTTTGGGGGGGGGGGGGGTGCAGGGTCTTGGGGCTGTTGAGACACCCCCCCCCCGCTCCCCAGGTGCCTGGATTGCAACGAGCAGCTCGCAACCATCGAGCAGCACGCAGTAAGTAACCCTTAACCCCTAAACCTTTAACCTCATATAAATAATAAATATATAGCATCTCGGCTGCATTAGTTTCTTTTTGGTGCATGTGTGCGCGCTAGTACAGATTGTCGCTCACTATATACTTATCAGCTGAATCATGAAATGCTATGACGAGTATTTCGGCTTAGATTCGAACAGTTTCTGTGTAGTACATTGCGGCCTAGATATGAAGCGCTCGGCGCCGGTAGCTGGATTCCTCCATGTGGAGGGCGGTGTGTGCAGGCTTGAGGTTACCAACTTGAGTATGGCCAGTGGTTCAGCACAACCACCTACGTCGTTCTCTCAATCTTCCGCGTCACCCACTGTGCCCAACAATACCATGGAAATGCCAAGGCTCGCCGATATCATTGCGAAGATCACAGATGGAACACTCGTTACCCACGAAACCAAGCAGAGCATCACATCGCGGCAGTTACTATCGCACGTGTGCTACTTGCAAAAAAAGTTCAACTTGCCCACGGGTCTCAATGGAGGATGGAGCCCTGTAGCCGAGCATGCCCTTCATCAGTGGTTGGCGACACCGAAAAAAGGCTCCAACAAGTGGCAAAGACCGCCCAGTCCATGCTGGCCATCACGGATCAGTCAACACCAGCAAGCGCCGTCATCGATTCCCGCAACGCCAATGAGGGGATCCTTGCCATCACAGATGTGCGTACACGAACAAATGCCATCACCAATTCCCGCGTCACCAATGAGGAGCCAACAGACGTCATCACCGAGTCCCGCGATGCCAATGAGGAGACCCAGAGCAACCAGACCAATGACGAGAACCAGGGTGAGAGCAGCAGTGACGACAACTCCAGCTCATCAAGCTCCAGCTCTGAGGTTTCCAACATGTCGAATGTAGACTTTTCTAACTGGACCACGGAGTGGCATGATGCCTGGCAGTCCGTAGTATCCTTGTCAGCACAGGCAGAAGGGTCCAACAAGAAGCAACGCATCGCGAAATCGATGATGCAGTGCCTTCGCACTGCGAAACAGCAGTGGGATGCATCCAATTAAACCGTTCTTGTTCTCTTGCTGTATCAAACACGAGCCTGCTTATAAACAGAATTGTTGCTTATAAGCTACGTGTTCTCGCGAAACATCTGTCGTATTTGCACACCTTGATCAACTGCACCATGTCTGTGCTCTGTTTGCTCATCACAGGTCTTGGTGTGTAGAGCACTCTCCTACTCATTACTTTGCCGTAGCCCGTCATCATGCAGGATTGTGTCGCACAAGCCCAGGGCACCTTCGTCAAGTTCCATTCTGAGCACTTCCACACCACTGTGCAAGAGGGCAAGTACACCGTCGCCGACTTGCCGCTCATTGAGGTTCACGGAAAGGGCAAAAAGTTCAAGGAGTTCTTCCGCCTCATTCATGACGTCAGTACTGAAGATCAAGCCCAAATCCGGGAGATCATGGCCAAGGATCCCAACAATACTGCACTACTGCCTGATAGTGTGCGTCCTGGCGACGTTCTTGGTGAGGCGTGCACGTTGCAACTCGTCATCGACACTCGCAGTAACGCTGTGCTCCAATTCTTCCACTCAAGCATCTCTCTGCCGTGGGGTGTGGTCCGCCTGTTCTGCAGGGACAAGCCTATGTTGCTGAACTACAAGATAGCCACCAACTCGGACCTGGTGAAATGCGCATGCCTCGTCATGTTGAAAGGCATAGAAGGCGACCGCTGGATGAAACAGTCCCTTGGCACAAAGCTTGTACGTAGCAAGAGCACATCAGAGAAGGACGCCTCATCTTGGGATCCATCGCCAGAGGAGCTTCGGGAGGGCATCGACTTCATCAACATGAACGCCCCCCTGGCTAATGGAAAAAACGAACAATTTCTTTGGTCCTTGTTGAACGTCCGGGATAATGAATCCCCCATCTATGCCTGGCCAATGCATGTGGTGAGCAAAGCCTGTCAGAATCGGACGACCGGAGATTCGCAGGCTGAGCCAGAGTTCTTCTTCCCCCTTCTGGTGGAAGATCTCAACTACGAGTTTGTCAACAAGATCCTACCGCTCATCTTGCCAACTATGACCACCCACGGGCTCATACTCTTGGGTCGTGCCGGCATTGGCAAAAACTCCTCTGGCCATCGTGATCTCCCTCGCCATGGCCCGACATCATGTAGCATCTCGGAATCTCATTGGCGCGGTGGTAGGGTGGAGGCGATCGAAACAGATCGATGGTTTTCGAGAGCGACCTGGTGAAATCACTGTGCCGGTACTCCTTGATGACCCGATTCTGTCCTCCATGAGTCTTGAGGACATCAAATCCTTCCTCGACGTAGGTGAGACCACGTTGGTGGATGCTCGCTACAGAGCGGCCAAATTCGCCAGGAACCAGACACGGATCCTTCTCAACAATGAGTGGAAGCCAGAAAACGAGCCGGACTTGCCTTTCGCCGATCACATTTCTTGGGGTCAGTTCTTGAACATGTTCCACACATCCATGAACGACGCTGGCATGCCACATCTCATGGCCATTCTGAAGAGAGCCACTGTAGTCATTGCAGGCCACAACGCCGTCTACGTCCGCTAAGCCAGCGAACATCAGTCCGAACGGATTCATCGCTTCGAAGGCGGCGGCGTCACAGAAGACTGGCTCCGTGCAGACAACAAGTCCTTCTACAGTCACTACAAGGACGGACGTTTCGTGAAGTACCCAAAGTACGAAGAGAACTTAGCCAAGGAGGCCGACATGATGGTAGAGATTTTGGCGTCTCCGGAAGAGAAAGAATACCTCAAACGTGGGGCTACTTACGATGCTTGGCATCAAGACTTCGGGAATGAGACCACTGATGCGTCGAGGGCTTCGGCTTCCACCCCTCCACCCCGCGCAGGAGCTGAGGTTTCGCAGTCCAGCCCGCTGATCCGATCTCCCCCATCCAAGATGCTCCGAATGGAGTCAGGCCGCGAGGCAGAGGAGTATGATGCGGACGAAGAGGCGACTCGCCATCTTCACGGTGAGACTGAATCCCAGTCTTGATTGCGTCCTTAGCTAGTATGCGACCGGCCAATTTTGACAAGAGCCAGTATACTGTAGAACCAACAAATTCATAAACGACAGCTTACCGCACTGACTCTATGGCCGCTTACTCATGACCTCCGGCAATAGTCCGTGACACAAGCTTGATCGTGCATAGATCGCGATGCACACAGACAGCCTTCGTAAAAAGAGTTTCTGCAATCGTCGCACTGCAATTGCACCGGCTGCATATGAGATTCTCTATATTCGCAGGCTTATCAAGTCGTAGTGTATAACTGGGGTTTACACTTGACTTCGATATGCCTACGAAGCGGCCTGCGGCTTGCATGGAGGAGCGGCGTGTCTTCTCCACACATCTTCGTCGATGCCAATGCGGAGGCGCCCTAGCGAAAGCGCATGAGATAGAGGCAACACTGTACTCTATGACCGGCTATGAGACTGTCCTCGTCCGCACCTTCAGATGCACCACATACTCGTGTCGCCGGACATTTGGTCCGAACTTCGCTTGGGACGCGAGCAGCAAAATCAATACTGCCAGTCCACTTGACCTGAAGAACATGGAGGCACTCTTCGTGAACAGCAAAGTGGGATTCAGCCTCTCGTTTCTGGAGTATCATGCCCTCATGGAGTTCCGTGCCTGTCTATCTGCCCGCGCCGTAGAGTACGTCTACCAGCACACTTTTGGCCTCAACACCGCAGGGAACATGAGTAACCGTTGGCGTCTCTCCTACTCGTCTGCCATCATGTGCTACGTTGCCATCCATGAACTGGCCCCTCTACATCTTCACATGAAGATCGTCCTCGGCAATGAGATCTCCTCGGATATCTTGGCCAAGTACGAGCAACACGTCCTCGGCCACGTCCTTCCCGCCAAAAACAGGACCAAGGTGTCAGAAGTCGTATGTGATGGCCACGCGAAGGTGCACGTGAAGTGTGCCAGCGCCCGCAATCACGCGGGAAAGCCTCGAGCAGACGGCAAGAAAAAGCCATACGGTCATGGCTGGTTCATGGTTGTGAACCCAGCAGACAAGCGCATTCTGTGGGCTAAACCCATGCTTGTGCCCGAGGGTAACGACATCCTGGAGGACGCTATCACCTCTATCCTTCCCTCCTACAAGAACATGAACTGCGTCATCGTCGATCGCGCTTGTAGTTTCTACCCGTCCGCACTCAAGCAAAAGCGACTGAAGCAAATCAAGTTTTGGGTGGTCGATAAATTCCACTCGCACGGGCACACGAAGTCGTGCCCCTGTAATCCGCTCCACCATGTCAGGTTGTCTAGACGTGTCGACAAAATCAACACATCGGCAGCTGAGGGGGTTTTCTCCTGGTTCCGAAACTTTGCGCGCGTACTCAATGAAGCGACGCCCGAGCGACATGCGTTCAAGGTGTTGTACTTTTGTAAGTTACACAACATTGCTGTGGTGCGTAGAAAAACCGAGTATCTACCTCGCATAGGCGCGAATAGAAAGAACAAGAAGCGTAGCAAGCCGTACACGTGCGGGAACGGTCTCAAGAAAAGGCCTGCCGCAAAGTGTGCCAGAAAGAAGCCGGCTTCTCGACAGTGAGAAGAAAAGCACGGTGTCACTGTGTGTATCTCTCTAGTTTATATACTCACAGGCGAAACCAAGGAGCCGGATTCTAGGGGCTTCAAGGCACAGCTGAGTGCTGACGTGAACGGGGTAAAAGAAATACATCGCTGCTGAGCGAGCTGCACTTGCTGTTACGTATCCACAGTCGTGGAAAGTTTTTTTTTTCGTTTTACTCTGCTGGCAGCCAAGGTATGGTCTACGAATGGAGTCTCTGGGATGAATTATTATCCTGTGTATGCGCGCGTGCTCGTAAATATAAAGTATCCAGGATACAGAGTGTCATGTGCATGCACACCAGCTTTATAAACACTTGTGCACTGCAAAAACAAAAAAAACACAGGCCCCACAGCGCACCGCCCTCTATTACTACTAGTACTGCTACTAGAAATTGCAGCACTAGTAGAAGAAAATAGTAATAGTGGTAATAGTAGTTAGTCGCTGTAGCAGTAGTAGTAGTAGTAGTAGTAGCAGTAGTAGTAGTAGTAGTAGTAGTAGCAGTAGTAGTAGTAGTAGTAGTCGTCTGTCTGACTCCTTCCTTTACTTCACAAAAATGAGCTGAATGCATGTACGACATCAAAAGTCAGACCGTCAGATCACCTCATTTCGTGTTTCCTTCAGTCTACCGATGTGATAAATAGTCATTTTGTGCAGGAGCCAGCTCACGATCTAGAAGCCTGTTTGTGGTCATAGCCCCAAGAATTCGCAAGCTGTCAAGCTCTGGACTTAGACTCATTCGCGCTCCTTGATGTACCAAGGGGCCGCATTGTGAACGTCTATGGTGGCTTTGGATTCCTCAAACAACTCGGCAATGATGGCGACGGGCAAGACATCTTCTTTCGTGCAGCTGACGTCATAGGCAGCGGTAGTCATTGTTGTCCTCTGTTCCAAGCCGGTTTCTGACTTTCTGAGTACGAAGGCATGAATTGCCTTGAGCCCGGAAGCGCTTCGACTGAGTGTCGGGGTCTGAGACGCCACTTCACACATACTCGTTTCCTCTTTGCTCCTGTCCGTTTGTCCACACAGGTTTGGAGATAAACTTGAGGAGATCCTGCTTGCTTTCATGGGCGGAAGCATGATTTAAACGACGATCTTGTAAGTCTGTGCTCACAGGAACTCGAACGGCGCCAAGAAGTTTTACATCAATCTCGAGGACGAGGTCTCCTTCGTCATGTCCAAGGAGAGCATATCTCGCAGGTGTGACTTCAATTCAGAGGTAGCAGAGATCAGACGTGGTGCTGCGATCGAGATGCAGAATCCATCCAAGTTGGTGTATCATTAGCTTGGTAAGGCTTGTGTATGCAGTCTGTGGGTAGCTTGAGGGGGATTTTTGATTCACGTCTGTTTGATTCGCTTGTGCTTGCGCAGGGGGCTGCATGTTAAGACAACTCTGCACGTCTAAGAGCTTGCAATACTGGCAACTCGCACGACCTGGTAGCTTTAGTCTTTTGCTGACCCAGCGAACAATAGCCAGGCGGCCCTTCATGGAGCAAGGGAGACGGGAAGTTGGAAATCCTAGCTGCAGATGTCGAGGGAGTGGCTGACACCCAAGAGCCCTTCAATCCTGGTGCAAGCCATGCTGGCAGAAGCCAATAACTCAGCAAAACAGGGGTAGGGGGGCACGGGGGTGGGGGCAGTAACACAAATGCAAGCGGCCGAGAGTGTTGGAACTTGGAACATCACGGGAGATCAAAGCCCACAGGGGCCTGCTGCCTGTGCATCGAAATTAAGGGTGTCGTACTGATGCATTGTGCGCCCGATGATCGCTGTACTTTCGAAAGGGCATTTTAGCGGCAGACCCGGCTGCCTTTCGCCCACTGCGAAACGGAATGCAAGCGCACGGCAGGTGTGGAGGCAACAGTTGCAAAAGTTGCGTGGCATCATGACTCCTTGCCAAGTCTCCAAGCCAGTATGTACATTATATCCATGTATAGCCGATTACTGCAAAGCTTTTATTTGACTCTTCCGCATCCTTGCACGACGCCGACACATTGGTGGTCTGGCCCAGTAAGTTGCCCTGCGTCGGGCTTAGTCCAGTCCTAACCACCGTATGCAAGCTGCGTCATGGTAAGTGTCATGCTACATCAGCTGCGGTGCTCAGCCAATGACACGCTTGAATTCGCAGAAATTACATTTTTCGAAGATTCAAGAAAACTGACATTGATCTTTCCCGTGGCTCCAGGACCTTACGGGCAAACCATGTGCTGCTTCTGTGGTGAAGGCTCATTCTGAGAAGAATCCGTCCTTTCCTTGACCAATGCAGCACGTGAGGAACGCAAGGGGGCCTGGAGAACAAACCGTGGTCGACGCCTTCCTGGTGCAAAGGACGCCAAAAAGGAAACCATCAAAGATCAGGCAACATCTTGCAAGATCTTGCAAGCGAACGAACGGCCTTAAGCAGTAAGCTTGCTAAGCGCTCGGATGCGCTGGGCCACTGTGGCGCAAGGTCAAGCGCTTGACAGCCATGGACACTGATCAGGCCATCTTGCTGCACATGTTGTTTAGGATATCCGTGAAGCTTGAAGATCTTGACGGGCAAGACGGAAAACTGTGCTGCGGTACAGATTCTTCGTTAAAAGTGCTACCGACCCATCGCCATCGTATGCTTAGGTGGGCCCAATGTAGGCTAACCTAGAGCAGGTCCTGCAGAACGCAACGCTCTTCAGGGAAATTCTTGATAGCGGGGAGCCTGGCAGCCTCCGTTGTCGATATCTTCCCATGACTGGCTTGAGTTGGGAAGCACTGTTACCCTGCTACTGCTGCAGGTCCCGACTTCGAGTTTTCACATCTATACAAAGTCATCACGATGCTGGCATCCAAGGCATTTTTAATTGCCAGTGGCAAGTTTTTGCAACTTGTCTTGCTGCACAGGATTTGCTGGAAGACACTCGGTCGGATCGAATTTATCGGCTTTTCCTGGAGTCGAATGCGATGCAGGTGCTCCCTGTTGTGTGGAGTTGCAGAATGCCCTTTGCGAGCAGTGTGTTGTCGAGGCATGCTTGCGAACAACCATCATCAAGCAAGGAGCAGGTTCGATGTGTACATTTGGGCACAATTCAAACCCTTGTCAATAATTGATCGGCAGCGCTGATATCCAGGCAGACATCATGGAAACTTTCTGGAGGACTTGCAAGCCTGCAGCAGATGTGGATGTGCGTGTATATACGTGCAACCCGATGGATGGCGAGTAGATATTTCCAGATAGTGGTGCAGTTTCGGGCACAAAATCTTGGCATGTCAGTTTCCAGGGTGGTTGTATTGTATGCAGAAGGTGAGGGCAGCACCGGAGAGGGCAGAACCCCAGAACCACTGCAGCGCAGGGGCCCACGTCTTGTCGTACCGTCGTCTGCAACAAGTACCTCAGTCATTGTTTTAGACGACTTCGTTCCAGCATGGCATGAAAACAGAATGCTGATTACGCAAAGCAGAAACTGAAAGACAAAAGACTCCGAAATCAGACCGCTTGACGGTTTGAGGGGCGTGCAGAACGATGCAAGTCTGGTGTCCGGCATTCTTTCGTGCTGGTTTCTGGGCCGGGCTGGGAATCTGCATCCCGGACAGTCTCTGTACAATGAGGTATGCATCTAGAACGCATGTGCAACTCTACGATTCTACGCACAACGACTGCACCAGTCCAAGGCACAAAGCCTAACAGGAAACCAAGCACCAGCAGCAATCAAGGGGCCCTGGCACCTTTGGTCTCAACTCGCGCTCTATGCCATGCGCCTGCCCTGCTAGTGCACCGCATCAGTCGCCCCCCCCCCCCCCCCCCCCTCATCAGAACCCCCAAAGAAGTTTGGGACCCTACCCTGGATTTTCTGGGCTCTGGCTTCCGTTAAGACTCGTGCCTCCGAGGCCCTTCAGGCTTTCCGCCTTTGAATCCGTCCGCATAAGCCCTTGTTGGAGCCCATTGAAATTTCGCGACATGCAAAATGCCTCACAGTACACTAACCGTAGGCGGATTACAGGTCCCATCTCACATGTTGGCGTGTGCTTGCCCATGTTCTTTCACAGGAATGCCTGAAGGTGATGGTCGAAATTGTCATGCGCAGCGCTGCCCCCAAGGTTCCGTGTGTGTGTGTGTGTGAAGCTTGATGTTTAGTCTACGGCGCTCTGACTGTTGTGCTGCTGAATGCTCTCATTCGCAGGAGCTTCGCGGCCAGTTGCCCTTGGTAGAGCTGGTGGAGGCAGAGTTGGCTCCGTTTCTCGTCGTTCTTGTGCATGCTTGGCTTCAACCGCACGTACAGTACAAGCAGAGCACGAAATGCATCAAGTGTGTCAGTCACCCTAAGAGAGGGTGGTGCCACCTTCGGTCTTAAGGAATGTTTCGATAGACATAGCACAAGGAACCAGAGCACATTTTCCTTCCGAAGCACAAGCATGAATGAAAAACCGAGGATTTGCCCAGAGCATTCCCATGAGATCGATTGAGCCATTGAGAACATGTCGTTAGAGGATGGTTCTTGTGCTATGTTGTATTGTTCGTCCAGGAATGAAGGTTTGAGAGGCAACAGGCTATGCGCATAGCGGGTGCCCTGCGCCGGGCACCTGGGCAGTTGGGAAGCGAAGAAAGCGCTCATTTAGGACCAAGCGCGACTACGCGGTACTTAAAGCCAGAACCCACCACTGCCATTGGCGAATCCACATCTACTGTAAGTGCTGGCAGGCTGAAAGACCTTAATTCTTCGCAACTCGCAAAACGAAAAAACTTGGGCAGCGCCCCCCCTTTAAATGCTTTTGCACGCGCGGCTGCAGCGGCTCCCCATGTTGGCTGTTCTGTCGAATTTCACTCCGCTTGGTATAGCTATGTTCCTGAGGGCCGGAGGGCTTGAGTCGAAGGAGTTCAGCATTGCTTGTTTGATGGCCTCGACTACTTGCATGTCAGAAGCTCTGTGCGTGCAATGCCTAATGTGATCTGATGTGTTTTTCCTGCTGGAGTGCAAGGGCATAGTTTTGCCAACTCGCCTTCAGACCCTCTCCAAATCCATAAATGGTGCTCGTGGGCCTCTTTTGCTGGAAATGTAGTCATCAATTTGCAACCCTCTGTCGCTTGTAGGATGTGCGCCGCGATGTCATGATGCATCCATTAGAACCAGAGCTAAACGGGCGCGCGCGCGCGCGCGCGCGACACCAATCAAAGTGCCGTGAGAACGCAATTCTCATGAACTTGCTACAGAAGTGGAAGACCATGGTTGACCACGGTTGAGTTTGCTGCCTTTGTATCATGCATTGCTACTGACATGTCACTGCCCAGCTGGTTCAAGCAGGTTCCTTCAATCTTTGTAGGTGCCCCTCTGTCAACTTGTAGGGTTTTCAGCGAGCCAATCATCATCTTGTGGTACCCGACACAAGCCCAACCTAATCTGTCTTTTCGCTTCGCATGCCCCTACCGCTTTCCAACAGGCAAGATGAGTACGTCTGTATGCTCAAGCGAAACACCTGTTGAGGTTTTATCACATTTCCACGGACATGAGCAGATGTTGCAAGCATTCATCCCTAGCCTGAATTCCTTTCGTAAGCTTCATAAGTGCGCAGCAAGTACCAAGAAGGTGCATTTCTTTAAAGCAACTGCGAATGAAAAGATTCAGCGCTTCATGGCATGGCTTCTGCGCTGGATGCCTGGGCTTTGCCTCGCAAGCTGGCTTGCTAGCACGGCCTCCTTTGCTGAAGTGCATTTGCAAACCTTTCCAGCGCAATCTCCAATCAAGGTACTTGGACTGACTGTTCTGGTATTTATGGCTCGTGCTGGGTCCAGTGATGGTATTGTGCACTCGACAGCACCTCACTGCAATGGCTCTGCAAAACTATGACTTGGGTATCCAGTGTTAAGCAGGCATGCGGGCCACGTGGCTCATGGCAGGGCTCTTGTGTTGAGTTCCTTGGTTTGTGGAGCCTCGACTCTCGAGGTGTCGGCTTCTGCAACAATACACACAACTTCGGTCTCAAGCGTGCTCAAGGATCCTGACACGTTCGAGGCCTTTGGAGCAACGTACTCCTGCATCGGACCTTCCATCACGATGGATCAAGTGCAATCCCGCCGCGGCAAGAAATTGAGCGTTCCAAGCTGTTCCAACCTTCGAAGGCTTTGGCCTTCGTCCCACAAGGGCAGCGGCAGCGTCTTCCACTGCTTCTCTACCTGCATGGCGCCGGTGAGATGCACGGGAACCTTCAGGAGATCATCTCAGAGGCAATTGACATTAAGTGGGTGCAACTATGGAAAATCGCAGAGATTAATTCAGAATTCGACTAAGCAATTGGCTCCACATGTTCGTCGATTGAGTCGGGAATGCATGGGAGGCATTCCAACTACCGTTGGTCTGTAGCCACAGTAGTATGCATGCACGTATGTATGTCATGCGGATGCATGCTGCATGCATGCATGCATGTATGGCTTACATAGATTGGATGTCTGGTTGTCTGCCTGTGGGTCCGTTTGGTTGCAAATTGCAAATCGATGATCCTTTCTGTCTACTCTACCTGTCGGCCTCTTTGTCTTCCTGTGTTCGGGTAGGTATGCCTGTAAGTATGTGATTGTTTTTGGGTATACCCATGCATGTACGAATAGCCGACCCTTTGAGCTTTCATGCCGAGTCACAAGTGGCACACATTGGCGAATTCAGAAACGTTCGATTTCAACTGCGAACAGCTCTAAGTTGTCGCTAGTTTGTCGCTTGCACTTCAGGCAAGATTCAAGATGGTTTGGAGAATTCGATTTTCGCGCGCGCGCGCGCCCGCGCACTGCAGACTAGAAACATCTGCGCGCTCAACTCTTCACGCGAACTCGGTTTAAACATCAAAGTATCGTGAGATTCATACAGTTCAAGCTCTCACCAGCACATAAGCCTAGAAAACTTCAGATGCGCAGAGGGTAGACAAAGCAGAACCGGGTGCAGCATTAGCTTTCCCTGCAATCCTTGGTTTTTCCAACTCGGGGATCTGTAGGATCTGCGAAAGCAGAGCAGTTTTCGTATCCGCCGAAACGAATTTTCCGGACTTTCGTTTACCACAAGCGTATGCAAGAGTGTTTTCTGCTTCCTGTCATTCTGCGGACTCGTATGAATTTCTGAGCCGGAGCACAGCTCGAGTTTGAGCTCATGATGCTCATGCGTGCTATGCAAGGAATGCACGTACATGCCGTACATGGTTATCGCGCATGCATGATATTATTTCTGCGCCGTTCCACGAGCTGTAGCATAACGGCGGCTCCTCGCAAAGTTGTGAAATGCATGGAACGCCGGTTTGGGTTACCACTGTCGCTGCTTGATCTTTTGCGCTGGAAAAGGCAAGAGCATACTCCCCGGAACCATCAGCAATCGAGAGAGGCTACTTGCTAAGATCTCTCCACTGTGCAAAGGCGTGATTGTTTGAGGCTGGGAATGTTTCTCAGTTGCCCTGTAATGTATTTCCGATTGTACAACATGTCCAATCGAATCTTGTCGACTCATGCCTTAAATGACAGCCTCTCCATGGTTCGAGTGCACGCGATGTCCGCATTTCAGGGTGCCACTGGCACGCCTCCGGTGGAGCTGACTTATGGGAGAGCACCGAAGGTTTTGTCATCGAGCCCATGGCAGGACATTCAGGAGTTTTTAGAGTTTTTTGCCCGAAACGAGACTGACGATTGCCACGGCTGTAGCCGCGAGTTGGCGAAGGTCGGCTCGTTGAAAGTTGAAGAACTGTTCGTCCAAGGCTTCGCAGTGGTGGCCCCCCACACCAAAGAGGCCACAAAACAAGCCACTCCATGTGGATGCTGTCTGCGTGACTGATTTGTGTGAGCAGCTTGCAACTGCCACTCGCGAAACATGAACTGCCATGTACGTTGCAGATTGGAAGCTGTAAATCTGCATTGCTCGGCCTTGCATGTAGCACGGGAGGTCAGTCCCTCTGAGCTGTGTTTGTCGAGCGATTGTCGTCGGACAGGGATGGAGCACGGAACGAGTCGTGAAGTTCCTGGACTTCCTGCTGTCAGAGAGATCTGGCATAGATCTGGATCCAGCAAGGCTGCCACCAGTGTTGCCACCTGACACCTTGAAACGACATGAAACGACAAATCTGATGCAAACAAACAAAGTCTCCATGCGAAGAGGCTTTACGTCACTGGCCACTCGATGGGTGGAGCTGGGGCCCTCTTCGCAGCAACGAGTAAACGCGACTCGTCTGAGACTTCTTGTAGATCTGAGAGAAGATCTCTTAGAGAGAGGCTCGGCTCTCTTAGAGGACTCCTTGAAGACTTTCGACTGTCTGCACTGCTAGGCTTCGCAGCTGCTGTGCCAGTTGCTCCGTCTGGCGTCCCGCCAGCAGAAAGACTTCGAGGACTTAGACTGATGACATCATCAGATGTCCCCTCCATTGCTGGCGATCGCTTAATGCTCTGTCCCTGCAAGGAGTGCCAATTTGGGCCTTCCACGGCAAGAATGATGTCATTGTGCCGAGCTACATAACAGCAGAGCTTGGCCAATCTCTGCGGCAGCAAGGTGCCAGCCAGGACTTGAAGACACATGAAAGTACCTTGGGAGTTCGGAGCCTCCCGTATGGAATTCCGGAAGGCTGTTGTCTGCCGGTGGAGGGGTTGTCGGGCAGGAACAAGCCAAGATCACGCTCTATGATAATGCACCCGCACCACCCGGCTGGCCTGACTACTTCGGTCACGCAAGCACGATCCCAGCTTATGTCACTTGGCAGTCAGTCATAGCATGGGGAAGTATGTGAGATGATGTGGGATGTGAGCATCTGCATATGCTCTCGCAGTCTCCGTGGGTTTCCTGAGCAGGCTGAAGCAGACCTGTACGAGTGGCTCTTGCAGCAGAAGCTGTCTTTGGAATCTGCGTAAGCGTGATGATGTGATGCTTATGCTTCAAGCTTCGAGATTAGAGGGCTCGAAAAAGTGCCAGGACATGACATGCTGCTTATGCTACGCTATGCATGCCTTCATGAGGTCATGAATTGACACGTTCGCTGGGTAGCAGAATTGGCTAAACCGTTCAGAGAACGCAGCAACTGCCACTGCATGCAATTCAATGAGTCATGAAATGGACTTGGCATGCAGCTTCACTACTGATGCCCTGGTCTAGCATGTGCTAAGAGCCATCATCCCATCAGCAATATCTCTCCAGATTGGGGTTCAGAATCGGGTTCAGGATGGTTGTTGATGTCAACTTATCATGTCTCATGCCCTTGAAGCCATAGTCAGTGGTACTGATGCCAAGTGGAGCCCGTGCCCGGAAACGCGCTGATCGCGGGGCAGATGAATCGTGGCGTGATAGTCCCATGTTTCGGCCCATGCCTCCACTCCCGGCTTGGGTCCAGCCTTCCATGAAAGTTGGTCCAGAATTTTGCAGTATAGTATAGCATAGTCGATGACATAGCATAGTAGCAAAGCTAAGCTTAATACAGCATAAAGTGTAGTACAGGCTAGCATGATGGGTGCAAACATGCGTGAATCACAAGTGGTCCAAGCCTGTCCTTCACATAGGCCATAGGGCACGAAATTTCAGCTGCCAAAGAGGGAGTGTTGCCGTCCTTTCTGACTGCCACATCGAATCATCAAGACTTAGCACTTCCACGCCTGCCTTCGCTCGCGGCGCAGCTTCTCGAGCATGATATCCCTCGGATGTAGCATGCCTTGACAAGTCTGGCTACAGCGAACGAGGGTTGCGGTATGTTGCGGTAGCAACAGGGGATCACAAACATGACCCTAGCATCGCACGAACCCTGAGCAAAGTCGGCACGTACCCTGCCTTGAGCGTAGGGTACATGATCGACACTAGGACCATGTACCCACGAATCGTCATCTGAGGAGACCAGCACCGAAGAAGAAAGGCAGCCTCGAATTCCCTCAAGAAGAACTGCTGCGGCCTTGGGTCTCGCAGCTGTCGTAGCGGGCTTTGCAGGCCACCAGGCACAAAAGTTGGATAGCAATTGTACACGGGTAGCCAGGCAGGCAATGACATCAAAATGCGAGGATACATTGGAAGACACACCTTCTTTCTTGCATCAGATTTCCCGTTTGCTGAAGCAAACGCATGTTGGTTCATTTTCCTTTAGCATGCCCCACTTTGGCGTTCGGCTTGTGAATGCTTCTCTCGCTCCTTGAACTCTCATCGTATCGGTGCCATGCCGGGACACCGACCTTTGACGTAAAGCAACGCAGTGTGGTCTTGGCGGGCTGCTAGCATTGCAAGATGTTGCAAGCTCAATCGGCTCAGGTAAGTGGTATGTTGATTCCGATACTTCGATGAAAGACCATAGCTTCAACCGCAGTCCCAAGATTTACGGCTTCGATGTGGCAGGGAACTAAGTTGTGTAAAGCATCTGAAGCAAGAGCAACATGGTGTCTGCATGTTCCTATCCTTCTCTTGTACGTGATGGCACAAGGTGGAGACCTATCCACATGACCCGGAGGCATTTACTCAAGGTCTTCTCTGGTCCAATGGATCGCTCTACGAGTCGACAGGGTTATACGGACGCTCATCGGTTCGAGAGCTGCAGCTAGCGCCCGGAGGCTGGGCGAGCGGTGACCTCGACTGTCATCATAGCAGCCACACTTCAAGAGGCATCAGTTGCAGTCGAACCATTCGCAAATTCGACTGGACGCCTGGTGACTTCTTTAACGGGAAGCAGTAGGAACTTTCAGTACCACTACGACTGGCAGGCCAAGTCCGTGTGGTGAGACAGCTTGATTTGGATGGCCGAGACTTTGGAGAAGGGCTTGTGCAGAGGAGGTCGTGCCAGCTCTCGGGTAGCGTCTCAAACCATGCTCCTCGCAGCTTCTTCCATGTTCAGGGGCCAGCTGCTCCAGCTGCTGTGGCGACGAGGCGAGGGCATTCGCCCCTTGACGGCATTCGCGCACAAAATCGGGGAACCGGAGCAGACATGGGTGGACACTTTCAGCCGAGGCTACCAGGCCCGTGCTGGGGAAGGTGGTCGATTGAAGAAAGCCGGTACGTTCCGAACTCCCCTAAATGATGGCTGGGGGCATCTTGCATGAATAGCTCAGTGGTAGCGCGTGTTCAACAGAAGTTCGACAAGTTTCAAAACAGCTCCGAGGATCGAAGCAAATGATGACGAGCTAATCTTGACAGCCGCTTGTTGAAAGAGGCAATGGCCCCCCCAAATTTGCAAAGCGTGTGGCCCACCTCTGAGCATGGCTTCCCGAGGACAGTGGCCACGAGCTGATTACGCTGGACGAGAACTTTGAGATTGTGAAGAGGGCTGCTTTGCATGGACGAGTGGTCTCACCATAAATGCAGACGTAGCGAGCAGGTCTAAGTCTGAGGCCTTCTGAAGCCTTGAGGTACCTGTCAAGGACGATGACACGGTGGTTGAAATGGTGAATGAGCTTGAGATGGTAGGCACTTTGCGTGGATGCATGCGGATGCCAGTGCCAGAGACTGTATAGGAAGAACATACGCATCAGAGTCCGGCAGGTGAAGAGCTTTGGGCCAACGTGTATGGAACAGAATGCCTGGCGCGCATCGACAAAGGGTCTGGATCTGTGACGGGCTGGGTCCTGCTCCACGGGCTGCTGGATAGGGAGCGCACCTTGAACAGATTCAGAAATGCATCGTTTCGAGTAGGTAAGATGTCGTGAATCTAGTTTGTCTTATTGCGTTTGCCAAAGCAGGAGCCTTAAGCAAAGGTACGACTTGGCAAGCTGGTGATGCTGGGTCTGATGCGCCGGATGTGCTTAACGGCATCGCATGGGATGCTTCTTCAAAGCGACTCTTTGCGCCTTGGACCATCGAGACGTGGGCTCTTTCGACGTTGGTCTGACAAAGTTCATCGAACTTCAACAGTCTCTGAGGTCACTGGAAAGCTGTGGCCTCACCTGTATGAGATCCAAGTGAAGCCATCGCAGGTAAGTGTAGAATCCGCCCGGCGACTATGCATACCGAAGTCGAATATTTTTCGGCGCTGAGATGGCTGCTGCACGGAGAAAATGTAAGGGTGTGCGACATTGTGTACGACATTGTGGGACCACTGGGCGAAAGCCGAAATACATGTGGAGAGAAAACGCGAAGTAGGGGCTTGGCATGGCTTGGCATGGCTTTCCAACACGTTGAGAGTCCCATGATGTCCCATGGTGTCTAGTAGAGAGAGAATGATCTCAGGTCAGAGAGCAGTCAATCGGTAGTCAGCCGTCATCAGCCATGCTGCCTGCAATGCGGCATGCAGTAATAACCGCTGCAACATGAATCAATGCTGATGTCAAAAGCGGCACTATTGTGGTTGCCGATGCTTTCGTCGCGGTCGTTGTTGCCATTGCTGTCGTCGCTGTCGTTTTGGTCTGTTGTTGTTCTTGTTCTTGTTCTTGTTCTTGTTATTGTTGTTGTTCTTGTTGTTGTTATTGCTGCTGTTGATGTTGATGTTGTTGTTGATGTTGTTGTTCTTGTTGTTGTTGTTGTTGTTGTTGTTGTTGTTGTTGTTGTTGTTGGTGGTGGTGGTGGTGTTGTTGTTGTTGTTGTTGTTGTCGTTGTTGTCGTTGTTGTCGTTGTTGTTGTTGTTGCTGCTGCTCCTGCTGCTCCTGCAGCTGCTGCTGCTGCTGCTGCCGCTGCTGCCGCCGCCGCTGCTGCCGCCGCCGCTGCTGCTGTTGCTGTTGCGGTTGCATATTTTGTGGTTGCTTTGCGTTTTGCTGGTGGTCGCGTGTCGTTTTTGTTGGCTTGCCTTCATCGTTGTCATTCTTGTCGTTGTTCTCAGTGCTGCTGCCGTTGGCACAGTCGGCCCTGCTGGTTCTTTCATGTTTTTTGTTGCTCTTTGTCGCTGTTGTTCAGTGAATTGCTTGCAGGTTTGTACAATCTACAGAAGTCAGAATGGATGCGCCAGGCTTTAAGCTACTTGAAATGTGCAAATACTGCAAGTCCCTGTAGAGCTCTCCCTCAATGCTGGTCTTCGGAAGCTATGGCTCTTGTATCCTCTTGTTTAAGTGAGATACACGTCAAACAGGATCAGGTTCCCTGGTACACTCGGAGTGTCTTGGCCCCTACAGCCTGCATGGCCCAAGGTTGGCCATGAAGGTCAGTGAATTCCGGAGCTGGCCCAGAATCAGGCTGATCAGGAACTACGAATCAGAAATCAGCGGGGAACCTGGGCTGGGTAGATGAGCCGTCATGCAATATACGTATTGGGGTGTTGGTCAAAAGGTCCTTGTAAGGAATTTTATTCAAAACAAACATTTCAAGGATGTATAAGTGTCCGCGAAAGATCCGCGAAGAGGGTGTGCGAAAGGACAATTTTTTGGGCGAAAGTTTTGACGTAAGGCGCCTGTCTGCTATGTATCCGCGGCATAATCCTCGCTCTCATCTCTGTCTCCCAGCTGGCTGAAAGCGGCCGGACCACAACTCATGCAGCGAGGGTCTAAGGCTTATTTTGTGTTCAGGGTTTGAGGATTTAGGGTTTGGGGTTTAGGCAATCCGTTTCCGAAAGCCTGAAATTTTGCGACAGACTGCCGCAAGCTCCGCGAAAGTTCCACGAAAGTCTAACGTATCCCATGAAGGGCCCAGCCCGCGTGGCATCTGCTCAAGACGTATGCGTGTGCGTAGCTGTGGTACGTAGGCGCCATGGGTGTGATTATAGGTCTTGGGGTTCAGGAGTGTGCGCGATTAGGTGCTCTAAACTTCCGCGAAAGGAAATGTAGTTTTTTGCGAAAGGTACATTTCCGAGACGAAGTAATTTTGATCAACTGCAATTTGCCTCGATGCGGGGCAGACAAGTATTGGGTGTGTTGTACGGTGTACGTAATAGGGGGGGGGGTTGGTGCGAGACAGGATGGTGAATGAATCCAGAAATGAAAGCAAAAATGCTTGAATGAATGTTGTCGGTAGCGATGTTTGTGTTGGTACTGGGTTTTGACGTTTGTTTCATTGTTTTGTTTTGTTTCGCTGGTTTGTTTGTATCTTGCATTTGTTTTGTTATGTGCATTATGTGCGTGGTGAGTGTGGTCACGGTCATGGTTGCGATCACGGTTGTCGCGATCGTTTTCGTGGCCGTCGTCGTCGTTGGTTGGCCAAAAAGACCAAGCTCTTTCATTTTCGCCACATCAGTAAACGCGCAGTGGCACAGTCATTGTCCGTCCTGCAGGCTTGGGAGAACAGTGTGCGCGTTGGCTCCTCCGTGGCGCGCAAAGGACCGACAGTGCCGTAATTTGTTGCCGGCCATGACCGTCAGAGATTGTAGAAATGCACCCCATTTTGGGATCATCTTGAGCTCTCACTGCCTCATCTGCCTCGTACTGTAGGGCTCTCTGATGACGTCATCACGATGCTCAAGTGCTTAGAGAAGACCTTTCCAGAGGAGGCCGTTCTGTTTGTGTGCCCAGTTTAAGTCACAGCACCTTCGAGCAGGTGTCATTGGGCAGGGCCAGGACCTCGAAAGAAAGAAACATTGCCTTGACTCAATCTTGATGTGTATTCGCAACCTGTGCTGTCCTATTTGTTCAGTTGCTGGTGCCACATCAGCCAGGTACTGGGTGCCAAGGCGCCCAAAAAGCAACGAACAGTGGCCGACGATGCCGTCGAAATCCTTGAAGCGAGCCACTACCAGGATCTGGCCATTTCTGAGCTGATGTGCCGGCATCCTGCCCAAGAGTCTTCCATACTGCAGAATTCCGCACCTCTCTGCTTGTGCTGAGCAGGAAATGCCAATTCTTCCCACATCAGCCGAAATGCAGCAGTCTCAGCAGATTTTCACAATGGCATTCATCTATTTCGTAGGAAGCGTGACTAGCTAATTGCAAAAAGCATGCTGTCCTTGAATGGTGCTTGCCGAGCCGCATCGAACTCAAATCTTCTACCCATCTCACTCACGTCCTGACACGTGAGCTGTTCAACTTGTGCTTTTATTGCGCATTGTTGGATGTTTTTTCCATCTTGTGTGCAATCAAGGGCATAGCATAGGCTCCAACTGCGTACTCGCAGCAGAAGCTTCGGCAATGCTGTCTCGAAGCTGTGTATCACTTGTGTATCTAGAGCCTGAGTTTCGAAGCTGCCAGTCTCAGTCAAAACACGGGTGGGCATGGGCAGGATTGGTCACTGCGCCTTCGAAGTCCAGGCGCCTATTCTGATTATGCTGGATATTTTGGCTGACGCTTGCAACATCTGCACATAGATTCAGTGCCTGGGAGGAGAACATGCAGACCTACGAGAAATGTGCAGACTACATTCAAACCCATTTCATGCTTCTGAGGGAGGATCGGGCAGATGCAGATGCAGAGTATTGAGAATATGCATACGCCCACACATATTGTTCACTCCTTGCTCCTTGAATTGCCTGATACAAGGACTACATCGAGCCTCTTCGGGCTGGTATCAAGCTGTTTATGCAAGGGCGCCATTCTCCCAAGGAGAGCTGTGTGCCTCTGTGACAGTATCTGATTACGGCTTTCATGCTGTCAGCAAGCTCTCAAATCAGTCTCAAGCCTGAAGCGCACGGAACTCCAGAGGCACGATGCGGCATGTGCACTAGTTTCATCCAGCATCGCAGTGACGATTCGCAGTGACGATTTCCAGACCAAAAGGGCCGACACTTGAAGCCTGCATTGCCTGCATGGTACGCGAAGGGCAAATGTGGGCAAACAAGGGCAACAGGGCCCGCACGTGCGGAATGCCGACGTCGTCCTGGCGTGCGAGCCTGCGAAGAAATTCCCCAGCGTCCGCGCTCAGCATAGCATGACTGCTTTCAACTCCCCTGGGCATTGCTTGGTATTCCGGATCACTCCTGTGCATTGCCAAAGAGGTGGTAAAGTTGTAAACTGGTTCTCACCAAGCAAGTCTGCAGCTTTGCTCTCCATGTCACCACATGCCGCATGGCCCTCATCTCCTCTGCAGTGCCAGAAGCTATGCTAAGAACGGCAGCTGCAGGACCTGCACGTTTACACCGGTGTCAAGGCGTGGCCACTAGCCCAAAGCTATCTCAGCCAGCACTGCACAATGCGGCCCGCTTGAGACTGAACCGTTTCCGTGAAGCAAAGTTTTGGTGTACCATGGCATGTCCCCATGATCTGCGAATGCTACCTTCTCGCAAAATTGGTGCTGTCAGCCTGAACATTTTCACGCCGTTTCTTAATGTTGTTTATTGTCTTGCGAGTGCAACTACTATAGGCGGTGCCACTGTGCTCTTGTAGAAGTAGTACAACACGGTGAGCAGGGAAGATCAGGGAAGTGTGAGTTCTCCATGCCGAGGATTGCACATACGCATACCACATACGGATACCCTGAACCCGGTTCTTTGAATGTTCCTTGCTGTGCTTGTGGTCGGGCGTGCCTCTTTACGTTGTACAGTACAGCAGCGTGAAGCATTTCATCTCAATTTGCAGTTACTACATGAAGGGCTGCCCAGGAAATTGGGGCCCGAAATCCCGTAGACAGCACAGACAGCCCGTAGGGCCCACAAAGCCCATAGGGCCCGTAAGGCACGTAGGGCACTTAGGGCCGTACAGGGGCCTGTAAGGAAGCATTAGAGTAGTTTCATGGAAAGGCTGTGTGCTGGTGTCATAGGTCTAAAGATTAGAAACCATGAAATCACTGGGCAACCATATATGAAATTAATGGGTGTTGTAGAAACCAAGTAAATCTACCTGTGCAAGCGCATGTTGTAGGGAATTCTGTGGCCCACGGCGCATAAGAACAATGAGAAAACCATGAAATCACTGGAGTGAAGGAACCAGTGAGAACATGTGCTATAGTCATGAAGTAGGCCCAGACCCAACGGTTTCCTGTTAGATGTGTTTCTCTTCCAAGTACTTCCACAACTACGGGAAACATGTGATGTCAGGCGCAGACCGACTTCCATAGAACCCGTAGGCCCCTTAGAGCCCGTGGGGCTCGTAGGCCTGCAGTGCCCGTAGTGATTGTAGGATATTGTAGGGCCTGTAGGGTCCATAGGGCCCGTAGCGCGCGTACAGGGCCTGGCGAGCCCGTAGATCCCCTACAGACCCTAGGGCCCGTAGGCCCGTAGAAAGCCCTTGAACCCCGTAGAGTGCCCGGGCCTCTGTGGTGACCATTCTCGAAGGGCTGGCTGTTCTTGCTTTGAGTTTGAGACTCGGATCAAGTTACGATGAGAGATTGCAAGAGACTTTGCAGGTCGTTGGCGTGTTGAGCACTTGGGAAGGCCAGCATCTCAGCTTCTTCCAGTCATGTGCATCATGGGAGGGTGCAGTGGCAACTGCATTGAGAGGCCTCGTCTATCGCATCGAGCTACGTCGCGAAGAGGTGCTGCTATTTAGTACTGTGAAACAGTGGAAGCACTGTGAGAGAGTGCGAGTTCCGATTGCACAGTGCACGGAGAGACCGCCGTTGATGTGCCAAACTGTTGTCGGTTGCAGCGCTTAATGCATTGCAAGTGCTTCACACACGGTCTGGTCTAACATGTGCGTACAGATCATCTTGACAGATTCGCAAAGTCAACTGGGAAAAGTCAAAGCAGCTGATGTGCCCCTGCAATGTGTACGTGCAGGATAGTGCAGCTATAGAGTTTGTTAGGTAATGACCGAATAGACGGGGGTTACTGTGCTGCGAGAGAACTGCGGACTCTGACATTTTGCGCAGGTACGGAAGTCTACTTTGCTTCTCGGATGACGACTTCAAGTCTTTGATCTGGGCTACCGACTCTGCCTAAGTCGATACTGTCTGCATTCGGAGCTGCTTGCCACCTTTGATTTGATGTCGTGTTTCGAGGTCTGGCGGCGAGATGCTGCACTTATGTCTTCGAAGGTGTCGGAATGCCAACAACATGTCTGTACATGCGTATCACATGTACAAGGGTAGAGAGATGTGGCTTTCGTACCTCAGTACAAATGTTGTGTGTGATGGCCGTTACTGTGTGTCATGGCCCGTGACCGCTGCATCTGCACTGAATCATCAGCACCCGTCACATGCTCGATGCTTAGCCCACGCACACATGGATCGGCAGCCGCGACTCGCCTCAGACGCTCTTGCAGCTGCGAGCTGCGGTGTCTGAACCCCCAACTTTTGCTTGTTCCGAGATTGTTCAGAAGGCCATGCAAGAGGAGAATAAGACTAGACATGGATGCAGACAGACTCTTGTCTGGCCGAGCATCAACGGCGGTTGGCTTCTTTCTGTTTCTTTCCCTTTCCCCACCCCAGCAACTTCCACCAAGCAGGACCCCACAGGAAGATGTTGACACACTACTACACTTGTTGTCATTCATTGTCAACCGACGGCTACCACAACCATGCATCGACTTGTTGAATACATGTCCACCAAAAAATTGCCGTATTAGTACATGCATGACCCCAAGGATCACGCTTGCTAGACGATTTGTGAGATTGGTTTCATTTGTAAGCGTCAACCGGTGAAATGCCAGCCCGCTACATGCATTTTGAAAGTAGTAATATATATATATACATACACGTATATATATATATATACATAAACTTATATACGAAAGGCGCAGCTGGACATTCGACTTCCTTTCGACCCCTGGGATGACCGCCTGTCACCGGGCAAGGTAGGTACTTGAAGCAGAACTCTCCATTGTGCTGGCATATGTCCGTGGTGGAGGTGTTTTGTTGCATTGAGAACGTGACCATATACTTCGAGGCTCAGAGCCTGAAGCAACAGTGCAAAGGGAGGAATCATACAACTAGGTCTCTTGCGGCTGTGGGAGTCATCGACTCATGCCTGAGGCATACAGGCACGTCTTGATTGCGCTCCAGAACATGAGAGCGACGGATGTACCTCGTCCAGATTGTGCTGCTTTTGTCACTTTTGTCAGCCTTGTTCGATGATGTAATTGTCTCATTGATTGTCGTTCTGCTCTGCGCAGGTTCCATTTCAGCACACGTTGTTGAGCCCGCAACCGGATCCATTGCCTCCAACATACCTCAAGGATGCTTGTCTCGGCTTGCTGGTCTAGAGTTTAGATTCGTTTAGATTGATGATTGTAAGTCTCCCCGCTGAGGAGGAGACGGACATGTTTCACTTCCACAATGTCTTCACCAGTTGCGAGAAGGCTGATTGAATTTATTCGTGCTTTGTGCCGACTGCCAAAGGCTTTTAGGTATCGAAACGACAATGCGGAAGCATACAGCAAAAATCAGACTGTGCGGTCTCACCAGGCGGACTCCGAAATCTCAGCCCCGAAGTCCTTCCGCATTTTGGCAGAATGGCCTCCCGCGCTCAGGCAGCCGGCAGCCCAGGGAGGGGTCTACACTCCGATACACCCCGAACCAACATCCACGAACAGCTGCTTCCACTTGTGCTTTTCAAAATCTAAGGGCGCTGGACCTGGACCCATCGCAGCTGGACGCCGTGCAGCACGCTTGCTGCCCAGTCCATGCAGGTCTATCTGCGCGATGCGCCACCTGCATGAAGCCTCCAACCAGTTTGCGACTTAGGCACTGACCCATCAAATGGCATTGATTCAGGGCCCTCCTGGCACCGGCAAGTCATGCTCTTGGTGTGGCCTTGCAAGTTAGACTTGTTGCGGTGTGGTCTTATCTCTGTGGCATGCTCTGGCAAGCCATGGCAAACTGATAGCACATCATCGGCCAAGAAGCCTTGCGAGCTTGTAAGGACCTTTGTCGGCCTGAAGATCGTACAGGACGGACACCCCGGGCATCTTACAAATGATGGCACACATCACCCGGCCAGCACTGTGTTACCGGATGATAGAGCAGATGCTCATAGCGGCTGCCAAACTGCGAGTGTTGGGAGGCAATTCTGGACAACACCAAACTCCTTCGACATTCACCGGTTTTGGTAGTGTGCTACACCAATCATGCTTTGGATCAGCCACGCTGGCAAGTTTTGGTTCTGCAGCTAACAGCAGCCGTTCCACGCCCGTAGTCTGTACCTGTACCTCATGTCACCGGAGAGTTTTACCGCTCCAGGTTCCTGGAAGGAATCTTCAAATTCTGTGAGAATATTGTCCGGATAGGCAGGTTTTAAAATCGGCTCGTTAAGACCAGCAGCTGTGCAACTCAAGTTCTTCCAAGAGGCTCCCGCTCCAAGAGTGAGCAGATGATGCGGAGAAACCTGAAGGACTTTCCGTGCCTGAAACGTAGTATGCCTAGTATGCTGCAATGCTGCACACACTGCTGTTGACTAGGCTATACTGGGCTAATCCAGGAGCTCGTTATGGGCGTGCCACCATCAAGGGAGTTCCTGCAGGCACGTGCACTCACGAACGAACGGTTCCATTCCCAACGCTTCCATTCGCCGACTTGTCCCGGCATCTTGACCGTCTTGATGTGGAGCTGTGATAAGTTGTGCTGTTCTTGCATGTTGTGTTTTGCCGCTTCCAATTGACCACAGGCTCGGAAGTGCTTGACCGACCGCAATGGCCTCAACTTCAAGTGCTTCTATTTAGCCGTCGAGCCTCGTTGAGCCATCAGATGCTATGAAAATCCCAGGCCGAGACTACTTGCGAGATGAGCTTGCCAAGGTCTGCAGAGTCTGCAGCTCCTTTGGGCCCCATTGAACAGTTCGAACCCCTGAAAGGATCTTGTGTGAGCATCTTTCCAAGTTTCCACACTGTTGTCCTCCCCTGCGCTTTCGGTTTTCTCTAAAGATGCTGCGCCAGGCAGTTGTGCAGGTCGACAGCCACACGGTCTCGGCGGCTCAAGCCAAGGCCGAGAGACGCAGACGCGAGCAACAGCAGCAAGAACAAGACCAAGAACAAGACCAAGAACAAGAAGAAGAAGAAGAAGAAGAACTAGAAGAACCAGAACAAGAAGAAAAATGACAAGAACAAGAACAATCACAAGAACAATGCCAAGAACAAGAACAATAACACGAACAGAACGCGCCCTACAGATGCATCAGATGCCAAGGGGGCCCAAAGGCACCCAGCCATGGGTGGAAAAGACCCAACGCGCAGGAACATTTAGCCCCTCAATTTTGTAAGTACAAGACACGACCAAGACTTGCTCTGTGGCACGCATTTCTGGCCAGCGGATGTACGAGTCAGACCACGACGTATTTGTCTCGGACGAGAACAGAACAAGACATATCAAGCACCCTGGAATTTACCTATTTCCTGTAAAAAAAGGTGGTCGGACGCGAAAATACAAAACCCAGAGAAAACTGTCACCAGAATCCAAAGCTTCCACGGTACCCAAAACAACAACAAACAACAACAAACAACAACAAACAACAACAAACAACAACAAACAACAACAAACGACAACAAACAACTACAAACAACTACAAACAACAACAACAAACAACAACAAACAGCAACAAACAACAAACAACCAACAACAACCAACATCAAGCCACAGCAAGCAACAGCAAGAAACAACAACCAACAATCAGAATTGTTTTTACAGCTAGGTTATGTCAAACAGCATAGCTTTGCAAGGTTTTCACACCATCACACATGAGATTGAGCGCTTTGTGTCTTGCGTGTCCTTCAATCATGGTTTAGTCATCTGTTTGTTCCCGTTTCCAGCTCAGCCGACTCAATGGTCTACAGATGTGCCGTTCTTCTTGGATCATGGGGACAGCCCATGCCAAGCACTGCCAAGAAGACCCAAACATACACATGCAAAGCCAGATCAATCTAAGCCAGCATGTGCACGCGGGGCATCTGCGCCGGCAGTATCTTGCCGCATCTGCACAGAAGCACGAGGCAACATACCCTGCACCCGCCAGCAAGCAAATTTCCCGTCCCTTTTGCAGCCGCTTTCTTTCTCCTGTAATTCCTGTATTCCTGCACTTTCACTTGTCAGAAATGGCGGGAAGACACTGCATGCATGGCCAGTCATTGATGTCCGAGCAGCAGTTCGAGGAGTTCTATCAGGCACCTGTTCGTCGGATGTCAGAAGTTTAGGGCGTGGTCGGTGATGCGTCGGTGTAGCGTGAAACTTCATCCATGTCACGGATCGTGCACTAGATTGCGCCGTGAGTCTCCAGGGCTTCTTGGATTACTTGGGCGATTCCAAGGAAGACTTCCCAGAGGCCTCGATGCTTCTGCAACGTTTCTTGCCGTCTTACGAGCGCATGCATTTTTTGTAGGATGCGTGGGTGGTCGATGATGAGATCTGGTCGCGGGTGATGAAGGCGAGGCATGTCCAGTGTTGCATATTGTCGTGGGAACTTGCGATGATGTCAACCGACATCAGCAACCTGGAACAGGAGTGGCTTGGAACAAGTGATCCTTCGAGATTCGCACCAGTTCCCAAACATCAGGGTGGCGGTCTACCATCTGCGCGCACCCCAGACCCAACGGAGCCCCTTCTGACACTAATGCTGCGTGAAGGTTACAGTGACAGAGCAAAATCAGACCCTCCAGACTCCTGCCGATGCGCCAGTTCAAAGCGTTCGGACTCACGGAAGAGAGCGACGAGGATGACTATGCGCCATATGGCTCCAAAGACGACGGAGATGAGGAGGAGGCTGGAGATGCTTCAGCGCAATGTCAAAGACTCATCAACGAAGCAGCGATGAGCGACTGAGCAACTGAGTGGTGATCAAGTTGTGCTGGTTGCTTAGACCAGAGGCGTTGTGCGGCAGATGCCGCAGTCCTGACATCACATGCAAACCAACTTGAAACATCTCAAGCCTGTCCTGATGCTTGCATACGGCCACATATCTTGGCATGGTCCTATTGGAGGCTGCAAACGAGGTTTACGACCGGAAGCTGGATGACAATGAGCAAGCAGAGCAGGTAGATGAGAAGCGCAAGCATCCCCCTGAGCTGTCAGGATGCTCCGAGAGACAGAGAGAGTCTGAGAGAGAGAGAGAAAGAGACTGAGGGTCTGAACTCTTAAACCCCAATGCTTCTTCTTCTCTTCCGGCCTGGGAGGGCCTTCTGGCCTGACCTTCTAGTGCTCGAACGAAAGAAGTACTGCTCTGTCTTCGTTGGGATTAAGGAGTCGGATGGATTTCTTCCAAGAACTGCACAATGCCTGGCAGCTTGATCGCACAGTTTGCTCAGATGCAGCCAGCCTCTTCATGCCACTCTTCCCACACCGTTGCGCTGGGATGCACTCAAGTCTATCGTTTCATTTACTACATTTGCGATGCTTAGGTTGCCATACCTGGACGAGTACTATGAGAACTTGACTCCCGAAATGCGTAGCTTGGATTGGCGGGAAGAGGCAGACTCGTCATGCATGGATCAAGCATGCCAGAGCACACGAGCTCAAGTGCGTTTTGGGCATATGGATGGGTTTCTCACTTTCTTAATGAAACTGGCAATGTGTGGCGCTGTGAGAAGTGCTACTGACAACTTTCCAAATCCCATCGTCAATCGCCACGTGTTTGCCAGAACCTGTGGCGACTGCTGCCGAACCAGCGACGTGAGTGCTACCGTCAGTGGCTTGTGGAGGCTCCCGAGCACGGTGTTAGCCATGAAAGGGCTGCCTTCCAAGATCTTCCAAGCATTGTCATGCGTTGGCCTGCATAGGCACATGAAGAAGCACGAGGTGTCCTCCCAGAGCTTGCGCATCTGCTGGAGCGCAACGCGGAAAGCAGAGCTGTATCCCGGCGTATTAGATAATAACTAGAACGAGTTTAACTACATAATTTTCAAACGCCATGCTACCCGCCTCGGCCGGGGCCTGTCGCCACTGCAGCCGCGAGGCCAGGTGGCCACGATAGACATCATGTCTAGAAGCCCCAAGCCTGAAACAGCAAACTCGAAAGCGGGAGGGGCGGGGAGGGGGAGAAAAGGTGGGGGGAGGGGGGTGGCAAGGGTCACGAAGACACGAAGACACTAGTCAAAAAGAAAGCAAATATGAGGCGATGGAGCTGTAAAGCTCTTCCGAGGGTTTGAGGGGGTGCGGGTGGTTGGGACGGCAGGGGGGGGGGGCCAGGTCTTGCGCCGGTTAGGGATGGTTGAGGCCAGGGTAGAGGGGGGAACAGGGCCAAGCCTTGGAGGGCAGAAGAGATGGATGAGCCGAAGTGCAAGGGTAGAAGGGTACGAAATGCACAAGTAAGGAAGCGAGGGGTGCTGCAGAGGGGAGACGGGGGGGCGGTAGGGGGTCTCGCCCGGAAGCCGAGGCGAACAACTAAAGCTAGGTCCAGGTCTAATGTGATAGTCTTCATCAGGCACACCATATTATCCATATTGTTGGATATGCAATGTAGCAAGAGAAGAGCGTGTTTGCATCCTGTTCGTGAACTGCATGCAGTCAGACATTGGTAAGATGTTCATGGTGAGGTTCGAGAAACTCATACAATGGGCACGAAGTTAGCTTTTGTATCACTTTGCGACAGCTCGCGTTCACCAAAGGGAATCACGTTGTGACATATTGCGACACCATTCCGTCAATCAGGCACTAGAGCGAGACCGCAAGCTGGCCGTTCTGCGTGAAATGCAGGCCACACTTCTGCCGAAGATGCAGCTGGGGTAGCGTAGAATGAGAATGACAGCTTGAAGTGTCTGTTCTGGTGGCCAGCTCTCCTGTTGCGACCCTTTCGTCGCAAAGTTAGCACCAGCTGCTTGAGTTTAGTACCGCTTAACCAGCGAGGTCTCGGTTCTATCCGGCAATGAGGGGAATTGGAATCAGGAAGCATTTGGAATCCGGAACTGAGTTGAAAGGTTTCATAGGCATCCGGGGGCTGCTGGAGGTTCAAGGCAATCCTTGGGCTGAGGCCTGTAAGATGTCTCCATGACATTCCCTCATCCGGGCATGTCGGGGCTGAATCCCTCAGCGCACCCGGGAGCTCTGCAATTAACATCAATGAAATGTGAGCGGTGCACGTGAAGGGAGAACTCTCTTGCATGTGCCAGTGTATCCAGCGTGCTGGCCCGTGCTACAACTGTCAGAGTTGTGCCAGGTCGTGGGCATGACGACGACGGCTGTGTCCAAATATCAGCAGCTGCTGAAGGACTACCACATCTTCAATTCTTGAGCCATGGTTCGTTCAGTCGCAGCACATGCCGGAACTGATCATGACAGTCTGAGTATATGCCTTGTCTTATGTGCTTGACTTGCACTGCTCTGAGCATCATGAAAGCTTAAGCTCACTGCGGACTTAGGCCACAGCATTCTTTATGTTAGCCACACATCCACACACCAAGCGACAATTGCGCATTGGGATGTCGCTTGATGCAAGGATTTGCTGACGCAAGAGTGTGGCTAAAGAATCTGAAGAGCTTGTGCAAGAATACTGTGCAAGAGGCCGCAAAAGACAGAGTTCCTTTGCAGGGCAAAAGGCCCACGCCTCAAACCCAAAGAACTCCAAACTTCACGAGCACCTCAACTCCAAGGCCCAAACCCCTCGAGCAGCCTACGTTAATTTAAGCTCGTCATTTGCCCCAAAGCATGGAACATAGTGCCAGATTGAGGTTTCATATTGTTCCGTGAAAGAGCGAAAGAACACACATAGTTCCGCGAAGAAGCCAAGTCGGCATGGGAATGAAAGAGTTTTCATCAACCCGCATGCACAATCAAGCTCAACAGCATCAACACCCAAGCGTTCAACCTGCGAAAGACCTGCCGGTGCCCGCAAGCTGGTGCATTCTACGGTTGCAAGGCACAGAGACAGGAGATGTAGAGACTCAGAGAGTAAGCACAGGAGCTCCGACCAGAGGTTGTCATCGTTGAGGAGGCAGCCGAGGTACTGGAAGCCCACGACTCAAGTATCTCAAGTCAGCCAAGCTCAGACATTGTCAGATCTTAGCTGCTGACATCACGGACTGCTGATTCGTGTTATGCAGATGTCGCATGGAGCTTCCGGGAGAGCAGTTGGCCCACAGACTGATGCCACATTTACGAAGCACCGTAACATGATCCAGCTTTGGAATGTTAGTTGGACTTACTGCCACCAGCAAGAAGTACCATCAGTCATACTAAGTCATCATTGTCGATGCAACGTGGTGTAAAGGGAGACTCTAATTTGACTGCGCAGCCGTCGACGCGCCCTGGACGGCACGGCCCCAAGCTGCCAACAATGTCACTGGAAATGTCTGAGAAGATCGGCCCACGTCAGCCTCTTTTGCTGCACAGTCTGTGTTTGCAATTTGGAAGCAATGACGCGACTCTCCGACGCCCTGTTGCATTCGTCGAGGTGGCGGTCTGTCAATGCGTATTCTCCACATGTCACGATCATGACGCCATGTCCAGTTTCTCCAGTCTGAATAATCATCTTCCGTTCAGGATGGTCGGGTCACTTCGTCATTGATCGAACCAGGTGTCCTCGTTCTAACCTAAGATAGAAATGCTGACATTGCAGTGAAAGGCCTAACCTCCCTTCTGAACGTTGCGAGATCGAAGGAGACACTCATTCGACGCAAGCAGAAAAATGTGACCATCACCTCCAAAATTGTTTCTTCATGCGCCAAACTCCAGGTGCAACAGGTGTCCTGTAAAGGTAAAGATAGAAATGCGTAAGGGAAGAGACAGAGAGGCTAAGAGGAAATGGGAAGTTGGCAAGGTGTTTTGTCCTCGCCTCCTGTCCATTGTTTTAAATCGGCCCTTGCCCGGCGCAAACATGAAGAGCGGGAGAGAGAGAGAGAGAGAGAGAGAGCGAGAGAGAGACAGAGAGGATCGAGGGGAGGGGGAGGTTGACAATAGGGAGCTGGCGGTAGCGGGGGGACTTCTCCGGGCAAAGCAGGGTCGTATCGGCCCCAAACCCTGAGAATCCATACCCTGAGTTGAGTTAGGACAGTAGAATGCAGGCTCCCAAGAACATGACCTCTTTAGTTGCGTTTGCGCAGTGTTTTGGGACGTTTGCACTACCTAGTCACGTTTGCGTGGTGATTTGGGATGACAGCCTCTTGCCTAGAGCAGGTCGGCCCAGTATGACAGATGTCACAGCCTAGCAGTTCTTGTTAGTGCGTGGTCCATATCAGCTTAGGGGGACTCACATAACAGGCTGACTAGGGGGACATGACCCTTTTGTATAGCTGACCTCATGGCCCTCGGGAAGACTAGCTGACTAGCGCTCACTGCAGGAATATTGTGGGGCAACACAAGGGCAGTCTTCCCGGGGGGGGGGGGGGGAACGTACACGTCTCACGCCGACCTGGATACGGACTGGGCGCGCCTTGTGCGCGGAGGGTGCATGCGTGATCCCTTCAAGCCCCGAAGAAGAAGAAGAAGAAGAAGAAGAAGAAGAAGAAGAAGAAGAGAGAGAGCATCTGTCCTTGCGCGCCTTCTCTCTTGCTGCCAAACCTGTAGCTGGAGGATTGACACACTCACCACCCCGATGCTGCCGTCCTGCATTTATGGGGATTTAACCGTACGTACTACGTACCAAACTTTTCCGTGTGTAGACAAGCATTCGGCCTCATTTCAGGGCGGTTACCACTCAGTTATGCCAGATAGGAGTGCATGTTTTTGGCCAATGCACCTTTTACCTTGAAGACTTGCCAGCCCGTAGCTCCCGGGAGTGCAGTGAAGTCAGAATGCGCAATACTACCAAACAACACAGGGAGGGAGCCCTGCCCACCACTTCAGCCAAAGTGCACACATGGTGGGAGATCAGACACATTCAGACACTGTCTGAAAGCGAAAACGGGGCGGGGGGCAGGGCGCCTCACAAACAGACTCGGTGGACTCGTGCCCTTCGGGCCTCTTCCACCTGGGGGGGGGGGGGGGGGGAGGGCCTTGGACGATTAACATCTATTCTGCGCGTGCTCTTTGTTTTCTTGGACTCTTCTCGAAAACCTCTCTGGGATTGGGTTCTCGTTTGGCGCTTCAACGCGGAAGGCGTTCTATCGGATCGCTTTGTGGCGAAGGCCACGAAGAGGAGACGGTCAAGGGAGGGGGGAACATTTTGCTGGGAGAGAAACGTGGGGAGGCGTGGACCATGCATGATGTGCCGTTGACGGACGGGTTCGGGGGGGGCGAGGACAAGGAGGGGGGAGAGCGGACGGGGAGCGTGACATTCGGTTGATGGGCAGGGGGTCAAGACAAGGGGGTTCAGAGCGCGAGTTTTTTTTTTTTGCGGTTGAAGGGGTATAGTGACCTTCCGCGCCCTCCACGCCCTCCCTCCGCGCCCGCCCTCCGCGCCCGCCCTCCGCGCTCGACGCGCCCTCCTCCTCCCCGGCCAGTGCTGATGCTAAGGGTGCATTGCGTTTATTCTGCGGGTGCGTTGCTTCTATTCTGCGGGCATTTCCCTTGTCATTGTTGAAGTGTTTGTTTAATTACAAGGCACGCACGTGCAGCATAGCCTCATCTTACGGTAAGTCTTACGGGGGGGGGGGGGGGGGGGGGGGGCATGCGTGCAGAGAGAGAGGGAGAGAGGAGAGAGGGAGACAGGGAGACAGGGAGACAGGGAGACAGGGAGACAGGGAGGCAGGGAGGCAGGGAGGCAGGAATGCAGGGAGGCAGGGAGGCAGGGAGGCAGGGTGGCAGGGAGGCAGGGAGACAGAGAGACAGAGGCCCTGTATATAGAAGAAGAAAGAAGAAGAGAAAGATCAAAGTGAACGGCGATTTGAGAAGACGAGGCCTGGGATCCTTAACCCACGGACCCGCCAAATCGGCTGACTTCCGAGGTTCCCCTTGCAGGTCAGCTGTAAACCTCAAGACCTTGCAGGGTAGGAAGATTTCTAGAAACGGCCACTCCCAACGGCCCTAGTCGCCGCCAGTCTGTTTGGATCGTTGCAGGCACTGGGGGAAGAAGATGTAAAAAGCCGCTGCCGCTTGCGTCTACTTGGGGGACACGACCACGGATGTAACCCCATCCCCCATCATGTATGGAGGCGTACTTTGGCTAAGCGTTCCTTCGAGATTTACATGATTTCGCAACGAATTCGCTGCTTTTGGAAACTGTAAAATCCCATGCGTTCACTGGGGGAGGGATGTAGTAGCCCTTGCTTGCGCTCTCGGCTGGAAATGGCGACCACAGCTTACGCACGACTTACGCGAGCAATACGCGCAGCTTACGCGGCCGCGCCCTGTGCCGACAAAAGGTGGCTTCAAGACCATTTGCTCGGCACGCGATTTTCGGTTGTGGGCATCAACGCTCGGTGAGCGATTGTCGGGTGTGGGCGGCTCGAAGATCAACGAGGTGCGATTTGTGGGAGTGAGGATGTCATGTATGCAGCTTTTCGCTGCGTTTAGATGGTGTTGACATGAATTTCCGCGCATGTGGATGCGGCGTTTCGCTGCGTTTAGATGGTGATTGACATGGTTTTCGTGCATGTCGAAGTATGCAAAAAAAGTATGATGTCGTAGATGCATCGTTGCTCTGCGTTTACATGGTGTTTGGCATGTTTTTGGTGCATGTGGAAGGCTGCAAAATGGCTGGGACTTGCGTTCCCTCGGGCAAAGGCTTCTTCCAGTTCATGGTGGATAACACGTGTCCATTTCGTGCTGCGTTTACTTGGGGAAAATTTTGGCTGGTTTTTGGGTCGTGGCACCTGCGGTCCTTGGGGGGAAGGCTTCCGGAGGCAAAGGGGATGGGACTACGTCCGGGCGCTTTGGCTTGATCTTGAAGATTCTTGTGGGTGGAAGGAAGCGAGGGACTAGCAACTGTACTCTGCCATAGTTTTTCGTTTTGATTGTTTGAGTTTCAACCATGCTTCGTCATGCTCTTTGCAGTCGGGCCTGAAAACCCTCTAGATGTTTACACAGGCCATGGGTTCAGCGACTTCTGGATGTTCGGGAGATTGTGAGCAATGCCAAGGCCTCAGCACAAGTCGTTGTTGAATCGGTTGTCAGCTTTTGTAAGAGGGTGGCCACAAGCTTAGCAACAGCTGGAGACAACCAGCTAGAATCTAGAACTTTTCCAACTAAAGTTTGGCATTTGTCAGCAGACCATTCGACTCACAAGCCAGGCAAATGTCTTGGCACTGGCAAGAGAACTAGACACGCAGTTTGACGCTGATGCACGCGCTGGAGATACTGAGGCTCAACCTGTGCTCGCAATGGGTCGAGCTCTCATGGCTTTGATGCTTACTTCTTGCATTCACGTCTTCAAGAGAGGTGCGGTCACCTCTGCTTGATCCAGAGAGAGCGGGAGAAGGAGCAGAAAGCCGTCATGAAGACCTTCACAGTGAATGCATCGGCCTCGCTCTCAGACTGTTTCGCAAGAATGCTTCCCGCAAGCAGTTCAGCGAGCCTCAGCATTCTACTTGAAAGGGTTGCTCTCCAGAAGCAGAGAAGCTTCGGGCATTCACGTCGACTGTATAATCCTGTAGGATCCTGTAGGCTTACAAATCAGCGGTCAGGTGCACGATGTGCAGGGTTGTTTGAGTTAGGGTCGAGCTTCATGGCTTGGGTGCCGAGGGCTTTTGCTGTTGGGGCCCCATCAGGGTTGAGATTCGTGGGAAACTGAGGCATGTTGCTGTCTTATCTGGGCAAATCTGAGCTAAGACACGAATCACACTTCCGGAACACGAGCCCATACGAGCCCTTCATCCGACAGCCGTCTCGGCCGTCTGCAGGCTCCGGATGATGACAGTGTCGCTCCAGAGTGCGCATCTCAGCTGTTCCCTGGTGCAGCTACAACGCCACATGGACACAAGCAAAGTTACTGGGCATCACTAGCCACCACTGAGCATCACTGAGCAGACAAAAATCGATGTCTGTTTACGTGGATCCAGTGGGTGGCCGAGCGGGTAGCATTGCCGTACGACATGTCGACCGCTGTTCTGGACTCTCCTTCCAACGTCTTGGGGTACAGCTACTACTTCTATATAAGTGCAGGACCCCCTCTGGTTACGGACGTGCAGTTGCCCAAAGGACCCGACTTCAAAGTCATTTGCAGATCTGCAACCCGAGCCAAGCACCTGAAAGTCAAAGTGTCACTGACTTGTTGCATTGCAGTACGTTCTACTCGTCGAGTCAGGGTCTTATCATACATTACAAACAGGAATCGTCATGTTTCTCTAATTTTCTCTACCATGCAAGACTTCTTCATGTGGTTACGTCGGCGAATGCCCGGGTCAGGATGTGACAAAGACAGCATCGGAAACTATCCGAATACTAACCTTTCTCCCGAGTAGCATCGTATGCAGCAGTGAGTTCTAAAGACTCCTGCACTCGAGCGTTCGCAGCGGCTAGGCTACGGAGAGTGGTGTCGCTTGCACCTGTAGGCAGTGTTGGGGAGTCCTGAATTCGGTGCCGTCCCTTGTCCAACACAAGGCTTCAGCGGTACGCCGTGCATGGCAGCGATGAAAAATTATCGCCAAACGTCAGCAACCTCAGTGCTTGGCTTTGAGCAGCAACAATCAAGATTCCGAATCCGATCCTCTCACTGGTCAAGCAAGCTGGACCACTGTGTTGCAGAGCTGTAGATCAGAAGATGCAGACTCGTGGATGCTCTGCAAGCCAGATCTGCTTCGGCGTTGCAAATGGCGAAGAGGCGTCTGTGATCTTAGATTACCTTAGCTGCGCTGCATAAGTGAGTTCCAACCCCCTACGTTTTGCTCGAGAACCTTTGAGAGGTGCTCTTCGAGGAGGTGCCGCTGCTGCCTCTACTTGGCTCTACTGTGCAGTAGCAACGTTGTTTGGAACTGCTTGGAAGACGGGCTGAGTTCATGCCCGCAGGCGCCAAGCGCGGGCTCTCACATGGACGAGGTGCTTGGTGACATGCTTTCCACGTCATTCATGTGTATCTCTTCGAAGGAATTGGTTGCACTATGTTGCACTTTTAGTATACTTTTAGTAGCCTTGAAGTTTGGTGCATCGCATGACGATGCCGGCGGAAGTGAGAAACATGATGACGCATCAAGCTGCCTCGGCACAATACGTGCGGTCAAAATGAGCACGCTGCCAATTCCCTCTGTTGGCTCAGCTTTCTTGATGCTGTTTGTCCAACGGTGGTTAACATGATGGCAGATCGGGACCCGAAGCACAGCTGCTCAACAAAATTACGAATGAAAGAATGACACTCTCAAGCATCATCAAACGCTTAGATTTGGACAAAGTCACATAGTGGCCTACTCCAAGCGCAAGCTTGCCTCGACAGCTTCAGCCTCAGTTGCTCGACCGCGTGAGCATTTGTGCGCATGGCTTTGGCCGATGTTCCCTACGATTGCATCGAATGTGCGTTGCACATTTGTGGCTTCCGTGCCAGGCTGGACGACATGAGGCGAGGGCCCGCCAGTAGGCTCTTCAGGCCGGCCGGTACTCTCTTGCCTCCGACTCCAACTCACTTGAACGTGGCCGGCACTTTGTGGTGCTTCGCTGCTTCGCCGGCCTTATCCGGCCTTGCAATGCTCAGCAGCACCTTGGCAAGGCGCCTGGTCCCCTTGGCTGCTTTGGTGGCAGGCTTGTACGTTCTGTTATCACTTCTTTGGTGTCGTTTGGCATTGGTCTTTGGGCCTCCACTGGGCCAGTCAGAGGTTTGCTGCTGTGCGCATCGCCGGGATATGCTACGGTTGCAGACACCTCCGAAAGCTCGCAGGCCGCCCTGACCTGATCTGCCTTTGCGGAGACATCTGGGAAGTTTCGATGATCTGCAGTCTTGGAAGGTGGCAATGCCTAAGCGTGAAGTTAAAGCCTTGGCGCATACCCTTCGGGAGGCTCAGAAAGTGCATGTATTGAGTTCCTGCACGCTTCGTGTGCGAGCTTCAGTTTCAAAATCTCGCAGCTCCTTTGGTGGCCAGGTTGATAAATTGCAAGAAATGGCACAAGACTCACAGACGGCAGAATTTCGAATGTGACTCACGAGCTCCACGGGCTTGACTGGCCGGACTCGTTGCACCAAGGTCCGGCAAAAGGGCACGATTCCGAATTTTGGTCGTATGGCCGCGGACCTACCGAGAAAGAGCAGTGAGCTCTCCAATACAAGCAAGCGTTGCCGTCGTCCAGGAAGCAATACTGGTCACTGCCAGGCAGACAGAATCGTGAAGCGCGGCTTGAGAATAGCAGGAGCCAAGCACGGCTCACAGATCGAGAAGGCACCGAACAACTTTTTTGCTATTCATGCACACCTTGCTAGGAAGAATTGTGCTTAATCGATCTTATAGGCGCGCGACGTTCAGACATATTCAGAACACCCGCAAGATGTTGGAGAGGCACTGGATGCCCCGCTCCAAGAGCTTTTCCACGAGCAGCTGCGGACCTTGTCGGCCATCTGCTTAGCAGCGGAGAAGCCTTGTCGTATGTTGACTACATACCGACTGGATCCTTCTCGTATACCTTTCTGCGACAGGGGTAGCCGGTGTGTCTGGCCGGTTCTAAGAGATCCTTTGTCCTCTCGGATAGTTCTCGGATGCACGGACTCTTGGAGTGCTCTCATTGGAAGATCCATGCTAAGACAACGCTCGGGCTCTCGGAGTCAGTGACCAGTTGCAGTTCACGGGTTATATACATTCGGTTACATACTGGGGTTTTCCACTGACTTTACTTCCGTTAACACTCCGTTCACACTCAGTTAGAACAGTGAACACTCAGCGAGAACTACAACACTAAACCTGGCACTGCCGAAGCACAGAGAAAAGCAGATCTTTCTTCAAGTTCATATAAGGCCCGAAAAAAAGATGTTTTTCGTTTCCCAGACTTTGTGTATTCGACGTTCCCAGGCTCGTGCCTCATGTCACTTGTCATGAAGGAGGTGTTGCAAAGTTAAGTTCCCTCCATCAACCATATGGCCGTGTGGGCGACAGAGATGTCTAGATTTTTCTGGAAGTTTCTCTACTAGTTTACGCGTAAAACGAGATGGATTCAGGTGGCTTGTTTGCGTTTGCGCTTGAAGCGACTGCATTTGTTTTACATGTTTGCCTGCGCTCTCCATGCGCAAGGCCAGGGCCGCAGATCGTTACGAGTCGACCATGGCAGCAAAGCCAAACCCTGTGGAGGCCGATTGCTGGCTCCGAGTGAGAAAACACTCAAGTTTCTCAAAGTCTGAACGGCCGAAACACTCATTTGGCAATATTGAGAACTCTTTGCCAGGCTCGCCGTTCTGCTGAGGCAGAGTTTGTTGAAGGCAAGGGCCGACGTGGGGAAATCGTGGAAACTCGATTCAGCCTGAACAGGTTACATCGGATTGTGGGAATATATTTTAGAGTTTGTTATATCCACGCAGAAGCAGAGTCAGAATGTTCTTTAGGTGCCAAGCCTCTTGTGCGACCGAGCGGCGGATGGAGCTACGAGGCAGCGAGATTCCATATGGAGGGGTGGATGCAATTGCATTCGCTGTTTGTAGGTTAAGTTAGGTCAAGTCAATGGCCGTCAATAGTATTATCCTCAACAGCGGTTTATCAGGCAACCTTGGCCTTTGGACCCTCTCTTCAGAACCAGATAGTTTATACTCTGTTGTCATATATTGTCATGAAGCTGACACCATGGAAGAGCATTGCTGCGTCGGTGCGTCATTGCAAGAGTTCTCTTACTCTAGCCAATGTCAACTGTGCTTAGGCACATCTAATTTGAGCTCAACATAGTTCAAGAACAGATAAGCTGCAGCCTGTGGCAGCAATGTCTAGTTGTGTCACAGATCCATGCTAGGCCGAGCTACAAGATCTCTTGGGCCGCATAGCAGGCAGCTCCAGACCGGTTCTCAGGCAAACAATGCCCTCTTTTGAACCACCACAGAGACTGCTCCTACGAGGCCAGGATATGCGGCTGGTGCAGGAGCAGGGCAGGCTGATGCCTTGGGAGCGAAAATTGACTGTCATGACGAACTTAAACTTAGTTTTGATTGCCTGCATGGCTCAGGCAAGGCCAGGGCAAGCATGTCACGCTGGAGGCATGGCGAAGCGATGGTTGTTTTACTGGCGCTGCAGCAGACATCACGACATCATGATGAACTGCATAGGACACAGGGGGATAGCCCTGGATAGCGTTGCGTCAGCTTTGTCCAAACACTCAGTTTCTGAAAGAGTTCATGGGGATTTCAAGGCGCTTTGCAGCGTGCATCGTCCAGGAAACAAGTGGGCTTGGAAAGGAACCCTAAGCAGGGGTGGCACAAAGGGGCGGCACAGAAAACATCGACCATTGTAAAGCGAAAAGAATGAAAACGCCAAAAAAGCACGAGTCGTACATGTGTACAAACAGCTGGATGCATTGCGAAAGTGAGCTTGCCTTGAATTGGCTTGGCATAGCGACTATTTTTGAGCAAGGGCTACGGCTTCTGTTACCACTCCCCCAGCTCCGGAGTCAACTATAAATACCCGCTGGCCCTGTGAGGCTGTGACTGTGAGGCTCAAACGAAGACGCTTTGTGTATGGCACATTATGGCACTGTATGACAAGTCTGTGATATGGCTTCCGATACCGTTTAACCGGTTTCGTACTCAGGTTTGGCTGTTGTGTGCCCAAGGCCAGTTTGCTTTTTCGCAGCTCCGAAGGCATGTGTTTGAAAAGCGCGACTGCGCAAACAAGCAATGCGGTTTTGGGGTTTGATTGTTGTTGGGCAGACTTAATACCCGCTGGTATGACTCCCCACCTCTGCACTGCAGCGCGATTTCATGCATGCCACAGGGGTTGGGCAGACTTTACGCCATTTGGTCGACAAAAGCCCACCACCGTACTGTTGCATCCGTGAAGAATCCATTATGCAGCGGAAATCCCAAACGGTGGACATGTGAAACGAATCTGTCCAGGATGAGGAGAGGAAGGCTTGGGAAGTACAGAACGTCCCTGCCAGGAGCACGATGTCGACCAGGGCATCCAGAGCGTATCAGAGCGTTCTTTGTCGCATCCGACGAGCCAAAACTGTCCAAAACTTCAGTTTTATACAATGAAACTCGAAAACCACGACCCCAAAGACGCATGGGCGAACCACCCGTGCGCATGGAGGCATGTCCAGTACGTCATCACAACCATGTAAGTCAGATTTGTTCGATTCGTGTTGCAGAGCAATGAGAAAAGACGTCTAGCTCCTTGGAGCTTGCGGCAGTTTTTGTTTACAACCCTCTTGCCTTGGGCCAAGCAGGACCTGGTTGGCCTGATATCTCAAGGATTTCCCCCCCCCCCCCCCGCCACCTTCGGTCTCAAGTATACGGAGAGGCCTCACGTGGCATCGGATGAGGTTTGGGGGGTGTAAGATGGACACTTAGATGCTATGCTGCACATGCGTGCAAGCCCAAGTTTCAAACTATGAACAGCAGGGTGCGAGGCAAGACCAGATGACACAACACGCTTTTGGTTCATCCGACAACCGCTGACAGTTTTTTCTTGGAAATTTCTCCCGAATTTCCAGAACAACGTCGCGTGAAACACGAGGATACGTTGGTAATGACTATGAAGGTCATCCGCAAGCTGCAGCAGCAGTCGGAAGCGGTTCAGCGAGAGGTTGGGAAGAGTCAGCACTTGGTTTGCGATGTTGCGCTTTCTGCTTGGGTTCTTCAGCAGGCATGCGTTGAGTTGCAAAATAGGTTACATTGCCGTCTAATGCCTTCATTCTAAAGTTGTCTGAGTTGTATTCAAGCTCTCGTGGATGGTTGGGGGATGTGAGAGGCCTCCGGTTCCTCGCTTTGTAGGATGTGCAGCAGTGAGTCTGTCAATGATACGCCTCTAAGCCTATAAGTTTCTCGTATATTCTCGTACTCTTCAAACCAGCTGGAATCAGGAGTGAGTGAGCATTTTCTCAAGCCCCTGCTACAGTGTCAACCTACGAGGCATTTCGCAGTGAAGTCTTGAAAAAACTGGCCCAGGGATTGGGAGAGGCGGCTGATGGGTGAGCATTGACGAATGAACTGCGCCCTTTAAGCTGCTATGTCTGGACAGCTCTGAGCAAAGAAAGTTCGACAATTAATTATCTGTCGCATCAAGATTCTAGACTCTGTCACACAGTACTGTAGCTTGCAACTGCGAGGTGGAGACACGTGGTGCTTTTCCGTGGAAAATCAACTGGCAGCTTGAACCCTACTGCCGAATCACAATAGCAAGTAAACCGCAGTCGCGTTCATGTACGCCAGCCGTCAGCGGTCCAATCATTCTATGCTGGAGTTTGCGAGGTATTTCGTGGATAACTCGCCAGTGGGATTCCGGGGGCAATACAGCCAGGCAGTAGCTTCAGTGGTTTCTTCACTTCATGCAGAGATTAGTCAGGCTTGGTGCTTGCTTGCTTCCATGTTCAGCCCGTCGGATGTCAGGGCAGATCCATTGTTGAGCTGCTGCTTCTGCCAAGCCCAGACCCTCGTATGAAGAACAATCTCCTGAACAAAATTGGCCAGAGACTCAGCTTTACCCATAATTTGCCCTTTGCCACGGCTTACTTTTCTGTGCTGGTTTTTCATGCGTTTTCATGACGAAGGCCCTTTGAATCTGGCGGTCGCATTCGACATGCTGCTCTAACTGAGCGGCGGTGCAGCGTTTTGGCAGCTCGAAGAGTTCTGTGGCTGCAAATTATGCAAAGGTGTTGGAACCGGACTGCACCCTTGAAGCAGGCCGTAGACACCTGCCCTGAGCAGACTGAAAAAAAGAAATGGCTCCGGCTCTCCATATACCTGATGCTATGCCAAACAACTGGCAAAAGAAGTCACTACACTTCTCTTCGTTTTGGGACCTGGCCGCAGGTGTTGCAAGCTCTTCCACAACAACCTCGAGGCCCTGCTGACTCCGCGGCTTTCGGCTGAACTCTTAAGTCGCTGCAAGATGCAAGTTGCATGCAAGTTGAGTGCAGGCACGGACCAGCCAAATGTTGGCTATCGCTCCAGCATACATACGCTGGAGGCCACCTCTTTCTAGCGGTTCCTGATGGTTCCTGCATTGTCAAGCAGCGATGTATGGAGAATACAGACAGCGACTTGGGTGCTGTGGCAATGCTTGGCAATCCAGGGCTTTTTTAGCACAGTTGGGCCAAGTAGTTCTGGAGCCCACTCTAATGAAACTCTCGCAGGAGTCAGCCTAACGATTTTCCGGGGACACCTTGAGCGCTTTGAAACAAACACCCAAACGACTCTTGGGTTGGAGGCCTCGGAGGCCTTGAAAAAAAATTAAGTCAAGGCTTCTCGAAAGGCTGCTCGGTAGGGCGGTAGTCGAGTAGGGCATTCACAGCTTTGAACGACGCACACTTTCTCACTTCGCATATTACGCACCATCATCTAGCTGGATCCGGTCCAGGACAGGTTTTCCTCAAGGTATTCACAGTGTTTTTTCATTGCAGACAAACTTACGTTCCGCAGTAGGCTACGCCAACAGCAGCCATGCCGTGCCCCAATACGGACGGCACCAGCCTCCGCGCTCCTCAGAAACGCTGCCGAAAAGATGGCAACAATGGCAAACCTCCAGACGTGTGGTTGTCAGGATTATAGACTTGGAAGTTAGCAAGGGTTTCACCGGAGGAGTAAGTCCGTTCCCTTGGACCCACCCACTTGTAAGAAAACACTCGGAGAACATTCATCTCTCCCAGCTACGGGCCCAACTCCCTTTTCAAATATTTCGTTAAGACATCTTTGGTCCATGCGGCCCGATTGGAACATGATCGTATTTGTAATCGACAATCTGGCTTCCGGCAAAAGCCCCTCCACCAGGCAACCGATACGTTAACATGTCCTCCGCCGCCGTATTGAGGCATCGAAAGAACGGATATTATTTTTCTTTCATGCTTTGTTTTTGGATTTGTCCAAAGCTGGACTCGGCAATTTTCAGGGTTACAAATTATAAAGGCGTCTTTTCAACACATGTCCTTCAAGTTGACTCGACTCATCTCTTTTCTGATGTAGACGAGAATATACCAGTTCACACAGGGAGGTTGCTGGAGCTTCTTGTTCCTCCTGACCACTTCGGCCGATCGACTTAATCCTTTACTGCATCCGGTTCAGCAAGAAGGCCGTGTACGAGGTTTGACCCTGAATGACAAGGGTGTGCACGACCTCAGGTTTTTCTTCCTTGGCACCATGTCTTCTAGCACCAAACACTCGAATCTCACGGGCAGTAGCGATTTCTTAGTCACTCAGACTACTCACTGGACATTCCTCTGTCCCTCCCCCATCATGGAAACTCTAGCTGTAGACATCGATTATTCAGTTCATCTTGATGTGCGCCATGGAAAGTGGATTCTATGTCCCTCCGGTCCCTCCCAGTTGGTACATCTCGACTGGATACACTGCAAAAGCCTTACACACATTTTAAAGTCTAAAGATTAAATGCTCTCCTTGCTACCTAGTTATAAAGCCCACGGAGGTTGCTCGCTCCAACGTGTGCTTGGCAGATCTTGCCTTTCGCTCTGGCAAAGTCATCTCCTCGTCCCAGCTTTCCTCACAACTCCGGCTCAAGCTCATTCACATTGACCATGTCTTAATACATCCGGAGCCATTGGAAGGTCAAGCTGTTTCCTTCAGTGCACACGTTTATAGACGTACCTGTGCCTCTAAGATCCGAAAAGCCACGAGCCCCCTTGGCCGAGTCGTGTCTCAACGAAAGAAGCAAAAAATGGACCCATGCAGTCGGACTCCCTTCCACTACATACCGATTGCAACAACGTTTGTTGACCACTCTTTCAAAGCGGATATTCATCGAGCTTACGCGAGCTCATTCATCTTTAGTAGGGCTAAAGAACACGCGCCTGTACCGAGCCCTGTCTCCAGTTACTCAGGATCGTGCTAGACAAGGATGACTGCCTACACCGGAGCAAAGAAAGCCCGTGCAGAATTCCTTTCAGGCGTGTTGATAGGTGCTTACACTGCTTTATTTGTCCTGGGAACCATTAGATAACGAAAGCTTGTCGATGCTAATGGCCGCTTCGGAGCGGCTTCTGCTAACTGATGCCGCACCTCGCATGTGTCCCCCACCCCACCCCCCACTCCGCCACACCCCACCCCGGCCCACCTCACCCCAGGCGCACTTCTCGACAGTCGCCTTGATCGTCACGACAAACAAATAAAGCTGTCGAAAGAATGCTGAGAAGTTGAGAAGTGTCGCGCGCAGGGTACGCCTGAAGCATGAGGCCATTCACTTGATTCGCATACGTGCGCAGGAGGAATGTCGCTTCAATCCGGGCAAGCTCGAGAAGATCAGGCGCTTGGCGCAGGCATCTGATGATGGCTACAGTTAAATTGATGCATCGAGCGGGGCTTGAGAGCTGATGCCGGTTTGTGGGCAGGGTGCCTAAAGCAGGTGTACACCTATTGGAGATCCATTCGCGGCGATGGCAACTGCTACTACCGCACCTTGCCGGCAACAAATTGCTACTGCAGCCGGCAGCATTCAGCCATTGAGCATGTTTTTGCAGCCATCGAGGCACGGTGATTTTTGGCGCTTTGGAGGTCAGACTATCAAATCGGATGTTTGCAGGGAAGTTTTGGGCATCGTCCAGCTTTGCCAACTGTTCTGCATCTGTCTTGCAGGCGCTAATGATCAGTGAAGAGCATGAGAGGCTCAATCAGATCATGCTTGCGCTGAAGCAGGCCAGCACAGGCGAACAGTTCTTAGCGATGACATGTTAGCCGCCTTTCTGTCTGACTTGGCGGGAGGTGCAACTTGAGACGGTCTCGGAGCAGAAGGGGCACAACCAGATGCTAGAAATCATGAGGTCAGGGGATGTCGAGGGATGTCGAGGGGCTTGAAGCACGAAGCCATCGACGGGCAGGACGTGGAGAAGCCCACAGCAAATCGAACAGTGGGTTTCACAAGATGCCGCGCTGGACCAGGCCTGGCTTATCCTGGATTAGGCTGCGCACCACTCTTTGGCATCTTGGGGGGCATCAGCGCACTGCACATGCAGCAGAAGTCTGCAGAAAGCTGTATACCGGTCGCGCAATAGCCCATGGACACTGGTACCCATTGATCCAGCCAGTTGCCTCGATGGCCTCATGTGCCATGCAGGCGCTGATCCGCGCTTGTCGACGCCTGGTGCGGCAGTTTCTTATGAAGCAGTGTCCCGAGAGCGAATTCAGGGAAAGTGCCAAACATGCCAAACAGTGTCAAAAAGCCTTACATAGATGCGAGCCCCGTCAGCAAACAGGGTAGTTTACAAAGTACTGCGACTGTTACTTCGTCCTGAGGCGTGCGCATGATCGATCGCCGAGCGGCCTAACGTCACAGCTCTCAGCGTGATAAATCGCATTGTTTGCCCCAAAGCTCCTTTAACTTCAAGCTCTGGCATAACATTACATAGGATAGCTGTACTTTTCCATACTTCTCCTTGTTCGACAGGTATGACCAATTGGTGAAAGCGTTGGACAGCAAATACACGTGCATGGAGGCAGCTTGCTTCTGAGCGCCCGAAGGAGTTGCCGCCCCAATCAATACATAATCAGCCCCAGTTTGCAGGATTTCTGTCGGCATGTGGTCGACCCGTTGGGCCGTGATGTCCGAGTCCCGAGACAAGGAGAGAGCGCGCAGGCCCGTTGTGCCGCTTGAAGCCATGGCTCGTAGCCAAGCACCGAGGCCGAAACTCTTGCTTTGGATGCCTTGCCGCAACAGCTCGGCGTTGGATTGCGCATGTGGATCCTGGACCGACGAGATGAGGCAGTTCAAGTTCGGCATAGTTCGGGTCTTCAACCCGTTATGCGTTTAAAGGGCCATCGGGTTGTGTATTTTATTTGTATGAAGCAAGGTAGACCTCCAATTTAAATTGGCTTGCAGTTGAAATTCGAGGGAAGTGTCAAACAAAATCAAAAGCCGCCTTTCAAAAATACCACAAATATCTTGCCCCTGCTGATGATAATGAAGCAACTTAATTTTGTCGAACCATTCTTTGAGCAATAAACAGGCAGTTTCATCAGCTTAGCTCAGGGGTGTTAGCATATCCACAATGTATGTGTATATACATATTTATATATAAAATCTGCTTTCATATCCCCGAGAGGAGGCGTGTTCCCGAAGCGCCAGACCGAGAACGAGCAAACCAGACGAGAGCACGAGCGCGCGCAGCGCCGTAAGAACCAGAACCCAACATTGTGATGTGGGGAACAAACTGAACAAAAAGAAACACATTGACTCCAACCATGGGCAGACTTTGGAACCTTCCTGGACTCGTTCTTGCGAACACTATGAGCGTTTCGAGACACTTTGGACACATTGGCATGTGGCTCTGCAGGCTTTGCTGTTGAGAAGCAGGAAGGACGGTGATAGAGATATTTGCACCTCACAATCTTGTTGCAGATATTTGCAGAATGTTCAGAATTCAAAAGAGACATACGTAAAAGAAGAAGTTTTTGAGTGAGGACGCCCTCGGCCAAGTCTGCACGTGAAACGGATGCATGTCCCAACCGGACCTTAGCTTCAAGTGCTCCGCAACCTGCTGGGACAAAGGCAAGTCAGCACAGATGTGCGCGTCCAGTGAGGGGAAAACTTGAACCTCCCGTGGCGCTGAGGCCAAAGCGCTTGTTGAACAGCATCAAGCCAAGCCACCAGACTGCGAGCATCTTGAGCATCCAGATCCCGAGGAACCCACCCTAGGATACCCTAGGCCACGGCCTACAAACGTACAAGGGGCGCGACATCTATGTGGCATTGCGCCATGCATATGTTGTGGTTGGATTTATTGGCGGTGAGGGCTGGCACAGCTTAGGATTGTAAAATTGTAAAGTTGTAGAACATCTTGAAGACTTTTCGGGGTGTGCCTGAAATCCTCAGGGTTTCAGACACAAAACTAGTTTTACCATTTTTTGGAGTTTCGAGTCGGGTTTGAAACGGCTGTTGGTAAAGCCAGTTTTTCTGAAGATTTTGAAGCTTTTCCAGATAGTCTTGAAGTTTCAGCTCGTATCTGAAAAGTTCAGGAGTTTCGCAAGAAGCTGGTTTTACCAGTTTTCCGAGAGAAAAACAATGGGAGGCTACCATATATGTATATATACATGCATGCACACGCATGTTTTTCATGTGTGTTGCACGAAACACAAAGGTAAGTATTGGGGGGTTGACGGTGCGTTGGGCAGATGGCGTATGTCGGATCGGCCGGTGGCAGTGATGTGCACAAAATCAGCATTGGTGTCAGTTTCTGACGTGATTCCATCATAAACAGACCTACTAGCTAACGAACTTGTGCTCGGCTGCTGTTGTCTCAATTTTGAGGCAAACAGGCCCATAGCCACATCTTGGTCTTGCCTGCAGGCATACACACGTTGCCCAGCTGAAGATCAGGGTGAAAAATGTCATAAAAGGCTCCTTTCGCGGAGGAGCTGGTGTAAAAGCCTGCGGTAGTTGATCAGTCCTAAGGGGTTGGGGGGGAGAGGGACTCCATCGGGGCTCAGCCCCGACTACGATTCCCAACCTCATTCGACACACTTGCGTCAGTAGTGCGAGCTACAGCACAACTGTTTCACGCAACGTCCATGGGCTTCCATCTCCTCCAAAGAACTGCACTTTATATGCAGACAGGCCATGTTTAGAAATGACAAATGCATGGTGATCCTGGCGTTTTCCCTTAACGTGCGAAGAATCGGCTTTTCAGAGGTCAGCCTCATCAGCCTCGACACTCCAGGTCCCCAGGGAGAGGCCGATTTTGCGCCCCATCGATAGCTAACTTGTTATGTGCCAACTGCCTCAGGTTGATGTACACGTCCTTTTCAAGCCGGGGCACTATGATCTACTGTACCCAGGCCATGTCTCTGTGTCGAGGGTTTGGAGAATGACTGCAGGCTACAGTGTTGCTGGTAGGTCCACGTCGTTGATACACAGAACGCTTTCATCTGAATGAGTCTGGATGCTGCACCCTGACGATTTTACAAAGCTACACCGTTTCGAGGTGTCTTGTCGACTGTACAGTGTTGGTGCGTTTCCTTAGGCCGCAATTACTCTCTTTCTGCACGTGACTTGTTGCATGTAGATGTTCCTGCAGCGCTTGCAGCAGATTGGCCAGCTGCAATTCATGGAATTCAGCCAGATCCGGGCATGTGGTGCTGCAGGGCAAGCAGACCACTGTTCGAACATGTTCGGATTGCAAGTCCGAAGACTCTCCCTCACGGGCATGAACTGCACAAGAGCAGTAATGCTCCATTGTAGCGAATTCCATTGGCTTCCTCTTTTTCGACACAAAGAAGTGGGTCCATGCATCGCTCCGGTCAGCGGTACATTCTTAGACAGTCTGTTTGGTGCAAGAGACTACACGTGAACACTCGTGAATAGCCATGGCAGCCATGCGATGCGCTGGCCTCCGGGCAGTACTTTCTTCAAACCTGAGAAGTCTCGCAGTACAGGTGTGTAGGAAGATGTTAGCTGTGTAGGCGACAGGTTCATCCATGTACAAAAGCTTAGTGCAGTCTCTTCAAACTCTGGAGCAGGGCTTGTTTCTCACAATGTCGCGCAGGTAGATGTGTGTAAAGAAGTTTTACTGCGGTCTTGAAAAAGGAGTCTCATCCGCTACATGTTGAGAATACTTTCTGGCACACATTCCGACGTGCCCTTGTCCCATTGACCCCGTGCTGTCATGATGTTGTGCCAGAGGTTGACAACATGATCAGCTGGAACTTGTTCCAGCTGTTCTGTTGCTGCAGCATAAATGCAAGTCTTGGGAGAGACTCGAATGTAAAGATCCATGTGATCACTCGACCCCTGGGGTTCGGCCAGCTAGGAGTAAAGCACACGCCCGAAGCCATTCAGAAAGCGAGACGACTTCCCAGCTCCGCAAGCTCTTAAGCCTGTGGCATTTGAAGCATGTCTCCCGAGATCGAGGCTCACATTCTGACCGCACTGCACCCTCGCACTCAACACGTGGCTCCTGGCTTACCTTGTCAGCCTGGTATAGTTGAAGCATGTTGAAGCCCGTTCTTCTTTTCGGCTTTCAGGTTCTGATCGGAGATCATCAGCAGCTGCGTCCATCGACAGCTGTCGGGCACCAAGGCCTTTCTTCAGATTGGACAGATGCAACACGTTTCGAGGGACGGCTTTGGATTCCAGCCGTCATGACCAGAATCGGCCAGCAACGCCACGGGAGCTTGGTCAACAGGCATGATCATGCCACACATCCGCACATCGCAGACCTTACAGATCACAGCGATGGTTCAACAAAGTTAAATCGATGAGAGACCTTGAAAAGCTCCGGTGCGGAACTGGTTGCATGGCCCGCAGGTCTGTCATAGGATGGTGTCAGCATGCCTTTGGGGCACTGTTCAGTGGTTCTTCGCCATGTCCTGGCGATGCATCGTTTTCTGAAGAATGAAGGAGGCAGAAGAGTCCGAGTCAGAATTCTAGATCTCAAATGGCTGTAGCAGGCAGTCACGACAGCTTGCAGCGAAATCAGTAGCACCAAAAAGCTGAGGAATGCACAGTGTTGAACATGTGCAGACCCACCGGGAACCCACAACACACCTGCGAAGAGGTGCCTGCCGCAGCAAACCCAGATCATTTGTTTAAGTTAAAGCGTTTTGCTAAACAAGAACACACATGGTAAGAGCAAATACTCCAGAAGTTTCCACTACAGACGCGATCTGAGAGTCTCAGAACCCGAACCCCGAGAGCCCGATTGGAAAATCATCAAAGCGTAGTGGCATAGCAGCCGGGTCGAGCAAAACGGCAAATGCCGTGACCGACCTTTTATTCTGTCATAACCAGTGTCATGAGGAACCTAAACTGTGCGGTCGTAGCGAGGCGCGTCCAGAACATGACCTAGATTCCGTGAGTTCCGTGAGCCATTCCTTCGGTCAACGGCCGATGGTTATGACTTACTCCTTGTCCAAACCTGCAGAATTGCACTTTTCAAGCCATTCTGCAGACAGCGGTTCATTGGGGGATCGGGGTATTGGTCACTAATGTTGGGCAGTCGTAACGTGCAGTTCATTGGAGTTTCGCTTGCCAAGCTGCTATTGTTGTTACCTGTTACTTGGGTGTTTGCTTGTGTCGGCAAGCCATGTCAGACGACGTAGAGTGCCAGGGCGGGGCAGTCGAAAATCGATTGTCTACAGCTGCATTTTATGGCTTTTCGGGCACATCCCAGGATGTCATGGGATGTCCGAAAAGTCCCGAGAAGGCTTTCCGACTCCCTGCTGCCCAAGATGATTTCCAAGAATCAGTTCCCGATGCGAGTTTTCACGGATGTAAAGGGTCCAAGTGAGGTGTATCGCCTCTCCAAGAACTTCCACTTGGACGTGTCATTGTTTGAGCGCTTGATCCACAATGGCGCAGCCCACGTGACTTCCACCAGCATTTCAGTTTCAAGGGATTGCAAAGAAATCAAGTGGCTGTGGCAGCACAAGCCTTCATATGATTTCTACAGCTGCGCCCAAATCCAAGGTGACTCTTCTTCAACAGCGACGTATGCATCCAAAGATCTCGAGACTCATCAAGCCGTTCGCGTCTGAGTGTTGCGGACTCTTCAGGGGTCATTGAGGGCAGAAGTCCGCCTTCGGTGGGCTCATCGAACAAAGAAGTCGAAGACATGGAAATCAATCATGATCCGAGTGGACTCTGCCGGAGGGATCGGGCTGACGTTCATTGGGCTCAAAGCTGTCGGTGAATGGGCACCCGGATCGGAAATCTGTGCCTTTCATGTATCAAACGTTTTGGCTATCAGTTGTCTGTGCACCTCACTCAGGCTGTATCCACAGCTGCGCGACCACAGCAGCACAGAGAAGTGCCCCACCAATTGCAAGGGCGCGCGGACATGCGCGGACGTCGTCCTAGCGTCATCTCGATTCTGCAAAGTGTGCTGAGCATAGGACAGGCGGCAGGAAAGGTGGTTGTACTTTAGGCTCAAGCACTCGCAGGTTTGACATTCATGCAACTCTGAAGGCAAGCATGCAAGATGCATGGAGGAACTTGCATTTCCTGTACTTGTGGCCTGGCAAGCCATCATGCATCCTGTCAAGTCATCATCTCAGCGCACATATCGGGCTATGGAACCTTAAAAGTAACCACGAGCACGGGTTGGCTTCAATTGTCCATCGGGCGCTTGGTTCCCCGCAAGAAGTTTACCCCTGTCACATGTTCGAATGCAGCCCTTGGAATCCACAGAATCATCGTGGCATGCCGCAACGCTCATTGACATTTTCGACAGATCTTCTGCAAAAGGAGGCCTGCTAGTGGAGCTGGTGATGTTGGTGCATGCTGAAGCATCTGAAGCGTACCGTGAGCGCCTCGCCAGGTAATGGATGGCGTCGATCATTGCAGGAACGTGCGGCTCTCGAAGCCTTACTTGATTTCAACGCTACCCGACCCGCCTCGGCCGGGGCCTACGCAGAGGTGCCGTCCATTGGAGTGGAACACTGGCAGGGTGAAGGTCGTTGGGCGTTGGTGGCGGGGAGTGGGGGGGGGGAAGGGGGGTTGGTGGGTGGGGCGGGGCCATGGCGGATTGTAAACGCTAGCGCACGCCGCCTCCACAAGAAGCAGTAATGAAATGGTGTCAAGGTGGTCCTGGATTTCATCCTCGGCCGAGGTCATCTCAAAGGCCTTCGCACGACTTCATGAACCGCATGCTGTTGCAAGAGCGGGATGAAGAACCCGCAGGGTTGTAGATGTTATTAGCTGAGCAACCGCAGCGCTCGAGGTCGGCCGTGGCACCATGTGCCACCGCAGTGCCACCCATTGACCAGACTTTTGTTAAGCATGAGCACGCACACACACACACACACACACACACACACACACGCGCGCGGACATGACGAGCTCCAAGCATCTAAAACATTCGGGAAGATAACATGATGCATTGCTTGGCACAGAGGCCAGCCAGGAGAACCACGAAGCTGACAACACGAAGTCACGAAGTGCCGTTTGAAGGAGTCAAACGGAGGGTAGTGTCAGTTTAGCGACTACGCTGATCAAGCAGCCTCACAAGGGCCATCGGGGGTTAGGAGTCTAGGTGTCCCTGTCCGGCCATGACTGTCCTTTGCCTCAGCAGACTCAAATAGATCTTCATGTCACGTCGTCTTGGCCGAGCAAGCAGCTAGCGAGTTCAAGGCGATAAACACTAGCTGAACTAACTAGCTGTTCTGAATTCACTTAGACTTCGCATCTAGTGTGCGCAGGCTCGCGGGATGACGGTTGGAATCCCAAGCACAGCACACCCTATGAATCCTCAACCCTGGATGCCCAAAACCTGAGGTCGGAATCCACCGTCTGTTGCGCCTAGTCTGCAACGATTGTTTTTGGCGTGCCGCCAGGTTTCGATGTGCTTGAAAACTGATCGAATGCCACACGATCAAGAAAGATCATTTTTTGTGATTGGCCTTGCTTGGTGCAAGGCAACCAGATTTCGTCGACCTCAGCGATGCTGACCGTCGAAGGCCAATTGCTTCACATGCTGCTCTCATTTCGAAGTCATAGAAAATGAGCGTGTCTAATGCAATGCTCGAAGAGGTTTCAGGCGTAGGCCCTGCACTGTCTCAGTGACACATCTGAAACTGAAACCGCCCACATCTGCCCACACCGCCCGCCAACACCGTCGCATCTGAAGGTTAGCAAAATGCGAGAAAATGCTAGACAAATGTATGGTAACAATACATTGTATATCAGTCCTGGTGATAGACTCGACTCTCAGCAAATCATACATGCTTCGCGAATGTGATTACTAATTATGTTAAATTGAGCATACCACATTGTGTCAGTGTGTGGCAGTGGTCATTTGTTTTTCGGCTTATGGCAGCGCCGGTTTGCAACAAGGGGTCGAAGGGGGGGTCCCGTGATGATGGGGCTTTTCGGCCACAGCCACATGGGTGTTAATCTAAAGGTCCTTTTTGAATTGATTGAATCTACATTTCCATGAGCGTCCACGCTAAAGCTATTACCGTGAATAGGTGTGTGAAAAGGAATTGAGAAAGTGTTGACGAAACTTCGAAATTTGGGCCCAGTTCAAGAGTTCTGGAAGAAATGTAGCGCAAGCAAGGCGGGCGAAAGTTCAGCGAGAATCCGGCGCAAGTCTTACGTATCCCTGGAAGGACCAGCCCATGTGGTCCAATCGGTCCACTCAACCCTTCCTGAACCCATCTATCCTGGTTAGAGTTCAGAGTTGCGTGCGATTTGGAAGGATACATTTAGTTCCCCAGTCAATGCCATGTAGATCAGTTGCTATGCAAAGAGCAGCAACATTCGCATACAACAGGTCGTGGCTTCGGAATGTCATGTGCAGCAGTCCGGCACATGCGTGTGAGCATGTTGGATCGCTGGAACAAGAACGTGCATGTATCATGTAGAGCATACTTTGTAGGGGACCCATTTTTTTTGGCCCTTTTTTTCTCCCCCTACTGTAAACCCTAAACCCGAAACCCTAACCCCCCCCCCCCCCCGCCCCTTCCCACAGACCCCCCCCAAAGAAAAAAAGTGCCGAACAAAAACAAAAGGGCAACAAAAAATGTCCACCCCTACAGCAGTCGGGTACTTTTGTTTCATGCAGCTTTTGGTTGCGCAGGCGTGGAGCATATTGCACGACATTGGAAACTAGGTGACTTTTGAAGCATCCCAACAGCACGCACGAACTTCCGAATACAACATTCCACCCCACTAATCCTTTGTTTACTTCGATCATTTTTCTTCCTTCTGGTACATGTTACCTCCACACTTTCGACCAGAGAGCACGTACAAGTGCGGTGGCAAGCCATCTCAACAATAAGTTTGTGTTTGAATCTATGTGTGTTTTGTTCTTGGGGGATCCGCTTTCTCCTTTCTCTCTCTCTGTCTCTCTCTCTCTCTCGCTCGCTCGCTTGCTCGCTTGCCCTCGCAGTTTCTTCTCTCTCGTGCTGACTCGTGCTGGCATACCATGGCAGCCATGGCATACCGGTTAGACAGCTGCTGGGCCTGGCAAGGCTGGTGGGCTTGCAGCGAAGAGTCCATGCCATGGTCCAGCCCCTCAATTTCTTATTGATGCCGCCTCAGTCGCTTCGTGCTGCGTAAAGTTGAGAATCTGTTTTGGTTCATCTGCGCATAATTCACCAGGTGCGACCAAGAATCACGGTTTCGACTTTTCGAGGCTGTGGTCAAAGTACCGTGACTACCGAGTACAGCAGGCCCGTGCTGGCCAAAGGTTCAAGAATCGATTGGTTTCTCCTTCCCCTCCGCAGACTGCAAGGTGGTTCTTGGTGCTCAAGAACTGCTTTTTGACATCTATTCCTTTATTGAGTGCTTCGTTCCGGACGAGAGCCCCAGGGGCAGTCAGGCCGGCAAAGCTCCGGTTGCAGCTGCAGATAGTCACTGTGCTGCAGCGGTCTCTGTTATGAAATGCTCCACATGCATAGCTCGTGCCACTAGTCAAGCATCGTAGAAGCTGCTGAAGCTTGTAGAAAGTGCGAGCCTGCAAAAGGACTGAGTTGGCACAAATGATCATGGTGTGCTTGCACTGAGCTTGCACATTCTAGCACGCACCCTTCGTCCCTTCGTTCTTTGTATTACACTTCGTCGTGCTCGCTTACTCTTCACGATAATAGTGGCTATGTTGTGTGGGGTCGTTACCTTGCGTGCGTCTGCACCCTGAAGCGCGGCGGGACAAGCGGGGGATATGTGGGTGGTTAGTCTGAATGAGAAATGCCACCCACTTGGACTGGCAGTGATGCTCTTTGCTACACCGATCGTGATTGCGTGCCTTTTTGTTGGCACTCTTGTTGCTAGTGCATGCAACGGCTGTGCTCTCCTCTTCGCGGATCTCACTAAATATTCAAATGTCCTGCGCAGAACTACTGCGAGCCAGAAGTTGAAACATGGGATGTGCAACAAAGACGTTCTCTTCGCGACAACCCCCTCCGCGACAAGCCTTCCTCTGAAGGAGACATGTCCGCGACATACGCAAAAAGCAAGGGGGCGAGACATATGCATACAACATACCTTTTTTTGTTTGACGCACAGCCATGTCGATTGATGTTAGTGTTTTGTGTTTTTGGTGTTCCTGGCTTCCTTTACTTAGCTTTACCGATCGTCTTGCGGCCAAAGTTCCCACTGTCACAGCAACTTTCAGCACACCGAGTAAGTGTTGGATGTTCCTCAAATGATCAAGTTTTTTCGAGCGACATTTTGATGTTTCTTTCAGTCGGCCTGCGCTGGCCCCATCGGAGCAACTTCCATCGGAAGAACGTTTTCGTGATTGGGGGGACATCGGGGCTGGCCATTCAGTCCCAAATAATGGCTGACCTTTCTCTGCATTTGTTTCCTGATTTGTGATTTCAGATCCGCAGCTTGCATTGCGGGATCTGATTGGTGCTTGAGCAATTCGAACTTGAACCGTATTGCAGGCCACTGGAACAAAGCGTCGGTGCAGCAGCAGCCTCACAAAGCGGGGTCCTCACAACCACACTTGTTGCACGGATTTCAGGTCCATGCGGAGCATGTGCAAAAAGCGGTGCACACATTGCCAGCATCAGGTCCGAGCAGCTGGTCAGCTTCTCATTCGGTGTTACGTCGGCGCTGGCAAAATTGCAACCGCCGCCAAACAAACAGAACATGTCGAGCGGCAATCCCAGGGAAAGAGTTGCTCAACAAGCTGCAACGGGATGTTGAGTCACGGCATATGTCGCATTATGTCGCCAATGAGGACCTGTTTCTTCGTGAGCTGGACTTCACCTGCATGTCCGTGAACATGGCAATTTGCATGGAGGCAGGCCTACAAGAGTCTCCTCACAGAATCTGACCTCCATCTGCCACAGGCTGGAAAGTCAGCCCCTCCTTCAGCAAGGCATGGTTCTGAGACGTTGTGCCCTTGAGACCACATAGTCGCTATGAGATCACGCGAGATTACAATGCGCGTTGCCATGCGTTGAGTAGTTCGCGAAGGCTGCTGAGGCAAGATCTCTCTTTGCTTGCTTTGCTTCGAGCCCACAGGCGCATAAAGGACAGGGCTGTGAAAGTTGTGCTGCCGTGTCCCAAGAAGCGATGTAGAGTGAACACTCTCAGTCTTTCAGTACGGAACTGAGCCGGCACATGATCACACTTTATGAAGTAATGACCGACATGACGGGTAGGCGCGCAAAGGCAAGGCCATAGGTGTGTTGAATTTGCAAGCAGGGATTACGTTGAGGGTGGATGTGTTCTGCAGTCAATGGCCACAGCTAATTTGAGGAGATGCACGGTCGCAGTGGCCATTTGTGCACTCTCACAGGCTGCCTCTACCAGGCCACCGGCTGCACATTTCCACGTTTTCGGAATCCCACATGGGGATTTCAAGCTTTAGCTTTTACAACTGCCAACGGTCCGATCATCAAATCAACTGTTGCCATTTTGGGGTGCCCGAAACCCCAATAGCAAGGGGCATTGTTGAATGCTGTGTAGAGAAGTGGGCTTAGCAATTCATGGCTGAGGTTTCGCTTCTAGACTGTTTTGCTAGCGTCACGCGCGCAACTGCATAGTTTGCTCCGAACCTACTGTCCTGTCGGCTGTGTCCATCCCAATGTACTTTGACACTGGCTGCATCCGCCCGCTAACATCGGCACGCGTGTCGCTGAAGAGACTCCTGCACATTGTTCGACCATCTCCCAGGAAGCACTTGAGAAGTCCTCCGTATGACAACCGACGCACACGCCACGCACACACACACACACACACTGCACACATCCACCTCTGGGAAGCGCTGCCTCGGAAGGATGCCGGCAGCCCTGACTTGGCCATGACAGGCTGTGGTTTTGTTTTTCTTTACGTTTTTTTGCGAGCTTCGGAGTGGGCCCCATTTGGGCCTCCACGGTGGCAACATGCTTTTTCTAGAATGCCCAACAGCAGAAGTCAAGTTTGTAGAGATGCTGCAAGCCGGGAAGCGGCAAAATCAGATACAGCAGGAGTAGTCAGTGAAGGTGCAGAAGGGCAAGAGTTCCAGCAAAGCTGTCGGATCAGATGGCGTTGCTTGTGCTGAAGAATGGCACAGCCAGTGGACGCCGGCACTCTCGCTTGCAACTTTCAAGGCTTCGCGCTTGGATGTGAGAGCTCTGATTCATGTTTGTGGGCTGCCAACACCTGGACCATTCTTCAAGACATTCCCTGAGTAGGGGGACTCCCACAGGTGGTCGCAGTGCTTGGTTCGGACAGAAGGCCTGGTCTGAAAAAAAAATGGAATGAGTTTCTCCACACCTTGCAGCATGTGCCAAAAGAAACTCTGTTCAGGTACCATCTTGAGGTGGAGCCGGAAGCTGAGTGGGGCGCATGTGCTGTGTCAAATAGTCACTTGATTAGAGAGCGCTGCATGCATTCGCAGGCACTGTCCAGGGCATTAGGGAACATCAGCCAAAGGCTGCAAAGGCCGTTTAAGCATACCCCTTACAGAACATACTCCCCTAACTTGCATTCAACAAGTAGCAAAACGAACTTCTCTACATTATCCTTGAACTACACCGTCGCCAGGTGCAGTTTAAGACAAGGCACAACCCTGAACTGCCCTGGAGGCTCTGAACTGACAAGACATCCGTGAATCATCAAGAATCATCTGTGCACTCAATATGACTGGCTGGCTCAGGAGTCGCCTGCCATTGAGTCAAGGTCGTGCACTTTGGTGCTAGAAGAGCAGCGTGTCAGCCAGTGCATGTTAGTCAAGATGGCGTTTGCCATGCGTTTGCCGGTGGCGATCCCTGAGTTTCTGAGTCTGTTGTGATCTCTTTGTTGTGCAACTTTTTTTGCGGGCCCGGTGTTGTTTTTTCCTAACGTTGGCCCTGGCTTGGTGGCCTTGGGTAACGTTGGCCCCAGGCCTTCTGGTCAGCTGGTCCCCTGGTCCTCTGGTCCCCTGGTCCTCTGGCCCTCTGGTCGCTTGGTCTTCTGGTTCTCTGGCGTTCTGGTCGCTTGGTCCTCTGGTCCTACGGTCCTCTGGTGCTCTGGTCCCGTGGCCCTCTCGTGCTCTGGTCCCGTGGTTTCCCGGTCCCGTGGTCAGATTTTCTTGTTTTTATTGATGTACTTGTTTTGGACATCATGATAACGGTATAGTTACTATGTAGTATAACATAAGAATAACATATATATATATATATGTTTATATAAACATAGTATAATGTAATAATGTAATGTAAAAATTTATAATATTACATTGATATATAATCTATGAATATATAATATATTAATATATAATATATTAATATATAATATATTAATATATAGTAGAATATGATTTCATATAATAGAATATGATACAATATAATATAATAAGAAAATATACGAAAATATATAATATAGTATCATATATAGTAATATGAAAAATATATAGTATATAATTATACATATACAATATACAATATATAATATATAATATAATATATAGTATATAATATAATATATAATATATATAATAATTATATAATATATAATAATAATATAATATATTATATATTATTATTATATATATATATGTAATATATATAATATAGCGTTTAATATAATATAACAGAAGATAATAATATACTAATATACATATAATTTTAATAATACTATACGAATATATAATATAATTGAATACAAATATAAACATAAATATACATATAAGATAGCTCAATGCAATATAATATAATACAATATACTATAGTACTATATAGCACAATATAGTATAATATAATATGATATAATATAAGATAAGATAACATAATACAATTTTGTATAATATAATATCGTATAAAATCATACAATATGATAAAATATAATCAAGCATATGTATACATATGTATGTATGTGTATATATAAAGTCACATAGTCCAATTCATAGCACACAATACATATTTATATTGTTCTTTTGGAGCCGGGCAAGCTTGCTTCAAAGTGTATGAAACCCTTCCAAACCCATGATGCGATCATTGTGTTTGCAAAGGGGGGGGGGGGGGGCTGCCCGCCCCCCCCCCCCCCCCCCCCCCCCCCCCCCCCCCACCCCCCCCCCCCCCAGCCCCCCCCACCCCCACCAACCCCCCCCCCCCCCCCCCCAAGCCCCCCGCTGTTTTTTTAAGCCGGGCAAGCTTGCTTCAACGCACATGAATCCCTTCCAAACCCATGATGCCAGCATTGTCTTCGCAAAATATACATTACGACACAATAAGATACAAGAAGATACAATAATACACAACTATATACAACAAAATGGAATTAGAGACAAGAATATACAGTAATATACTTTTACATAAGAAAGAAGTACTTACAATAATCTCCAGTAATTAACAATAATTCAATAAAAAACAACAACATACAAAAACATACAACAATATACAGCAATATCCAATAATATACCAATACTGTACAATAATGTACAATAATATGAAGTAACCTACAAAAACATGCAATAATGCACAATCATATGCAATATGGAATAGTATACAATAACATAGAATCATATAGAGTACTGTAGAATAATACACAATTTTCAAAAGTTAAGTAATATACAAGAATGTTAAAAATAGACAATAATATCCAATAATATACAACAATATGCAATTTATACAATAAAATGCATGACAATATGCAAGACAATACACTGATGTTCAAGAATGCCAGAATACACAATAATATACAATAATAAACAATAATATACAATAATATACAATAACATACCATAACATACAATAATATATATAAGAAGATACAATATTTTCTGACAATAGAATACGATAATATACAGTTCTACGCAATTATATCGAAAACATAGATTACTAAACAAGAATAGACCAGAGCATACAATAGTCTACAATAATATGCAATAATTTACAGTACTCTACAATCGTTTACAGTATGTAAAGCAGTAGATTACTAAACAAGAATGGACCAGAATATACAAGAATAAATAGTATGCGTTACTCAAATATGTTCAAAAAGATACTAGCAGAAACAATAATATACAACAGTACACAATAAGATACAATAATACACAATAATACTGAATATTATTCAATAATATTCAATATGATTAATAGTCAAGAATATTCAATGATATTCAATAGTTTTCAATAATGTTCAATAATATTCTTGAAGACTCAAGAATATTGAATAATATGCAAGAATACACTAGAATATACAACAACTACAATACTAGAAGAACACAGAAATGCTGCATTTTTCAGCAATTAGAGCCTACAAAAAGTCACAAATGCTGTAACCTACAGCACTCCGAGCTTTGGAATACCCAGAAACGCTGTGGTTTTGAGCGGTTTGGGCTTACAAGCAACCAGAAATGCTGCATTTCATAGCATTTACAGCCAGGAATGGCAGGGCCAACGTTAGCAAGGCCAACCAGCCAGGGCCAACGTTAGGAAAAGAAACGCCTCCGCCTTTTTTTGCATCTCTGTGTGGAACTTTGTGCGCAGCTTGCAGGTGATTTGCCATCGCCTTCTCCTGCCGACGAGGCCAGGTCAGGTGCTGAATTGCTCAGAGTCAAGCGGTCAGCATTTTGATTAGTGCTTGAGGCAGGGTCCCAATGTGAACAAATGAACGCAGCAATATGGTTCTGGACTAGCCATCTATAGATTCGCACGAAGTGGGAAAGCCTGGTGCGTGGGATAAGCTCGAGTCCGCACCTCAAGTTTACAGAATCTGGAAATGCTGATGAGAGACTGAGAGTCAGGTAGTCGAAGGCTTCGGCAGGTAGTGGTATCAGACCCCACAGGCCATGTTTTCAAGCCCATCTAAATCTAAGCCTCCATAGATAGACTCGTGTTGCATGGTGCTTGCTGTATAGAAGAAGTGTGCATGGTGCCGCCGTCTCTTTGAGATAGCAGACGGCTTTTCTTTCAGTCTTGCCAACGACGCTGGTTTTCACTGTACATACTGCTTGTCTCTTCTATGAGTCGATGTCCATATCTTCCATTGCCATCAGATTTTGCCATTGAATCTCAAAACATCTCAGCATGGCCGCAGAACTACCCGAAAGAAAACACGGCAGCAGCCAGCAGGTACTCTTCAACACCAGCTTGCCCACGCATCACTTTTACGTTACGCGAGCCGCCTCGGCCGGGGCCTGCCCAGCAGCGAGGCAACAGTGAGGCAACCCAAACCGGAGATCGAGGTGCTGTTAGGCTTCAGGGCTTTGAGAAATTTCATGCAATCGTTCCTCTTTGGACATCCTGTTGTGACATGCTGGCTCATGTATCGACCAGGCATCAAATGTGGGACGGAAAACCGGCCGGGTCTGGGGAGGGCAGGGTGCAGCGGGGCAAAGGGAGGAGTGGGGCAACGGAGGGACGAGCAGACGAGGGCGATGCGACAGGAAGAGGAAGCGACGGGTCTGGGCGAAGGAGGTGGTGCAGAGAAACTTTGGTGTGCGCCCACTATGGTTGGCCCCAAATGCTCCCTGGTCCTGATGCACCGTCCGCTGGGGGAGCAGCAAGCAAAGGGGCAATCCGTGAACGGAACTGATCCTGCAACGGCGGACATTTGCCTGCATGATTGTAATGATTAGTAATGTAGATTCAGTAGACATACGCAGCAGCAGGCCACTGAAGGATGAGGTTTGTCTAGATGTGGTTGTCACTCTCTCGTTCCGGCGCATCACGCAACCTGCGTCAGCCGAGAAGCTTGCTGCCTTGACAGGAAACAGCTTTGGCAGTCGGCCAGAGTCCTAGCACTCCTACCATTGCTGACAAACCAGTTTGTCCACTGTGGATTGAGAAGGTCGCGCATGCAGTATTGAACATGACTTGAGCTCTGGAGACATATACCCCAAAGGGGAAGGGACATTGAAATGTGTTTGGAGGCGAGCGCTCGGGGGCAAAAATCAAGTAATTGCCACTCGGTATCTGGGCAGGGAGGGCCTGTAAATCTTGACCCCGTGCTTTCATTGAGTCGATGAGCTGACTTGCTCCTTTCCTAAAGAGTATTCTTTATTTAGCTTGACGAGCTGTCTCTACCCTTTTTGTTCCACAACGTGAGATCGGTTCCACAGGTGGCTCTACCTTCTTGGCGCCTGTATGCTTCAAGGACAACAGGAAAATTGGGGATAGGCGGAGTCGAAAAGCAAGGGCATCATGAGAGTTGACGGAGTACTGCTGAGGTTTGAACTCCTTCACCCGGATGGAGTTCCCGATACACATTGTGAGCTTCTGAGACATGGGCCTCTTTGCAGCTATGCAATTACTGGTTTTCAGAAATGTTTATGCTGCAAGTAACTGACAGCAAAGCATATTTGCAGCAGCACAAAGCCAAATGTAGCGCCGAAGAAGTTCCTTGTGCCCTCTGGTTACATGAAGGTACTGTGAGTGGCCGATCGAATGGGAATTGAGGCCTGCCGCGCCACCCTACTCACGACCGGTCATCTGCGACTGGCTACAGGCCCAGAGCTTAGTCCATGCCCATGCTCCAACTCAGACAGGCACTACCTGCTCGAGTGTGTTGTGTCCGTCGTGAAACCCCAAACTGCCCCGGCTGTGGGCAGTTGATTCTTTTTTGCGCAGTGAATGACTTTGGACTCAACAGAACCAGGTGCAGAGCACTACCTCCCATAAAATGTCAAAGCTCCAGCACAATGGACCTTTTGGGCATCACAGCACAGGCGTCGTGAACATTGGACGTTGGAAGCCAAGGACTGGTCAGGGTATTCCCACAGGTGTACACTTCGCAAACATAGGTCCCGAGGCTAACCGAAAAGTACCGAGTGGAAAGGGGGAAGGAGCGGACACCAGGGGGCTAGTCTGTAAGGGCGAGCTTGCATGTAGGGTGAGAGAATGAACCTGAGCTCCTTCTCCCTCCTTCTCCCCGACCACCCCCACCAGAGGAACCCCGAATACCGGGGCGGGCGAGGACGCCCGGGGGCTTGCCCCCTTCCCAAGAAAGACAGAAAGACTTTCCCAACCCTAAGCTCTCAGCAAAGCACTCCGCGACAAAGGGACAGAACATGGACATGACCAGACAGCGCGTTCCCATATCTCTCCTGAAAAGCATGCACGCACTGCGTCGAGTGTGCGCGGAGACAGCTTAGCTTCAGCACTGTGGGCTATTGAATTGAGTCTGTGCGGTCTTTCAGCCGGTGGAATTTCGTGAGCATCCGCGCTCAGTGCAGCTGTGCGCGACATTCCTGTCTTTGGAATCTTTGGACCAGTGGACCAGGGTGAATGTCTCAGAGCTTCAGCCCGACTCTTGGCTTGGCTCATCTCGCCGCATCGTAACCCTACGCTTCTTGGACGGCTACTGAGCCATCTAGACTTTCGCCGCTGAGAAAGATGAGCCTTTTGAGAAGATTTGCAGTTGGAGGACTGGACTGGTTGGTGATCAGGATGTATTTTCGTCGGTTTGCCTCTGTGACTCTTTTCCCAGGTTCTGCATCACCTGGTCCACAAGACATGGCAGTACCAGAGCTGCAGCTTGTTGCTGGCAAAGGTGATTGGATGTGATTAGTCATCAGGTGCAATCAGTTAACAAGTCGCTTCTTGAGTCTAGGATCATTTGAGGTTGCATATGCGGCAGTGACGGCAAGCATATGTAAGCAGAATGCCAAGCCAAGGTCGACTCGTTGGCTCTGGTTTGGGACGGAGATGTGCGGCCTGCATGAGAACATCTTTCGTGATGTACGTCAACGTACGTGCTTTTTTCCGTGATTATACATACGTTTTCCATACCTAGCGAATGAGTCCCTGGACGGCTACATCGGGCACAGCCCATGCATTTGACCACTAAGAGGGTAGGCATTTCGAAGAATTTCAATTTGCAAGCCACACAAGCAGCCGAGGCAGAACGACGAGTGGGAAGGGCGAGACAGCAGACGACAGGCCCCCTTCAAGGTGCTCTGTGGTGCCAAGCGGCGAAACCATAGGAAGCTCATAGGATTGAATGGATAATAAGGATAGTAGTCTGGTCAGTATTTTCGGGCATTTCTAATTTGTGGCCTTTTTGAGACTTCAAATGATGGCGGCTCAGTATATGTGAGCATTGAACAGCATTGATGCATCAGCATGTGTTGACATGGGTGAGAAAAACTGCCTTGAATCCTGCGGCAGGGGCGACGGTTCGCGTTCGTGTTTGACGGACGGAACTCTGGCTGCGAGGGCTCTCAACTCAGTGGCTTTCTGTCTGGCCACAAGAAGACATGCGCGAGGATCATATAGAATGTAAATTCGGTGCCTGCATCTCCAGACAGGTGACACTTCCGGCCTTGTGCCAGAGCTTGCCCTTACTCCTCTGGTGCTCACTGCATGCTTGACCCAAACAAATGCAACATATCCTGAGTTAACTAGTTTCAACTTCTGTTGCATGTGCATGCTTGTTGCCCATAGAGCCAAAGCATGCCACAGATGTAGTCAAGTCTTCTTGATCCATGAGACGGCCCTGGCAGTTGTTTGTTATTTTATGGCGCAGACCAAGCATCGATTTGCAAATCAGCTGAGTGCTATCATGGCTGTTGCCAATGGCATCGTTCATATTTGGCTACAGAGCGCTGCAATCTTATGCATGAACTGCTCGCCGTTCATTCGATCTTTTTGTTATGGAATTTACCGTGCCAGGATGCCATCTACCTGGCACGTCTTTGCGCGGACTGCGTTGAGTTTGCAGCGATGTCTGAGAGCAACGATCTGAACAATGGACTTGGAGATTGCGGGACAAAGAAATGTGTGACAGCCATTCGAGATCGTCAAGTCTTCATGATGGGGGCTCGTACTGCAAAGTCAGCAGCAGGTTCATGCACCCAACTCCAGCAGCATTGCCCGGGTATCCCTTGTGCTACGCAGATCTACACACTGCATGTTCTTCGCTTTCCGCGACCTCTTGCGAAGTTGAACTGAAGCCGCTGAAGCAGAACAGTTAGTTACTTGCAAGATGTACCAACAACCTCGGAGGCATCTTTCCGCATGCCACGACACACGAGTTTCCTGAAGATCGGCCGTGGGCCAAGCACGGTGAATCAATACGGTTTCCTCCTATTTTCGTTTCTCGATAGCCGGCTCCAGCAGAGACACGGTATATTGCCGTATAAGTATGTGAAGGAACCAACATGTCGTTCGGGCAGCGTCACGCTTTGCAGTGCATTCTGCACTGCACATGCTGTGGAGAGTGTGTTCACAGTCCGCTCAAGGCACGGCATGTCAGCAATCGATTCGAGGCAGCAGAACCCCTCCTCTGCGCTAGTATGCGCCGGTATTAATACTTGTCATGCATCCGCTCAACGCCAGCGATCGTTGTTCTTCTGTTTCCTGACTACCAGCCAGGCACAAAACCAGACAAAGGTTCAAGAGTAGTTAGGTGAAAACAAGAAGACTTGGAAATTATTGAAGCACGACCATCGTTAAGTCAATCACCAAATAAGCACATAATTTGCATAGTGTTTGTTCGTTACTTCGTTCCTTTCGTTCCTTCGATAAGCTTCATGCAGAGTCATGCCTCGCAAAGCTCTTTGCAAGCTGATTGATATGAGGGTTCCTGCATTTAGTTTTGGGACATTGTGTTTTAGAAGACTTGGGAGATTTTGTTTTCTCATCTTGCGCTCATATAAACAGCTCTTGGTTTGCCGCATCGTGTCCTTCATCTCCAACAGCATATAATGAAGTGATGAAGGTTTGATTCTTTCTAGATTCTGTGATGGACATGTGTACTAATTAGTTGGCTTTCTCCATCGGTTGTAGAATGCATGGATCACAAAGTGGTAGAGGCCCTACAAAGAAGTTTGCCGCAAGTGCAGCCTGTACCGGGAGGACTTGGGAGCTATACGACATCAGCCAGCCTGCAGCAACAGTACATTGCAGACGTGAAATACGCAGAGGTTAGGATGGTGGTTCGAGCTGATCAACGCCCCAGGTCCTGTCCACAGTAGAGAAGCACAACCACCTTTCTCTGATTTGAACAAAAATGATCAGGACACTCGAAGCAGCGGCACCATCTTAGCTGCAACATGCATGGGATAGGCATCAAAAATTAAAGATCAACAAAAACTCACTAAGGATCAAAGAACTCTCAAACAAGGATCCAAAAATACTGAAAGTGTTTAAGCAGGAAGGAAGGAAGGAACGAAGGAAGGAGCAAAGGAAGCAGGGAAGGAAGGAAAAAGGAAAGCAAGGAAGGAAGCGGAAGCAAGGCAGGAAGGAAGGAAAGAGGGAAGGAAACACGCAATGGAGATGAACAGGAGGAACGGAAAAAGGGATGCCAGGAAGGAAGGGAGAAAGGAAGAAAGCTTCCCTGCTGGTTTGGCGTGCGCTGTGTGTGGGGTCTTCCACGCTGCGATTCTTTAAGCCATGCAACTTAAGCCCCCCTTTTTTTGCGCAGCTTTCTAAAGCCCTGCAAGCTTGCTTCCAGCATACAATCTTTTCGATCTGAACGAAACCCATGATGCCAACATTGTGTTTTGCAAATGGGGGGGTGCGCTGGCCCCCCCGCCCCCCCCCCCCCCCCCCCCCCCGCGCACCCCCCCTCCCCTGCCCCCCACGCCTGCCCCATCCCCTCCCCCCTGCGAGGCCCCCCCCCCGCGAGGCCCCCCCCCCGCCCCCACCCCCCCGCCCCCCCCTCCCCCAAACCCCCGCTTTTTGTTCCGGGCAAGCTTCAAAGCCAATGAATCGTTTTGATACCCGTGATGCGCTTGCAAACCCCCCGCCCGGTTTTTTGTTGAAGCCCCCCAGCTTCTTTATGCCGTGCACGCTGCTTCAAAGCATGCGAATCTTTTAGAAGCTCATGATGCTAGCATCGTGTTTGCGTTTGGAGAGGCCGCCAGAGCACACAAGTCATTTTGAAACCCATGATGCGAGCATTGTGTTTGCAATTGGGCGGGGGTTGGGGGCATTTTTTGCCGGGCAAGCTTGCTTCAAAGCATACGCAACGTTTTGAAACCCATGATGCGAATCTCTTTTTGAAACGGGCTGCTTTTGCCTCAAAGCATGCGATTGTCTTTATGAGACCCATAATGTGAATATTGTGTATGCAAATGGAGGGGGGCTGCCCCCCCCAACCCAGGCAACCCCCACCCCCCGCCCCCTCCCTTGTGTTTGCCAAGCCCCCTGCAACCCACCCCCGCGTTTTTTGAAGCCGTCCAACCCCAACCCCCCCTGCCCGGTGTGTTTGAAGCCCTGCTTCAGACCATACGAATCTTTTTGAAACCCTATGATGCGAGCATCATGTTTGCAAAGGGGGGGCCGGGGAGGGGGCTGCGCCCCCCAACCGCGCCCCCCCGCTTGTTTTCACCCGTGCAGCCTTGAAACCCATCATGCGAGCAATGTTTTGCCAAACTCCTGCAAATGCGGGGGGCTGCCCCATTTGCAAACACAATGCCATCATGGGTTTTTGAAGGACTCGTATGCTTTGAAGCAGCCCCCCCATTTGCAAACACAATGCTCGCATCGTTGTTTCAAAAACTCGCATGCTTTTGAGGCAAGCTTGCACGGCTGAAAAAAGCCGGGGGGGGGGGGGGGGGGGGGACGCCGGTTTTTGCTGCGCCGCGCCTCCCCCCCCCCCCCCCCCCACCCTGTTTCTCCGTTTTTTTGTCGTTCAAGCTGGCTTCAAAGCAGACGAATATTTTCGAAACGGGCTGTTGTTTTTTTTTGAACTGCTCAGCTTGTTGTAGGCCGCGAGCTTGGCTCAAAGCATACGAGTCCCCCGACGGAAATTTTGTGTTTGCAAATGGGGGGTGCGCCGCCCCCCCTCCCCCCCCCGCCCGGCAACCCCCCGTTTTTGAAGCCACGCAACCCCAACCCCCCCTTCACTTTTTAAGCCTTTAAGCATCATAAGCCGTGCAAGCTGCTTCAAAGCACACGATTTGCTTTGAAACCCATGATGCTAACATTGTGTTTGCAAATGGGGGCGGGGGGGGGGGGGGGCGCCGCCTCTCGCCAACGCCCCCGCTGTTTTTCACCGGGCAAGCTTGCTTCAAAAACATACGTGGCTGCTCCCCCCCCCAAACCCCTTTCTCAATCCGTGCAGAGCTTGCTTGAAAGCACGTGATTCTTGTTGAAAACCATCATGCGAGCATTCTAAAGGGGCCCGCGGCGGGTTGCGTAGGTTGGTTTCTGTGTCAGCCATCTTGCAACAAGATGCTGTGCTGTCTAGAGATGTCTGGACTTTTGGAAAACCAGGAATCTGCTTCCATCAGAAGGTTTAGATATCCTGACCGACTCGTTGTCACTGAGAGCTCAGAAGCATAGCCGCGAGAGTCGTTCTTGCGCTGTTCGTTGAGGTCCGCACGGTGAGTGGCGTGATGCTGAAAGCAAGAGCAGACTCCGTTTTGTGAAGTTGCACGCATTTCCTCAGGCATCTGAGGCATTGCCACGGTTATGGATGGCTAGTAATAGTAATGGGCTGCTCTAGTCAGTGTTTCGTCATTGGAGGCTCACTGCAGTCGTAGCATTCCCAGCCTGCCGGGCGTGATCCCACAACTCCGAGAATTAGCGGATGAAAAGAACGATTTTGCTTTCTGCTTCCTATCACAGCAGCCATTGCTTGCCGGAACATCCTCATCGTCTGTACTGTCAAGGCTTTCCTGCTGCAATTATCCACTTGATTTCCCCAGACTTAGAAGGACTTTGCGTAACAATTGACACAGCATCCAGGGCTAGACGCAGAGGACTTTACGCATGCAGCGTGCAGATGAAGAGTATGTGAACCTGGTGACCTGAGCAGGTACCCCGAGATTCGTGGAGTTGCTGCAAGATGTTTTTTCATGACTCATTTTCATCTGGAGGCTCTGCCACTGAAGCAGCATTTGAGCAACAATAACTGCAGAAGGGCTGTTGACAGGACGACGAAGGCGAAAGTCACTCCAAGCAGAACACCTTCGAGGCAAGACTGTTCAAATGAAGAGGGCCTGAGCCGTCTCAGTATGGATCCCTGGGTCCTTCAAGTGTCGAGGGGCGCATGATGGAGGTTCTTGACATTTGAGACCCATAATCTTTGGTATTCCATAGACTGCGGCTCCACAAGGGAAACCCACGAACCCTGACTTTCTATCAATGCGCTTGGGATTGCAGCTCTTCTTGCTTGTAGAACTATCTTGACGTTGGAAGTGACTGTTGCCCCAGAAATCTGAATACATTATGGCAGTCGGGCTACAAACAGGCACTTCGTACGGGGAAACGCACCTTTCTGCGCTCAAGCGCGAGACACCGACAACGCTTCAGCCATGATTGATCACGCTCCTGTCAGGCAAACTTTGTCAGCGCTATTTGCGCGCACCTCGTCGCTAGCGGCTACGAGGCGACTGAAAGAGTGCCATTTGCACCATTTGAAAGTTTGCGAACTATTCTGTTGCCGCTCGTGTTTCGTATGTATGCACTCAGGAATCACAGATAACGGTTCTCTCGCCATATTTGGGACAGGCTGGGCCGCTTTGGGCGCGGACTTGATAAACGCAGCATGCTGCTCACTCAGGTAAGACTTCTGAAGAAAAAGATCCAGCGAGATGCAGCTACGCAAGGAATAGCAGTCACTGCCGTGGACAATTTCCAGGCAAGGCAAATATGTCAGATACAGACTCGGCACATGAGTGTCACGCAATGCTGACCAAACATATTGCATCGGCACGTGACAAGGGTGAAGAGAACGACATCATTGTCATCTCACTCGTGCGATCTAACAGGCTCTGCTGCTTTGCCAGACAAAATGATATCTTGTCCAAGAGCAAGAAGTTTGAGCGCTATTTTGCGAAAGAAGACACACAAACTTCTTGAATATCGTCACCGGAAGCATGGAGCTGCGGTAAGCTGCAGGGCTCGGCAAATGGGCTTTCTAGCAGCTGAGCCCTCAGACGCAGCGATGACCATGATGACCATCTCTGCTGACCTCTTGCCGACGGTCTGCTTGAGACCAG